TTTTGAGTTTATACGCGCTTTTGGTGGCATGGTGGCGGGTTGAATTACTTCAGCTTTTGAAATGGCAGTCAAAACGCGTTGGGTGATCCACTCGGTTGCGTGATCCGCTCGCTTACCGATTACGTTATTGTATTTGTTGTCGCATTATGGTCTAGAGACCATGCACTAAACACCCCAGAAATCAAACCTTGGTGAACAGGGTCTATAAGAAAGGACTGGTCCGTCTAATCTCATTTCTCTTCCTTTCTTCCCCAACCGTCCTCAACAGGGATACAATTTCCTGCATCTCCCACAGTCTCAACACCAGCCTTTTCCCTTTATCAAAGCAGTCACTGGTTCCTTATTTCTAGTAAGCTCGGGAACTTTCATCGCCTCATTAATATCAGTCGTAGGTAGTTTATTTCCCTCTTACCCTCAGTCGGTATAGCCTCTTCTAGGTTCTTATCTCATCGATTTTTTCTTTCAGAATTTCATCTATTCCACAGAACGAGAGCATCACACAATGGATATCTCCGCCAGATCCGGTCCAGCTCGGTGTGTGAACCACAGCGACTCTATGCCAGAATTGCCCTATCCAAACAGCTGCGGCCTTTCGCTCTTTGAACGGACGAATGCCACCCAAACGCCCTACGACGTGTTAAAAGGATGCTGTGTGAGCGGTCAAGTCGGGTACTACCCTAGTAACCAGGAGGATTGCTACGCCTATTGCAATTCCACAACTCAATCTCAACAGCAGCAAGTATATCAATGCCTTTCCACCTCACTGCAACTATCATCATTTGGTTGCGCAGAAGGTCCATCAAGTGGTGGATCTATTACAGTGGCCCGGAGCTGGGGTACTACTACTCTCTTAGTGTCTGCATTGCTTTTGTCAGTCATAATTGGTCTGTAAGGCGGACCTCCGTCGGGCATATCCCCCGTTCCTGTGGGGGATGCTTTACCAAGGCCGTGCACTGACTATCTACTACGTATGTTCGCTCGCTAGACCTATCTTCTAACCTCTCTCTCGTTTACATTAGCCACAAGGCCATGAAACCAATCTTGTCCCGTAAGTAGTCGAAATGAGTAGATTCCATCTGCTCCAATTCGCCCGTGTGGCATCAGCCCTGGAAAAGGCAGAACGAACGGGAGAGGGATAATATAGGATGTGGAGAAATGGGGCATTTATCCCAGGATTCGGCATCCGAAACGGCAAACTGTAGATCAGTATGCCTAAATAGCATCATCTACTTTGTGCTTTAATCAATATCCACCTATCACTAGCTATGGAATGCATGAGAATGAGGGGAACCGAGTTTTGGCTAATAATCCTCGTGTTGCTCCTGATGAATTAGGCTATTACCAGGACAACAGGGATATAAATCGGCATTATTCCTCAGCACCCTGAGATTGTCGAAAAGCAACCTCTGATCAACTCATAATTGAACGGTGTTCTCTTGTGATGTTGTGCTTCAGTGCTGGTCTTCTCTTAGGGCTTGGGCTGGTAGCCCAAGCTCAACAGACGTTCACCAATCCCGTCATTTATGAAGACTTTCCTGACAATGACATCTTCCTTGGCCCCGATGGGAAGACCTTCTACTGGTCCAGCTCCAATTTCCACTACTCTCCCGGTGCCCCAATTCTCCAGTCTACCGACCTTGTGAACTGGGAGCTGATCGGTCATTCTCTGCCGAGTCTGGACTTTGGATCCAACTACAACATGGAAAACGGCCAGACGGCCTATAACGGCGGAACCTGGGCCTCCACCCTACGCCATCGCAAGAGTAACAACAAATGGTATTGGATTGGCTGCATCAACTTCTGGACCACCTACGTCTACACAGCCCCGGATGCCAAGGGCCCCTGGCAGCAATCAGCGAGTTTTCAGCCCTGCTTTTACGACTGTGGGCTCTTGATTGACGACGACGACACAATGTACGTGGCCTATGGAAGCAACAACGTCTCCGTGGCCCAGCTCGCTGCGGACGGGTTGAGCATCGTCAGGACACAACAAGTGTTCAGCTACCCCGCCGAGTGCCCCGGCGGAATCGAGGGCAACCGCATGTACAAGATCAACGGCCTGTATTACATTCTCGACGACTGCCCCGCGAACGGAATCACCGAGGTCTGGAAGGCCTCCAGCCCCTTTGGACCCTATGAAAGGAAGATCCTCAACAACAACATCGCATCCCCCATCCCAGGATCCGGCTCACCGGTCCAAGGCAGTCTGATCGAGACTCCGAATGGGCAGTGGTACTTTATGTCCTTTGCGTGGGCCTATCCCCTCGGGCGACTACCGGTCCTGGCCCCCGTGACATGGGGCTCGGACGGCTTCCCCACTCTCCAAACAGTGAACAACGCCTGGGGCGAATCCTACCCGTACCCGCTTCCAAAGAACGACAGCGTGCCGTCGTGGATCGGCGGCGACCAGTTCTGGGGCAGCTCGCTGGGCCCGATGTGGGAGTGGAACCACAATCCGGACACGACCAAGTTCTCCTTCAACAACCCCGGACTCACTCTGCAGACCGCCACCGTGACCAGCGACCTGTACCACGCGCGCAACACCCTGACCCATCGACCGCACGGCCAGTTCCCCGTCGGCACTGTCCTCCTTGACTTCGCCAACATGGCCGACGGCGACCAGTGCGGGCTGGCTGTCTTCAAGGACCAGAGTGCGTGGATTGGGGTCGTCCGCAGCGGTAACAGCTACACCGTGACTGCAGTCCAAGGGCTCACCCAGGATCCGAATAACAACTGGGCAACGACCAGCACAGGCACCGTGGTTGGGACTGCGTCCGTTTCGACGCGCCGGATCTACCTCCAGATCCGCATGGATGCGCGTGCGGACGGCCCGAAGCAATCGACCTTCTACTACAGCACGGACGGGAGCACGTATTCGCAGCTTGGCGGTGCCTTTACTTCTGATAGCGGCTGGCAGTACTTCATGGGATACCGCATTGCGATATTCAACTTCGCTACGAAGGCGTTGGGGGGTTCGGTTAAGGTCCTCGGCTTTACGAGTTGGACAACCAGCGGGAGTTAGAAACAGCATCTCCTTCGCTGACTCTACATGGGATGTCAAGGGCGCCTGTCTTTTGGAATTAGTTTTACAAATAGTAACAGCATATAGCCGTATAGGAACCTACTGCTCTAGCTGCTAGGAGATTAGCTGGCAGATGTAAGCATGAATTGCACTCAATAACATCATGACGAAATGCTTAGCTGGCACACCTGCAAAATCAAAATATCAAGCCATGACCCACTATCCCAGTCGATCGCCTTCTTCACTATTATAAAGTATTCAGTCGCTGTTAGCGGGCTTGGTGCAGACAAAACAACACGCCCGAGTGGACGGAAAATCTCATCCTGTCCAACGCACAGAATTTCTCCGTCTGTATCCACCCCTCTACAGACAAAGGATGAGATTGGTGGGCGCCATGAAATATGCTTGTTTGCGCCACTACGGCCTTGACGATGCTAGTGTTGTTGTAGTCTGGTTCAGGATGATGGGTCGAGTATAGGGGTCTTCATACTCTGGATACAATTCAATCCTGGAGAAGTGGGGAGGCGGAGAGTGGAGGGGTGGGGAGAGGGGAGAGGGAAACAGGTATATAGAGGGTGAGAAAGGGAAGAGTCTTCCTCTGCTCCCACTTTGCAGAGTCCCATTGACTGCTCACGGTGACAATGGGTTTCTTCCAGAATTATCGTGTCTATATCCTTACGACAGTGGCTTACTCCGGCTCACTGCTTTTTGGTACGTTTCCCTAGCTGGTCGTCTGGCAAGGAATCCGTTGACGAGCACGCTGGCGGATGCAGGCTATGATACCGGTGTCATGGGCAGCGTCCTCGCCCTGGACAGCTTCAAAAGAGATTTTGGACTCCCCAGCGGCTCGGACGGATTTGCGTCATCGAAGAATGCCCAAGTATCCTCCAATGTCGTGTCGCTGCTGACGGCCGGTTGCTTCTTCGGTGCCATCTTCGCCGCCGTTTTGAACGACCGCCTCGGGCGTCGCGTGTCTCTCATGATCTTCTCGCTAGTCTTCCTAATTGGAGCGGCTATCCAGGTCGGAGCTCATCATGAGATTGGTATGATATACGGCGGTCGTGTGGTGGCTGGACTAGGCATCGGCGGCATGTCGAGCATCACCCCAGTCTTCGTGAGTGAGAACTGCCCTGCAAATATCCGTGGGCGTGTGGCCGGTCTCTTTCAGGAGTTTCTGGTGATCGGAAGCACGTTCGCATACTGGCTCGACTACGGGGTTTCTCTGCACATCCCGACAAGTACAAAGCAATGGCGTGTCCCGGTCGCTATCCAGCTCATCCCCGGTGGGCTGATGTTCATCGGACTCTTTTTCCTCAAAGAATCACCTCGCTGGCTGATGAGCAAGGGTCGCTATGAAGAAGCCCTCCAATCTCTAGCTTACATCCGAAACAAACCTGCGAACGATGAGGAAGTGGAGAAAGAGATGGCTGAGATCAGAACGTCCATTGAAGACGAGCTGGCAGCGACCGAGGGGCTCACCTGGAAAGAATTCCTGCAGAAGAGTAACCGGAATCGTTTCCTGTTCGCAGTTGTGCTCATGTTCTGGCAGCAGTTCAGCGGCACAAATTCAATCGGTTATTATGCTCCTCAGATCTTCCAGACGATCGGCCTGAGCGCGACAAGTTCATCCCTCTTTGCTACCGGCGTCTATGGAACAGTCAAGGTCGTCGCCACAGCGATTTTCTTGCTCATCGGTATCGACCGATGGGGCCGGAAGCCAAGTCTGATTGGCGGCGCTGCCTGCATGGCGACCATGATGTTCATCATTGGGGCTGTCTTAGCCACGCACCCGCCCGATCCAAACGCCTCCGGGGTATCCCAGGCTTCCATCGCCATGGTCGTGATGATTTATCTTTATGTCATCTGCTATTCGACCTGGGGACCTGTTCCATGGGTCTATATTGGCGAGGTAAGGTGACCTCTGCACGTTTCTGTCGCTCAAGCGTATATGCTGACACTCACTCGCATCAGATTTTTCCGACCCGTCTTCGTGCATACGGCGTTGGTCTCGGAGCCACAAGTCAGTGGCTTTTCAATTTCGTCGTAACCGAGATTACCCCTCGTGCTGTCAACAACATTGGTTGGCGGACATTCCTCATGTTCGGCATCTTCTGTGTGGCCATGGGCCTGTTCATTCTCTTCTTTGCCAAGGAGACTAAAGGTCGTAGCCTAGAAGAGATGGATGTCCTCTTTGGCGCAGTCGATGGAAACGAGAGACACGCCGCGGTGAAACATGCCCTGCACAAGAGTGTTGCAACACACGCTGAAAATATCGACAGGGAAGCTGGAGGCCAGACCCAGCAGGACAAGGTCTAGCTTATGACTCAGAGCAATTTCGGCAACGTAGAGTATTAGGATGAGACAGAATGTTCCATGGAGAGGCCCTATCGTGAAAGAGGTCGTATATCACCTTTCTAGCTAGGTCTGACGATGATGCATTCCGGCGCTATTGGACGATGGGTTACTAGCTCTTTTCTTGCAGTAATGTAGTTTACCCGTTTCGAATTTCAGAACTGAGGGGACTCTGAGTCAGTATTGGCTGATTCTTATGAGTCAATATGCAGTAGGAAGCGTGGCTGTTGCTTGGCTGCATGAAGGCGTCAGCGCTAGCATTTTGTGCAAAGGTGTTCTAACCGCGGTCTGATTCTGAACTGCTGCATCAAATGACTCAGCAAAAACAGACGCAGTTACATCCCTTACAGTAGCGCGAGCGATGCATAACCCCTAGTATCTGTCTGACTCGGCACAACCTGGAAGATGATCTCCGTAGAATATATAATGAAGCGGAAAGGTGGTGTGTGCCTGGTCGGAGCAGCATTGACTTTCGCAGCATTCGGGATTGTGCTAGCCTATTTCTCAACAATCATGTTACACTGGAGCGTATGGTTTCCGGCGCCCTTTCTGTACACCGCGATCACTGTGTCGGGTTCTGGAAGTTGGCCGAATGGAACAACAGATTGCCAATGTGTATTCCCGTCCCTGATTGAAGCAACGGCGGCCGAGCTTCAGGAGGGGCTCACTAAGGGCTGCTTCTCCAGTGTTGACCTGGTCAATGTCGGTGCATTTCCCTCGCTCATACACCCGCGTTCATGATAATAATGGCCATTAGGCGTATGTGACGCGGATACATGAGGTCAACTCGACACTTCATATGGTCCTCGAGGTCAACCCCGACGCATGGGACATCGCTCGGCAGCTTGACTTGCAGAGAAATCATGGACTCGTACGAGGGTGAGGCATAACAGCAGTCAGGACTTTCATGACAGGAGCATTCACTGACAGCTGGCAGACCTTTGCATGGCCTTCCCATCCTTGTCAAAGGCAACATCGGCACCGAGGACAAGATGGAAACAGCTGGTAAGCTTGTATGCGGTTGCATCCCGACTCAATAGCTGACTGAGATCACCAGCCGGCTCTTATGCGCTTGTTGGCGCCAAGCAGGCTGCGGACTCAACTGTTGTAAAAAGGCTCAGACAAGAAGGCCTCATCATTCTCGGCAAGACCAGTCTGTCAGAGTGGGCGAACTTCAGGTCACTGAATGGATCCGATGGCTGGAACCCCCAGGGAGGTCAGACATATGCAGCTTACTACCCAAAGCAAAATCCCAGCGGTAGTTCAAGCGGCAGTGGCGTGGCAGCTGATTTGGGCCTTGCCCTGGCAGCCCTAGGTACCGAGGTAAATGACTTTCATCCGCAGAGAGCTCCCATTCATTATATGCTGACTTCGGAGGATTGATCAGACAAGCGGAAGCATTCTATTGCCGAGTGAGAATAGCAATATTGTCGGCATAAAGCCCACCGTCGGTCTCACATCACGGTATATGGTCATCCCCATAAGCCAGCGCCAGGATACAATAGGGCCGATGGCCAGGACTGTCAAAGATGCAGCAATGATTCTGCAAGCGATTGCAGGTCCAGATGAAAACGACAACTATACCCTGGCATCTCCATTTGGCAGCCGCCTCCCGAATTACGTCGCAGCTTGCAAGTCGTCCGGATTGAAAGAAAAACGAATCGGTATTCCCCGTAATGTTATCAACACGTTGAACGCGTCAAGTGAACCGATAGTGTCTGCATTTGAGGCCGCTGTCTCCGTGATTTCCGAGGCAGGCGCAACAATCGTTGAGGACACGAATTTCACAGGCTACGACGCCTACCTCAACACTTTGATCCCACAGGCCGTTGTGGCTGCTGATTTTATAAGCGATATCGCATCATATCTCTCGAAATTGAGGACCAATCCAAACAATCTTCAGAATCTAGAAGATATTCGGCGCTTCACTCAGCAGGAGCCACTAGAGGACTATCCATCTCGTGATACAGGGATCTGGGATCTCGCGCTTGGCAACGGTATCAACAACACGTCTCCCGAGTTCTGGCCATTGCACTTGCAGAGCCTGTACTACGGAGAAGAGGGAGGGCTAACGGGAGCTTTGTCCCGCCACAAGCTTGATGCTGTCATTCTTCCAACAGCTCTCGCTTCCGATATACCGGCTATCATCGGGTCACCAGCAATCACAGTCCCTCTTGGGGCGTTCCCCGAGGGAACACCAGTTGAGTACAATCCACGTGGTAACCTGATTAAAAAGGCGCCTGGTATCCCGTTCGGAATCAGCTTTCTGGGACCCAGATGGAGCGAGGAGAGCTTGATAGGCATGGCCTATGCATTCGAACAGCGGACGCTCATGAGGAACAAGCTCCAAAGATATATTGAACTGAGAAGTGACCTGAGAAGCATATCGTAGTGAGTTTTCGCTAGAGAACGGAATACATTCATCAGTAATTGATAGAGCAGTAACTGCAAATGAGGAAGATAAGTAGATATAATAATCGTGGAGGACAATACAAAGAACAATGGACGTCATAAATGCTGCAAGGCACGTGCGCTGGTGATGTGGGGATTACTCAGAAGGGAATAGCGCAATTCTTGAGATTGGGACGATAAGATTAGCTCCTCTCGCGGGGTTTTTAATTTGATGCGCCAAATCAAGTGTGCAAAGACGGTCGGAAAAGTGCCGGTGTTTAAAGTGTTACTACTGTATATTTATTGCTGATTTTATTTATGGAGAATCTAGAGCAGACATGCGCGTCCTTGCGCGCTCAGATCGCTGCCACCGAGGCCCAGCTTGCAGGTCTGAAACGCGAGCTCGAGATGGCTGAGCAAGCAGCTGCCGACGTCAAGGCTCAAGATACCGCGAGAACAATCGCTACCGACAAAAGGAGTGACAATGGGACAAGGAAGTGGCCACTGCTCAGCGAGGAATACAAGCGGTATGGAAGGCAAATGATTGTACCGCAACTTGGGTTGCCAGGTATGTGCACTGTGCTGCTCTAACAGCACAACGATCCTCCGCGTTGGCTTAGTGATTATGGCATTGCTAATATTCTGGTCACTTGTATAGGCCAATTGAAGCTTCGCTCCGCACGGGTCCTGATTGTTGGAGCAGGTGGGCTGGGTTGTCCTGCAGCGCTGTACCTTGCTGGAGCGGGTGTGGGCACCTTGGGCCTGGTCGACGGAGACACCGTGGAAAACTCGAACCTGCACCGGCAAGTGCTGCATAGGAGCAAGAATGTTGGAAAGTTCAAAGTGGATAGCGCCATCGAATATCTGCGAGAGTCAGTTCAGTGACGACCCCATCGAATGTGTTCAGGTACTGACTGGTTGATTCCCGGATCTTAGGCTGAATCCCCATCCTACATACGTACCATATAGAGCACACCTCACGCCTCAAGAAGCTCCGGATATTTTCAAAGATTACGATCTAATCCTTGATTGCACGGATAATCCCGCAACACGGTATTTGATCTCGGATATAGCGGTTCTGGTCGGGAAACCTCTAGTCTCTGCTTCCGCACTGCGGACGGAAGGACAGCTCATGGTGTTGAACTACCCTCCTCGGCCAGTGGGAGACAAGACAGGAGGACCGTGCTATCGATGCGTTTTTCCGAAACCGCCACCGGCGAACAGCGTTGTCAGCTGTGCTGACGGCGGGATCCTCGGCCCAGTTGTAGGCACAATGGGGGTTCTTCAAGCACTCGAGGCCATCAAGATAATTACTTCTTCAGCTGCGAATTCAAGCGGAACACCTCCATCTCTGCTTATATTCTCCGCATACTCGACGCCTCCGTTTCGAACCATTAAACTCCGCTCTCGTCGTGCGAAATGTGCGGTGTGCTCTGCCGATGCCAGCGTGACGCTTGAGACGCTCAAAGCAGGATCTACTGATTATGTCTTTTTTTGTGGTGTTGCAGGCCTGGAAGCGTCACTTTTATCAGAGGAGCGAATTTCGCCCCTTGACTTTAGAAAAAAGCATCCTAAGCAAGTGCCACAGGACGGAGGCAGCATAAACAAGGAGCCCACGATCATCGACGTGAGGGAGAAGGTGCAATTCGATATTTGTAATTTGGAAAACAGCATCAACATTCCCATCTCTACCATTTTGTCGTCAGCATCAAGTTCTACGACAAACGCAGACAACGACGCCCAACCTTCGCTACCGTCCTGGCTACCGCCAGACCTAGCGTCTGCTACCTCGACGGACCCGATATATGTTGTGTGCCGTCTTGGGAACGACTCGCAGATCGCAGTTCGGAGGTTGAAAGAGTTGGGGCTCGATCAGGGTGGACAAAGATATGTCGGTGATATACAAGGAGGGTTACGCGCATGGCGTGAACAAATTGATCCTGACTGGCCAGAATACTGAGTAGAAGCAAATAGATCAATTCATGCGAATCAAAGAAAGTCATGTGCAGTAGTCGTAACGGGTATATGTTCTCAAAAAGTCGAGCAAAAAACAAGGAGGGTAAAAGAAGCCGAAACGCTCATCTGTCATGACTGTGATGAAGCCACAGGTGAGTTTTCCAGCCATGACCATTCAACGGTGACCCGACCAAGATCCAGATCAGCAACCTTCTGAAAAACCGCGGGCGAAACGTCCAAGTCATCCACTTTACATCCTACACCTGGATTCATGTCAGCAAGAAGAGAATAGAAATGAAAGCAACAAAAGACGTACATCGATCAACAACCTTGACGTCTACGGTCGTTCCACCTCGACGAAGCCTCAATTTGAGCCCGCACAGGGGATTCGCATTCGGATTCGACCCCGTCGAAGCAGCATCAAAGAGGACATGCGAGACGGCACAGATCATGTCCGAGTCTGTGCTGGTGAGGCCGCATGAGCCGAGGCCGGGATTGTAGTAGGTCAAATCTCCTGAATAGGGACCACCATGGGAGGTGGGAAGAGGAAGATTCGAGTGGCTTTAGCCTTGGTCAGCCGATGTTCCCGAAGAGATAGAATGCCAGTGTAATATGCAACACTCTCGCTATAGTACTCACCTTTTGCCCCTGGTCAATCCCACAGCAAGGCCGAGGATTAGAGCAAGGAGACAGAGGACCGCGACTGCAACTGCGGTGACAATCATGCGCTTCTTTTTCGAGAATTGTCGCCAGTTCCACCAAGCTGCTTTAGTGGGAGGATGTACGCTAGATTCTTTGGTCGCAATAGCTGCTGGCTTAGGAGAAGCCTTTGCGATAGGGACGGGCTTCCGCTTCGGGACTCCCACAAAGGGGACATGGGATATTGGCGGGTGAGAAGCATCCTGACACAGTTGCGGGAGAGGTTTCTCCACGTCGGTAGACATGATGCCGTTGAATGATTATTTCATGAGCTTATTCAGATCTGAAGACCATCATGAGCGTGGAGGTAGCGATAGCCGACTTCCTGTGTGTGTAGATCAAATTAAGGGGTTAATTAAACAGAGACGCCAATTGATTGGCTGCATTCGGTGTAGGACACAGAGCAAATATCATTTGCAACATCATGGATATGCATCAAGAAAGTTATCATCAGAGTGGTCACAATAAATGATTGACATTCACTCAAGATCATCTTGATTGATAATGCCAGTCCCACATCTCATGGTTGTCAGTTGTCAATTGTCCCTGATGAGTTCCCTTGCTTAATGCTTGCATTTCCCGATCGGAGAAATCCTCCTCGATAAGACTGAAATCAGAAGTCTGGACTGCAAGCTTCAATTCATTATAACAGAAGTCTACGATCAAAACAAGGACATCAAACAGATATAACAAGATAACATCATCTGTTTCCTACTTTCCAAGGAGAGAACTACTAAGCCACGGGAGCCGACCCACAGAGTAAGTAGAGTCGCTCGGACTCGATAATCGCTATTATTTGGGGCGGAATTCTTTGCATCATTGCTCAGATCCATCATCAACCACTGACCAACATCTAAATGTCGAAGGTCATGCCTCTCAATCATCAATGATCGATGTGACAAAGTGCTGTGGTATTGATTAAAAGTCTCTATCGGAAAGAAAAAAGGTCTGCCGAGGAGGATCGCAGATCCGAGGCATCTGTGAGTCTGCAAGGCCCACCATCAAGGGCGATCTAATTCCGCCCAGACTGTCGATGTTGGCATCTCCCGTTCTGAGTTCTCACCAAAGTTTAATCCGAATCTGTTACTCTTGGAGGGATCTCTGCAAAAGTCGTGCGATTGTTACTCACAAACTGGACCTCTACCTTGTTTGACTAACGTCGGAGGATGTATCTGATGATCACGTGAACATGTCGATAATCGCCTCCAGTCTACAGATAGAGTGAGATCTTGTTTTTATCAACTTCCAACGGTCCACTGATTGAGAAACGCGGGGTGGTACTGAGCTTGTTGATCTTACCATGGCGTCGCGAGTCAGTTCGCGCCAGTCGGCAAGTTCCTCACAGTACTCACAGAATGATGAGCCAGACAAGAAGAAAGAGCAGGAGAAATGGAACCTTTTCCGTATGGTCAAGAATGGATGGTCAAGATTGGACCTGGATCGGCGGACGGTGATCTTGATGATGAAGTGAGTAATCACATTGACATTGCCTGTTGGAAACTCACAAGATGTTAGAGGTGCTCTACCGCCTGCTATTGCCATAGCCATGTAAGAGATGTCCTCAGTTCCTCTCATTAAATCGCTCTAACAACGAACAGATTTCAAGCCGATGCTGTTGCGGCACGGTTCAGCACTATCGGTTATCTCATAGCAATCATCTCCGTTCTCGGATTTGCCATCATGCCACGGGCCAAATTCATCCAGATGTTGATCTTGGACGTGCTGGCGGTTTGCGTTGCAACGGCCTTTGCTCTGCTTATGATGTTTTGCAGCGTGAAAGCACGACAAAACACACAGTCTGCTGCGGATGCGGCCTCGACGTCGAGTTCGAATCCGACAGCCAACGAGTACAATTCGTCCGCCTCCGCCGTGAGTGGCGTGCTGCTGTTCTTCCAGATATACCTGGTGCACTCGTTCCGTGCCCACTATCAACAGTTCCAATTTCCGGTGATTATATATGCCATAATCGCCAATATCACTTCTTCTTATGCCCCTCGGCTCCCAACCATGGCCGCCGGTATTGCTTTGGTGAGGAACCTGCTTGAGGCATGTTTGATCGGGTTGGGACTCACTACGGGTGTTTCCCTGTTTATCTATCCTGTGACCTCAAGACAGATTGTATTCAAAGAGATGGCAGGTTATATCGGAAGCCTTCGCGCAGCTCTCAAAGCTCATACAAAGTACTTTGAGACTTTGGAACGCGATGACATGTTTGGCCGGGCCGAGACATATGACGAGACTGTCGAGAAGTATACCAAAAAGGGCAAAGTGTATAGCCCAGAAGCAGAAGCTATTCGAACTGCGATCCAGAAGATTACGGACCTTCATGGCAAACTGCACGCCGACCTAACCTTCGCCAAGCGTGAGTTCGCCATTGGGAAGCTCGGTCCTGACGATCTTCAAGCCATCTTCAGACAATTACGCCAAGTGATGATCCCTGTGGTCGGTCTCAGCTTCGTTGTGGACATTTTCCAGCGTCTCTCGGAGTACAATAAATGGAACGAGCCTATTGATCCCCTGGCAACGGATATACCTACCACCGTACGCAATCGTGTTGTACACGAATGGAACGAAATCATGAGGGCTGTGCATGATCCCTTCGCCTCGATTATTGAGACTATCGATAGCGGCCTAGATCACATTTCTTTATCATTGCAACTGACAAAGCCACCTAAAACTTCACTCGGAAAGAAAGATGCGTCGACGGACGGGGCCGCAGATCTGGAAGCGTCTGCAGAGAAACCCCCGTCCCCAGGAGAAGCAGGGTTCACAGCTTATTATGAGCGAAAACTCAACGACTTCAAGGTGGCAAAACGACTCGCTCTGAGGACCTGGAGTGAAGAGAAGGGCATCACATTACCCCCGGATTTTTTCGAGCGTCCTTCTTCTGACATGCCCGATCTGGACGAATTCCTGCTAGACAAATCCAGGGTCGGTCGCGATAGGAGCCGTCGACAGCTCTATCTTTTTCTTTATGTATGTGCGAAAGCAACTTGCTCGCATTTTGCTGCTGACTTCTTGAATTAGATGGAACAATTACTCTACTCAACAGGCCATACAGTACTCGATTTTATTCATTTCGCTGATGAGAAAGTCAAAAGTGGAAAGCTGTCAAGATCACGTCTGATCATTCCTGGCGCTAAACGCTTACTGAAGTGGTCACGTAGTATACTTCAGGCGGAGGATACTCATGAAGACGATCACTTGGGCGATATCCACACGCAGAACCACATCCTTCAGCTTGGTGAAGCGTACAGGCACAGGAAGGATCCAGAGCATTTGCCCCCTGAAACCACCATTCAAAAGATTGGCGACAAAATCAGGGTAATACCATGGCTACTGCGTTCATCAGAATCAGCGTACGGATTTCGAGTGGCTTGCGCTACTATGACTATCTATGTCATTGCCCTACTTCACCAGACTCAGACCTTCTTCATCCAGCAACGTCTGGTCTGGGCCATGATCATGGTTAACATCAGCATGTCACCGACCTCGGGACAGAGCATTTTTGGCTTTGTGCTTCGTCTGATTGGCACTGTGATAGCCATGGTTCTCACATTTTTGGCCTGGTATATTCCAGGCGAAAAGACACCAGGCGTGATTGTCTTCTTCTGGCTGTTTGTCGCCTGTGCGTTTTATATTCCTATCAAGCTTTTCCGATTTCGAATTGTTGGGATTATCGTCATCATCACCACTTCCATGATCATCGGTTATGAACTTCAGGTGCGCAAGGTTGGGCAAAAGGTTGCGACCTCTAATGGCCAGGCCTATTATCCCATTTATCTTCTTGCTCCATATCGTCTGGCCACAGTGGCCGGGGGTATCGCGGTGGCATTTTTCTGGACATTTTTCCCGTTTCCAATCTCCGAGCATGGCGTTCTTCGCCAGAGCCTTGGAGCTTCGCTTTATCTACTGGCGAATTACTATTCTATTATCCACGAGACCGTTTCTGCGCGCTTGCGGAGTGACGAAGGTGATCTGGCTTTGAAAACTTCAGCAGGGCGAAGACTGCAGAAAGCGCGAGGCAAAGTGTTTTCTAAGCAGATGTTGATGTTGAATGGCTTACGAACATATTCAGGGTTTCTGAAATGGGAGGTGCCAATCGGTGGTCGGTTTCCCAAGAAGCGGTACGATGCTATCATATCATCCATTGAGAAGTATAGCTCCCATCTCACTTTCATTACCAGTGACTTGCCACTAACATTCAATAGCATCGTTAGTTATCTGAGTTTGCTAGGCTATGCCTCGGACACTCTTTTGCAGATGAGCGATGACCCCAACGCATCGACTTCTGACTGGCTTCACGACTTCAAGAGACTGGTGTCCAGTGCACGCGTCACGACTCACGAGGTGACCTCGGTTCTGTGCCTCCTCTCAGCAAGTATTACGAACCGACAACCTCTGCCGCCCTACCTGAAGACTCCTCGACCGTACAGTTTCACTAAGAGATTAGAGGCACTCGACAAGGACATTCTCAGCATCAAGCACATTGCGGAGCCGGGGTTCGCCACTTTCTCTGTACTGCAGATATCGACCAGATGCATTGTTGGAGATGTGGAGAGATTGATGAGGTGAGTCAGTCGTCGTCCATGTTTGACGAGATGCTAAAAGAGAGGTTTGATAGGAATGTAAAGGCTCTCGTGGGAGAGCTTGATTTTTCCTTCCATGCTGTCAGCACGGCGCATAGCACGAAGTCGTCTCTAGATCAATCGCGTCTCTCGAGACCACCGTCTCGCGACAAGCTCGAGTGATGAGATTATCCATTCTGTTTATACATATTTGAGATTATCAAGTCTCGACTTGTTCGTCCTTGATTGTAAATACTTCCGCAATACGACACGAATGTCAAGAATCTCAATTTCTTGGGTATAACGTTTCTTTTGATCGCGGGTCAGGTAACAGAAGGAGATGATCTCGTTTCCTGTTGTGCTAGCCGTCTTTTCCGGCTGATTGCGCTTACTTTCTTGATAGGTGCAAAGTGAGAATGGAGGATCAATTGCCTCATTGGATCAGCGTTCAATAACCTCATCATTTATGCCTTTGGGCAACAAAACATCACGACTTAGCAATGCCGACTCACCTTGGCAGTTGGCACGGATGCTTCGAAACGGCCGACTTTTGACCTCCTGCATTCCAGATTCGAGTTAAACAATATCATTATATCATTTAGAGAACTCCTTGCATGAGCCGTGCGCAGCATCAACGAATCCTGCCTGATCGGAGACTGGACGGCATAACACATCAGGAATGCAGGAGAGTATCCGGACAACAACTCAACTGGAGCTTGAATCAAGGGTTCAAGCCCGAACTTCGAGCTTTGACTCCTTCTGTCTGTTTCCTGCTATGAATAATCCTTTTCCCACGATGGAAGGATCTGTGCGCATCTGTGCGCACGACCATCCAGGTTTAGGGTCTATCATCGTACATCCCTTGCGGAGGCTTGATCATGCTGTTATAGTAAAGTCACGTCAGTGGAAGCCATGCCTTTTCTCAATTTTGTCGTTGATAAATCTGCTTCGATTACCATATTTCCCTCCAGCAGTCCTCTCATCATTCTCTAGAACATTTGTCTACTTGACATTGGCGCCATCTATGTCTTGAACTGCGCAACCACACCAAATGGGTGTAGAATCCATTGATACAGACTGCACTGCAAACACCTCCAGAGACAGCTTCAAGTCCGGCACAGCATTCCACGGTTTTGATGACGATACATTTTCCTACACTGACACGGTCGAGTTGTCCGTGACGGAGGCCAACACAGGGAGCAGAGAATGGAGGCCCCGAGTCAAGGAATGGCTCGTTCTGATTTGCGTCTCGATCTTGACCATGTTGGTTGCTTTTGATGCGACGATGGTCATACCATTCATACCTGTAAGGGCTCCGAAGACACCACAGGGACTCCCCTCTTGACGAATGACTAGGGCTTATCCCTCACGTTTGGAGAACCCCTCAGTAGCACACTATGGCTCAACTCATGCTATCTACTTGCCAGCGCAACGGGACAGATGTTCTTTTCGATACTGGCCGAGGTAATCGGGCACGGGCCTCTTTTGGTCGCGGCAGCTGTCGTCTCAACAATCGGGACGGGAGTGTGTGGTGGCTCCTTGCAACTATCCGAGCTAGTCGCTGGTCGATTCATACAAGGACTAGGCGGAGGGGGCGTGCTGTCTGTTTCGCTGCTCTGCCTGGCAGAGAATATACCCGACAAACACCTTGTACGCTTCTCTAGCTATGTTTCCCGGGTCCGCCTGGTGGGAGCCATCCTTGGCCTGGTCATGGGCACCTTGTTCTACGAGTACATTGCCTGGCGAGGGGCGTTTTACTCGAGCTTCTTCTTCTGTGCGCTCGGCATGCTCGTGATACCCTTTGCGGTTGAGCTGAGAGGCCATCGGGGTATCTCGTCACGGACGTTGTTGAAGATGGACTGGTTGGGCGCTGTGCTGACTCTCCTGGCGCTGTGCTGTTTCCTTATAGGGATCAGCTGGGGAGGAACGAGCTATCCTTGGAGCGACTGGCGGGTGCTGACTCCCCTTGTTCTCGGAACATCCTCGACACTCGTCCTAGCTCTATATGAGACGAATTGGGCTGTTCGACCGTTTTTCCGCAAGAACGATTTCAGGACTCTCCCCGCGCTGATGATGTACATCGGCAGCTTCTTGCACGGTTTCACGGTATGGCCTCCCAAGGGTTCCGACTGAGTCATTCGCTGATTGCATTTTAGCTCTTCTACCATTTACAGAACCTAACCATATATTTCATCTTCGTCCGCTCGCTTCCTCTCCCACTCACCGCAGCCAGCCTCGCCTCTATAATGGCTCTCGCCCTCTTCGCCCTAGCCCTGACAGAAAAGCTCCCAGTTCTGGACGACCGTCGCCACTCCTTTTGGCTGGTCCGTGTCGGATGGATGCTTATCATTCTCTGCACAGGATGTCTCGTAACATTGGACTCTACCACTCCAACCGCCGGATGGATCCTCGTCCTCGTCGCTACAGGCACGGGCCATGGATGCCTGGTCTCCGGCTACCAAAAGTGCCTTCGGCCAGCACCAGTGCCACGAGACTATGGCGACCAGGAGGAAAGAAGCATTAACCCTACGTCTGCTCTACTGATGTGCTCGCTTTTCCGGACAGTGGGAATGTGTATCGCTGTCACTGTCAGCGGGACGATGTTTTTGGACCACGTCGCGGAGGAACTCAAGGGCCAGTCCTTTGAAAGCGCTCATGGACAGACTACGGAGACAGCTTGGGCCCGCATACCGGACGATCGGTTCCGGAGCACCTGTACAGCCAGCCTTGAGTTTCTGTGGTTGGTACTGACTGGGGTAGCGAGTCTGGGAGGTGTTTCTTCCTTGTTCACTAGGGCTGTGGGATGATATTATTCAAGCCCGGGTTTCCAATGACATCAGCAGACTTTAATCTTTCCTAGACTATTCGTGCATATGTGGTGCGTTCTGCGCCTTGATTCCAGCAGCCATAGGCCATTTTAGCGGGAAGGCAGTAAGCTTCTCAGCCATGGACCAGCCACTAAACTTGTCACTCCACAGCATTATGAGCACACATCCACGCGGTGCACACCAACCCTTTGGAACCGTAGTATCCGACACCAAAACTCTACGGGACAGCGTGATGTCATCCGCCTCTCATGGGGGGTTCTCTCTACAACACATCTCCGCGGAGGTGAAGATCATTAAATACGCCCCTTAGCGTAATCAAATAGTCAACCCGCATACAAAACCCTACAAGGAGTAAAAAAGAATACCCTTGATGTAGTCAAGCCACAAACATGCCTAGCAAACCCACCGGCGCAACAGACCTCGAAGTCCTCAACGAGCCGGACTGGACGCAATCGCACAGCCACCGCGTCGGCGTGCGCAACCGCGACGATCGCTTCCCGGGGCTGACGCACGAGGGCGACGACTGGCGCTATGAGCTTGAGAAGGAGGCCGAGAAGCGGGCGGAGGAGCTGCGGGCGAAGGCGAAGACGGGGGAGCTGCTTACCGTGCGGGGCTTTTTGGCGAAGCAGGAGGTGAGTCGTATCCCGTTTCTTCATGTGAATGTGAATAGGGGTGGAGGGATGGATGGTAGAGGCTCATTTAGAGTAGGACTTTCATTTGAGGAGGCCGGATGTGCATCCGAAGCATTGGCGATATGTGCTGCATACGACGGAGGAGTTTATCAAAGAGGAGCAGCCTTGGTTGATTAATGAGAAGAAGAAGGAGCAGGAAGAGAAGGACAAGGAGAAGGGAGGCGAGCAGCAGCAGGATGGGACTGACGGCTCGGAGAAGAAGCCTGCCGAGTCAGATCAGGGCGAGAAGAAGGAAGGGGGTAAAGAGGAAGACTCGCAACCGAAGTATACCCCGGAGCAACAGGCACCCTTGGAGTATCTGAAGCAGGAGGCAGAGTTTATGCGCTCCTTGAAATCGAACGACGGGATGGGACGTTCGCCTGTGGGGTGTTCCTTCATCCCAGGAGAGATCGATGAAGCCGATCAGTTCACCCCCGACAACTGGGTTCCTCGGACGGACCATTTGATTCGAATCACCGGAAAGCATCCCCTGAATGGAGAGCCACAGCTGGTCGAACTCCTCGATGCAGGCCTCATCACCCCCAATTGGCTACACTATGTGCGCAGTCACGGCCAAGTACCTCACCTCCTCTGGGAGAACCACAAGCTGGAGATCTCAGCCGGCAAGTCATTGACTTTGTTCATGGATGATTTGAAGGATCAGTTCAACAGCATCAACATTCCCGCCCTGATGGCGTGCGACGGAAATCGGAGGAAGGAGCTCAATCTGATCAAGCGCAGCAAAGGATTCAACTTCGGCCCTGGCGCCGTAGGTTGTGCCTATTGGAAGGGTGTGCTCGTGCGAGACGTCCTGCTCATGGCGGATATCCTGCAGCTGATGGATGAATACAAGGATGTGCGTCTCTGGGTGAATTTTGGAGGTGCCGAGCTTCTCAGCGAAGGAAAGTACGAGACCTCCATCCCCCTCGACTACTGCATGGATCCTTGCAATGATGTGATCCTTGCCTACGAGATGAATGACTCTCCACTGCCTGCGGACCATGGCTACCCGTTGCGTCTGGTGATTCCCGGGTACGTGGGCGGACGTTCGGTGAAGTGGCTGGAGAAGATCTGGGTGACCGACTATGAAAATGACACGTATTACCACATCTTCGATAACCGGGTCGTTCCCAGCTTCGTGACCGACCGGTTTGACGAGATAGGCCAGACCATGTATCATCACCCGAGTACGGCGTGCATGGAACAGATGCTGAACTCGGTCATCGCGAGGCCGGCGCAAGGGGAGAGGATAGATCTGGCGGAAATGAGAAAGGGCAAAAAATATCGGATCACAGGTTATGCGTATAATGGGGGTGGGAACGAGGTACAGAGGGTTGAAGTCAGTCTCGATGGTGGTGCCAACTGGCTGTATTGTGTTCGCAAGGTATGTCGTAGCCATGTTTGAGATGCGTAGTGCATGCTCTGACGCCTGTTGACATGGAACAGTTTCCCGAGGCACCGCTGCGACATGGCAGGAAATTCTGGCTTGGTTGCACTGGCATGTGGACATCGACATCACGCAGCTACTTCGCGCTGAGCAGATCACAGTCCGTTGCTGGGATGTGAACAAGAACACTCAGCCGGAAAAGCCGACGTGGAATCTCGAGGGGTGAGTGGCCAAGCCATCACAGCGTATCAGAAGGTCTAGCCTTTACTGAACACAAAGCAGCATGATGAACAACTCCCATTACATCGTCAAGTCTGAAACCTCAGTGGACCCGACAGACAACAAGTCGTACCTGCTGTTCCGTCACCCTGTTGAACCAGGCACTGGCGAGAATGGGTGGATGAAACCATCGATCAGTATCCAGAAGGAAGATATCCGACGATCAGCAGCCGTTCCCGAGAAACAATTTACCCGTGAGGAGATTGAAAAACACACCACAGATCAGGATTGCTGGATTGTCATCAACGGTAAGGTATACGGTGCCACCAGTGTACTGAGCTGGCATCCAGGAGGAAAAGCGCCCATTATGGCCCACGCGGGCCGGGTCCACCAAGAGACGACGGAGGAATACGAAAGTATCCACGATGATTATGCTGTTCAGAAATTAGAGGGTACGACGCCCTTCTCCGTCGTCTGTCATAACGGGCTAACATAACGAATAGAGTGCCTCCTGGGATCCGTCACCCAGAAAACGTCAGAGTTCATCAAGAAGGAAGCCGAAGAAACGGCCAAGGAGAAAGCGAAATCAGCAGAAGGTGAAGAGGAGGTCGCACTCAAGCGTCACAAGTATGTCCTCGTCCTTCTTCAAACCATTGACTATCAAAAACTCACCTCGATGTCGCAGATGGGCCTAAGTCAAATTCCTCCGCAAACGACCAGTATCGGAGGACACAAAGTGCTACACCTTTGCACTCCCTTCCAAAGACAAGAAGCTCGGCCTGGAGACAGGCCAACATCTTCAGATCGGCTTCCACTTCAAGGACCGGCTTGTCGTTCGTCCATACACCCCTACCCGACCCATCCTGCCGTCCGAAAAAGACGGCACATTCGACCTCGTGGTCAAAACGTACTTCCCTAGTCCGGCACGACCAGGCGGCACAACCAGGCGGCACAACCAGGCGGCACAACCAGGCGGCACAACCAGGCGGCACAATGAGCAATATACTTGACTGTGTACAGGAAGGCGAGGAAATCGAGGTGAAAGGGCCCGCAGGCGAGATTCGATACCGCGGGAAGGGCGAATTTCTCGTCGATGATAAGACGTATCATTTCGATCACATCACTTTGATTCTAGGAGGATCGGGTATCACACCGGGGTACCAGCTCATTGCACGAATTCTGAAGACCGAACAGGGGAGTGGAATCAAGGTCAGGGCCATTGATGCCAACAGGTCCGAGGAAGATATTCTCTTGCGCGGGGAACTCGACAAGTTCGCGCAGGAACATCCGGACCAGTTCCAGATCACGTACGTGCTTTCCCACCCTGGGGACAACTGGAAGGGAGAAAAGGGACATGTGAACGAAGAGATCCTCCACAAGTTTGCCTTTGAGCCGGGGGAGAAGAATGCTGCGCTTCTGTGTGGTCCGCCTACCATGATTCAGAAAGCGGTCTTGCCGGTTCTGAAGAAGTGGGGATATGATGAGGACAAGAACCTGTTTGGATTTTAGTCTCGCATCTTTGGTGTTTCAAGCCTTGAGATTTCCCTAAGGTCGTAAATAATGGCAGTCTGCACTAGAATTCCATTAAGGTCGACCATTTCCAAGTCCTCGGGGGGTTCTGCCTGTCCCCACGTCAGATGGAAATGTCGTAGTGAATTACTCTCGAGGCATAACGGAATAGATTGATATAATTTCTCAGCCTCACTTTTCAAGACCACACTCAAATGATAGTGGGACGAGAACTGGAAAGCCAACTTTGGCAAGCCTAGTGACTTTTGTGACAGAAGCTATTCTTGAAGGATTAACATTATTTCTCATATGAGTCTGAGTAAAGCGTATCGTTAGTGCTAGTGATAGCCTAGGCCTGCCTATCTATCGAGTAATAAAGTATACAAGATGCCTGAAGGGAGGCAAGCTAGGATAGCACAAGGTAGAACAATGCAACTTGTGTGATGACTACTGTTACTTTACAAATGCAAAGTACGAATTCAAATCAAAGATGGAGAATTAGAGGACGACTTTATCAACCGGTTGATTGATCGATTGATTGACTGTTTCGTTGACTGACTGAGTGCAGTATACAGAAAGTTCGAGTACAAGACGATCCTCCGATCTCAAAGCACAAGTATTATGCAAATTTATTCACAAGACACGAACATTTGCGTAAAAGACAATAGCAAGGGCAGCTCGAAGCTGCTGGTATCGAGCAAGTGAAACAAGGATCATATCAAAACAAGAGCAAGGCGAGAAGAAAGAGCTTCTCAGTTCCGAGCCAAGAGGGGATAGGGGGTTGGCACCCGCTTCAAGCCGTAGCCAAGTTGCTCATCCGCCTTTGAGGGCGTCGCTTACGATTTGAATGGCGCGACTTTGTCATTGAGCGAGGACTCTTCGGAGTGATTAGCTGGCTTGGGTTTGCGGAGCTCGTGGACAAGCTTGAGGTAGTGCTTGAGAATGTTGGAGCTTTCCTTGGCCATGATGAAGTGAGATGAAGAAATTTGCTCTTTGGCAGAGTGCTCTGGACGAAAAATGGGGGATGGAAGAAAGAAAAGGAAGAAGAAGGCAGGAGGGAGTTGGGGGGTTCTCTTATACTCCCTCGGCTGGCTAAGAATAGGATGCCGTTCCAGAGAATTCTGACTGCTGCACCAGAAAGTGAAGGAGAATGACAACAGAGTGATGCCATGAGCCGCCAGTCTCTCGACTTTGTTAACAGAAAAAAGAATGGGCTTTGGTTGTAGGAAAGTGCACTGGCAGTTGTGGCTGCTGTTACTATCAGCGACAGCAATGTACGTACGTAACGGAAGGAGCATTATGCTCGATACATCTGGCTACTGTTTATATGGAGGAGATTCTCCCTGTGGCATCTTCGAATTCCTCAATCTTCAGCATCCTCTCCCAGCTTCCACTGCATCCATTATCTCCATTCCACTCCTTACGCTTCTGAGTCTCATATCTCTTACCGTCCAACCTTCGAGTCGCATCATCACCATCATCATGCAGCTTCTTATTATTGCTTTTCTCCTCTTCATAGTGAATCCCACTCTCGCTGCTCCACACCAGTCGGAGCACGAAGCTCCTCCTCTGCCCGATGGAATGCCCTTTCCTAGTCCTGGTCAGTTACGCGAAATCGAGCTGAGAGCACACGGAACGCTGCCAAACACGCCTCTTCCAGATCACATCAGCCGGGAAGGTATTGTAAACCTACAACTGATTGCTTTCAATGAACTCTTTGAGGTGGCTTTCTTCAACGAGCTTCTTCTCAACGTCACGAACAATGTGACGGGCTTTGAGATCCCCGATGAAGAAAACCGGAACATGGTCGTCCGAAGTCTCACTGCAATTCGCGCGGTAAGACCCTCTGGAGGCCATCAATCAAGCCGCTTGACTAACAATTGACTCTAGCAAGAAGAGTTGCATGCCTTGAGCGCTAATTATGCCCTTCAACACTTCAATGTTTCGCCCATCCTTCCCTGCAGGTATCACTTCCCTGTCTCCGACTTTGACCACGCAATCGCTCTGGCCGCCACTTTCACCGATCTTGTCCTTGGAACTCTGCAAGATGTGGTGGAGCGATTTGCCGTCGGGGGTGACTTTAACTTCACTCGAATCATCTCCTCTGTGATCGGGAACGAAGGCGAACAAGAGGGCTGGTTCCGCTTGCTCCAGGACAAGATTCCCAGTGAACTTCCGTTCCTCACCACCAGTGATCTCAACTTTGCTTTCACTGCAATCCAGGCTTTTGTCGTCCCTGGCAGCTGCCCGAATATCGATGAAATTCCACTGGAAACATTCCATTTCTTGGCCATCCTGACACCACCAGCAAACACTACCCAGACCATCCGAGTCGCCTGGAGGCCTACCGAGACCGGCGCACCGGGGCAGCACGTGTGGATGACCTATATCAATCAACTGAATCTACCAATAGTAGAACCAATGAACATCATCTCCGTCGAGCACCGGACGGTTGTCGCAGAGGTCCTTTTCCCTTACGACGAGTACCTGATGAATGGATTGACCATTGCTGCTGTGACCAACAGCAGTGGTCCGTTTCCGAATGCGAATGCCGTGGCTCGGGCTACAGTGGCTGGACCTGGCTTGATCGTTGTCAATTGAGGTCCTGTCATGGGATTTCTGAGGCATGAAGACTGTACGCTGCGACTGGTTTATTCTTCCGTTGTTAATATTCGAGACTCTCTTGCCACTATTCCTATTCTGCTATTCTGCTAGTTTGTTTGGGACTTCGGGAGGCTTGAAGTTTCCTCCCTGGGCTTGCATAGGTCCTCTACGCTCCCTTGGGAGGGAGGGGCAAGGAAGGTTGAAACCGAATTAGCTTAGGCCTATTGCGAATCACCAGTGATTGCTTAATAGTACTTAGATACAAGAAATTAAATGGAGTTATTTGATAGCTCTCCCTTCTGTCTCCTTGGCCTTCCCCGTCACTTTCGAGTCGTACGGTAAACGAAGAATGTGCAAGCCACTTACAGCTTACCCTGGCCAGCGTTGGCGGTAACACTGGAGACAACGGTGGTGTAGGCGGAAGCGGAGGCAATGTTCTTGCCCTTGAAGTTGGAGAGGAAGTCCTCATCAGCCTGGCTGAAGGTGCCGGAGCTTCCGAAGCCGTTGACCTGGCAGGTGTGGCCCAGGTAAGAAGAGCAGACCTTGTTGGTGGTGGCGTCGGGGGAGGTGAAGAGCTTGCCGGAGATGGGGGACTCGGCGACGACCTCGACGTTCTGGAAGACGTTGCCTTCGGCGACCACGTAGGCACCGGAGCCGATCTCAAAGGCATGGCCCGAGTTGTCGTACCAGTAGTTGTTGACCTTTCTCGTTAGTTTGCGAGCATTTAACCCCAACCAGGAGGGAAAGGAACGTACAGCATGCAGCAGAGTGTTACCCTGGACCTTGGGGGAGCGGCCACTGGTGTGGTAGATGTAGTTACCCTTCATGGTGACCATGTCGCTGGAGCCATCGAGGTAGATACCCCAGTAGTGGTAGCCGTCGCAGGTGGCAGAGTAGTCCGAGACACCGTTGATGTAGCAGTTGGAGATGGTGACGCGGTTGTCGGCCTGGGTGCCGAGGACGATGTGCTGGCGACCGATCCGGGCGGTCTATCACCGGGCCTCAATATCACTTATCCTGGTCTGTGAGGCGCGTTGAAGGATTAATGAGAGAGACTTACAGTGACGTGGTCGATCCAGACCAGGTCCGCGTTGTTGAGGGTGATGGCGTCTCCGCCCCAGACGTACTTGGGGTTGATGTCGGTGATGGCGACGTTCTGGATGATGATGTTCTTTGCGCCGCTGACGATGCGCAGCCCCTTGCCCTTGATGACGCCGGCGCTGCCCTGGCCGATCAGGGATTTGTTCGAGTTGACGGTGATGCCGAGCACGCCGGCGTTGTCGTAGCTGACGCTGGCCTTGGGGGCGTTGGGCTCGTAGTTGTCGCACCACGAGTTCTGGTTGATGGCCAGCTGGCACTTGGAGCTGGTGCCCCAGGGGGCGCAGCCCGTGGAGGTCGTGGTGCCTTCGGTGCCGCGGAAGTCGAAGCTGGGGATGTCGAGGTCAGTGTTCAGCTGTTCCATCCTTCAGGACATGGCGGGGAGGGAGGTGGTGTACGTCTTGGTGAGGACGATGACGCGGGCCTGGCTGTCGCCGAGGTATGAGACCAGCTCATCGGTTGTGCTAGGGTACACGGGGGTGGCGCTTCCACCTCCAGTGACGCCCTTTGCGAAGCCCTCGGCGGCTCCCGAGACGCCAACGGCTGCGGCGGTGCTGGCCAGAGCAGCCGTGACGGCGGCGAAGAGAGAGGTATATCTCATGATGAGAGAAAGAATGACAGGAGAAAGGAATGAATGAATGAAGTAGGCACTAAGAGTGAAGAGTAAGAAGGAATGAATGGGTTGGTTCAAAGGAGCACTCCTTACGACAGGGAGGGGGGGTTGAAGCCTTATATACGCTTCATCTCAGGATTCCGGACATGGTCCAGATGGAGACATCCAGAGATACAAACCCCTATTATCAGATCCGGTTCATCTATCCGAGTCAGTAATGCAGCGCCATACAAAATAGATGCCTGTTAGATGAAACGTACCAGACTAAGCCGGCCCTGGAAATGCAGCCCACCGGTGCTTAGTCTACGACTATGATTACAGAAGGCTAAAGTGAATCAAATGAGAATCCAACCGTCGGCCACAATTTCTCCTTGAGCTCGTCCAGCCGTTGACTGATGAATAGTGGGTTGTGGATAGTTCACCAATAACGGGGCAAGGGGCGGAGGAGTCGAGTTTAAAGTGTTTCATGGTGCTACTTCGAAACAAGATCTTAACCTCTTTGCAATTAGTCTCCGTCGGACTGAGGAACTTGCGAACATCTTTCTCGAGAGATTCTCCGTCTTGGCGGGAGCGAGGTTGAGGCATCCACTGGATGGATGATGCTGGCGAGATTCGAGACTCAAGGCGTTGCATCTATGCGAATACGAAACTCTAGCAGCTTGGCTTTTTCTGAACGCTTCTTGTCTTGATTAATTGATCATGGTTCTCAATTCTCATTGTGGTTGGAATCAGGAACGATGAGGGACACGATCCACAGTGGATCACCACAACTGACTCTCGAGGCCACATGGAATAAGAAATCACCTCTTAGCTTCCAGACTCACTCAAGGGCCAAGACTCGAGAGCCCCTGCATGATGCATCATACAAATGTCTCCATTCTCCATAGCCATGCAGATCCACATAGGGCAACAGCGGAAGTTCCGAGCTTAGCCTTGCCTACAACGTGGTCAAGATAAGTACTAGTAGAGAGGAGTAAGTAGTTGTCTTAATTGCAGGAAATTGCCCGAAGACCCTCACTCAAATGGGGCATTGTATTTGTTAGATTGTGAGTGTATTAATCTGTTCATCATGTACTCCGTACTCGTATTTCTACAAGACATGCTACGCTTCGCTCCGCAATAGTATCTGTAGATTATACTATATATTAGTTATCGAGTGGGAAGGCTTTGGAACTAAGTAATTTCATCTCCCCTGCATACGTCAGCCCCTTGTCTTATATTGCTACTTTATTCGACCATGACTTGGAAGGACGAGGGAAATATATCGTATGATAACTAACACGTTGGTACTCAACTTGAACGTTGGAACGGAGTATAGGAGGACAATTTCCATGGCCCACTAGAATGATTCTTCAGCCACCGCAACCTCATTGCGAAGAGATGAAGAGGTCTGTCTGGTCCTCGCCTGGTAGTCCTACTATGAGCTGAAGATGGACAGAGCTCTCGACATCCTCGGTCTAGAGTCTTGAAAAATCCCCCGGTGCTGCTGCCTCATTGAATAATGTAGTATTGCCGCGACCCAAGGGCTCAATGGCCAAGGAGTATACTGCAATGATCTCGACGTCGCCTTCTGTGAAGGTGGAGTCACTATAAGGTCGCAATCCTCTTGTCGACAGATATTCCTGAAGTGATGAATTCATGCCCATGATTATGTGGGAGGTACGGAGTACGCCAGAGTCATGTATCCCTGACACTTGCCGATGAAAAGTCAATAGCACATATTGCCAAAGGGGTCAACCAAATTTGACTGTCAGAGTTGGCATTTACAACCTGTTATCTCAGTACTTATTGATTGCAGCGAAGCTTGCAAGAAAGCTAGACAGGTTGACCGTTGGAATGCTGGAAGCGCGGTGAAAAGGCAGTTGGACAGCCAGGGACGATCAAGGAGAAGGGTGTGAAGAGAAAGATCGATAATCGGTGCCGATCAGATTCTCAGAGTCTGATTGCTGAACAGATCTGGGGTCCAGATAGAACTGATGTGATTGGCAAAGCGATCGATGATCTCAGGATGGATGAATGAATTGCCACTACCCAAGGAGGAATGGTGCTGGTGCCTTGCTGCCTCAGGCTCATTCACATGAGGGTCGGTCATCGGGACGGCAATTCCGTTTCCCCTTGAGCATTGGCTATGCACTCAATCAAGTCTATCAACTTCATGAATCGGATGTGACTGTATATCATAAACAGTAGGAGGAGATTGGCCTCTCAATTGAAAGCAGAAGATCTGCCGATAGTGACGACGGAGTGGCAGCAGGGGAATTATATTTCTTGCATGCCAGCGAGCTTTCGCCGTGTATCCCCGACGCTTGCAATTAGCAAATGTGTGATTGGCCTGGAAGCGCTGAGTCAGCAAATTGCCGACCGCCAGACCCGAGGTTACCTTAGCTCCCAGAAGCGACAAAACATCTCCAGCGGCGTCTGAATCGTCTTCCGGACTCCCTTGAACCTCATCTCGTCGTCGCCGCTAGCAGGCTAGTGCTATATCTGACCATCTCTACATCTCCTCTCTGCCTCACTGCCACTCTACGCTGCTCAATCGACCCCTTCCGGCTCGTGCACCCTTTGACTCCAGCGCACTCGCGTGATTGAAACGACCTTCCTCTCGTCCGCCCACCATGGCTGCTCTTCGTTCAACCTCGCGCCTCGTCGCATCCACGCGGCCTCTGTTCCGTCCTGCCGTCTTTGCTCGCTCGTATGCCACTGTTGATCCCGCTACTGGAGTCGGTCGCTCTGGCAATGCCGAGGCCAAGGTCACCCCCAAAACCAGGACTTCTGACGTCCCAGATCCCAACCCGTCCCAGTCTCCGAGAATCAAGAAGTTCCACGTCTACCGCTGGAACCCTGACCAGCCCACCGAGAAGCCCAAGATGCAGACCTACACCCTGGATCTGAACAAGACCGGTCCCATGATGCTGGATGCGCTCATCAGAATCAAGAACGAGATCGACCCCACCTTGACCTTCCGGAGAAGTTGCCGAGAGGGTATCTGCGGTAGCTGTGCCATGAACATCGACGGCATCAACACTCTGGCTTGCTTGTGTATGTTTGGCACATTTGGACTGGATAAAGGACATCGAGCGTGGTCACTAACATCCCGTTAGGCCGCATTCCCACCGACACCAAGCAGGAGTCGCGTATCTACCCGTTGCCTCACACCTACGTCGTCAAGGACTTGGTTCCCGATCTGACCTACTTCTACAAGCAATACAAGTCCATCAAGCCTTACCTGCAGCGTGACACCAAGACCGAGGATGTGAGTGTTTCTCAGATGTTGTGACCACGAAGCCCAGCTAATTCAGGAACAGGGTCTCGAGAACCGCCAGAGCCCCGAGGAGCGCAAGAAACTCGACGGTCTCTATGAATGCATCCTGTGCGCCTGCTGCTCGACCTCTTGCCCTTCGTATTGGTGGAACAGCGAGGAGTACCTGGGTCCCGCCATCCTGCTCCAGTCTTACCGCTGGCTGGCCGATTCTCGTGATGAGAAGACCGCTGAGCGCAAGCACGCTCTCGACAACAGCATGAGCGTCTACCGTTGCCACACTATTCTCAACTGCTCGCGGACTTGCCCCAAGGGCCTGAACCCCGCTCGTGCTATTGCTGAGATCAAGAAGATGCTCGCTGCTCATTAGATGGTGTGTTTACAATAAAAGAAAAGGCTCTTTGTTGTCTTCATTTGTTCATTCTCCCCTGTGCGCCTATATTTCTTGTGTTATCCTTTTTGCCCATGTTGTTCCATTAGTTTTTCTCCTCGATTTCGAGGTTATTCATGTCGGATGTTTTCATAGGTGTAAATTGAGTATGTGATCTTCAAGCAATATAGTGGCGACATTCAGTCTTTGAATTTCTTCCCGCTGTCACTGGTACTCATAGAATTATGATCGTCATAGGCGTCGAAAGGATCTTTGGAAGATGTCTTCAGGTCGCATGTTGGATGCGGCAACATGACAGTAAATCGATCCGCGAAGACTTCAGCTACGTGCATTTTTCGATTATGTTCATAGAAGCAAAATCTGGGTGGCGATACTACCACCGGGCTGTTAGCACAGTGGTAGTGCGCCCGCTTCGCATGCGGGAGGTCGTGGGTTCGATTCCCACATAGTCCAATTTTTGCTTCCGATAACAGCTTCATCTTCTTTTTTAATAGTGTTCTGGTTACAGAGTGTTGCAAAGGTCATCCAGACTGATAGATGAAAACCATTCACAGCTTTATATACTACATTGGCAAGCCATTTCCAAAAAGTCCTTTTACTAGATATGCTGCCCTCACTTTCTATATATGTGTAATTCATACTGGATCAGGGAGATCTTGCCTTTGAGCGTTTCATTTCTGCATCAGCTGAGATCATAGTGAGGGCAGAACAGGTTGTCATCTACTTAAATTGCTAAATTTCGTTCGAAGAACAGTGATAGGTTATGTCTCGACATTTATACTCAATTGGTGGGTAATCATACACTGATAGCCTTCCAAAATGCTGGACACTCATAACCTTGCACCACATTTGAGATCGGAATCAGATGGGCAGCTGAGCTGGTCGGATCTTCCTGAATCTGCCTGACATAGGATTGGGCGACCTTGAGCCACAGCGCCTTCTCCCGCTTACTCGCCTCCGAGCCTTGCCAGACCCACAGTCTGCTACCGGTGTCGCAGAGAAACACGTCCTTCCCATCCAAGTCTGATGGGGAGATCCGCTGACCATCCTTGACGAGGTCAAATGAAATGTCCCCCACGGCATCACTGAGTCGGAATAATTTGTGCGACCGAGACTCGTTGCTATCCCGATCACCTCTTGCAGGGAAAGAGACGGGACGCGGTGCCTGGAAGGACGACTGCTTGATATCCTTGCCGCCGAGCAGGTCCACGATGAGTTTGGATCGTGATTCCAGCTGGGAAAGAACCTCGACGTCGACATGCTTAGCAAGGGTCATGTCGTTGACCACCTGCGCGCCTTTTGCCTTTTCCATCGGGCTACAGTTCTTGCCCTGCCAGACCCAGATTTTCTCGCCCTCATCCAAGACAAAGACGTCATGCTCGTCGAGACTCTGCCAGGTCGGCGCGACCTCGTACACGATGATTGAATCAGCTCGGACAGCACCGGGGTGCTTGAAGATCCGAAGGAGCGTGGCCTTCTTCGGCGCCTGTTGCTCTGTCTCGACGTGGGCGAAGCCTGACCGGACGCCTCCAGATCGAATGGAGAGGCGAGGGAACAATGCCATGAACTCCGCCGAGGGGTGCTGCTGGACCTCGCGATGCTGCGTGGCAGTACCATGCAGGAACTCATCAAGCTCGACGGTCTTGTATGCGGCCGTGCCCGCCTCGTCCTGGGTGGTCTTGCTTCCCAGCCAGAAGAAGATATCGTGGCACAGCTTGTCCTCTACTGTGTCAGAGTGCAGGACGATATAGCTATCGCCATCGTAGAACTCGCCCGCTCGTTCTTTGCGCCAGGGGACAACCTCGAAGTTCTCAATGCGCCAGATAAAAAGGCCGCGTTGTTGTCCCACCAGGCCGTTGTTCCAGGCTGGCTCGGACGCGGCCGAGTTGTATTTGACGCGATGGTCAATCTCCGAACCGATCAATTCCACATTGCTGTCTTTGATATCGTATTCTTTGAGATGAACTAGACCTTCATGCAGAGACATTTTGTTGTTGATTGTTGGATGAAGTCAGATGTTTTAGCACAGGCGAAACGTGGATCAATGTGGGGTTGATTAGGCTAATGCATATGCTCTGTTTAAGGAACATAGAGCTGATATAAGCCAGCCTGCCTCAACACCTTCTTTTTAGGTGCTACTGCACTTACACAGATACGGGGAAATTCTGCTGGAGGCTTAGGTAGAATCGCGAACAGGATTATCTTTCAGTTGATCAAGATTGTTACTATGGTAGATGAGTTACATACTTATTGAATCCTCCAATGATACTCATGGATCTGGTCCACCATATCCAGGAGCTCCCCAGCGTCTTAGCGATCCAAGCACTTCCCATCAGATCAAGTTTATATGCTAATGGTTCAGAACATAGTGTTGGTGGAGCTGGTGTTATATTAAACCAAGAAAGCTGGATTCCAAACTCACAATATCCTCATCACACAGCAGACCATCTTCCATATAAGCATCATCCTCACGCAATGTGGCAGATAACCACCTACATCTGTTAATTGCTGCCACTATAGCAAAGGCAAAGAGCGAAGCTACGGTGCTTCGGGACGATTGATACTCCCCCATCTTTCCAGGTTGACGGACCAGCCTATCTAACATCTTGAGATACATATTGAAGGCCAGTTTCACCCGTATCTTCACCGCAATCTCCGAGTTCTGGTCCCTTTCGCCTCACACATGGCAAATGGATCAGAGATTGTCCTTCGAACGTCCAGATACTACTACCCGGATATCCCTCTGGAGAGATCGCCGGACCTTTCGTTCTATCTCCTATATGCTTTCGTCGTCCCGCACACGCCACTTTACTGATCACTGTGTTTTCGCCACAGCAAAATCCACAATCTGGCGAAACTAAGTTCACTTGGAAGCCTGATAAAAGGGTACAGGAGGGAGATATAGCTTTCGCATTGCAGGATCTACTCAAGGCAGAAAAAGCTAGGTGCAGAACCCTGATATGGATAGATCTGGGTATCAGTCCATTCTTGGTCTGTTACTCTGTTTTAGGCTATCTGTTTTGATTTTTCATGTAATGTCTAGCAGCAAAATTCCAGCTCATAGACAGATTCATTTATATATTCCTCTTACTTCGTCTCATGTGTTGCACCGTAAGAATGTTGGTGATTCTTTCTTTAGTGATATTGTCTAAGGTCTACATGCATCTCCACAAACCACAGACGATATACACTTTGGAAAAGCCCCTGAGCTGTCATAAAGATTTATGAACAGGGTCTATTTTTGTTTGGGCCGTCTTCAGCTTTTCATGGATCATGCAGGACATGAGCCAAGGAACAACAGCCGCCATGTAGGGCTACATGAGCTCATGTATGAGATTATCCAATAGCTTTGAGCGGATGACGATCTAGAAGCTATTTTGCCCCGATCCTTCGCTATGATGAAAGAATGTGATGTTCTATAAAAACAAGTTTCTGAGCGAAGGAAAGGTGTCAATCCAGTATATCAAAGCCATGCATACTTTCCAGCTGGTATAAATCTACCTTTTGATAAGCTCCTCCCGTTTGGAAATGGTGCCACTGATTGTTCGAAAAGTGATCATCAGATGAAGTTACCAGCCTATCAATGACTTCTAAGACTCTCGCGGTCATGGAAACAGTGCCATCCTCAAATCACGCCGTCCAACATGACCATATCTCGGGAGATGCGAGAAAGCAACGGATCCAGTCCCCTGATATGGTGCAAGCATGGATCATAGGCAACGGCATTGCATCTCTCGCGGCTGCTGTCTACTTGCTCCAAGACGCTCGGTTGCCGGCCAGAAACATCCACCTCCTCAACGCCCATAGAGGTTGTGACTTGAAAGTAAAGAGCTCTGGCGATGCAGAAAATGGCTATATTCTGAGGACCGGGGATTTACCATTCTTCCACGATCGATGTGTGGATAGCCTTCTATCCCGCATTCCAAGTACAGCTGATCCGTGCAAGTCGATTCTCGATACTGTTCGGGATTCTGAGAGAGATCCCAAAAACCAATGCAAGAGTGTCGCCCGCTTTGTGAAGCGTGGCGACGGTCATCCGGAGAAGCTCGCCCTCAAGAATTGTCACTTCGAACTCAAACACCGATGCGAGCTTCTGAAATTGGTTCTAGAGTATGAGAGGAGCCTTAAGGGCAAGAGCATCGAGGACATCTTTGATGCCTCTTTTTTCCGCTCGGATGCCTGGAAATTATGGTCCACCACGTAAGCTAGGCTCAAATATCCTCGTCCCTTTGGCTTGACTCACTCAGCCGGCAGGTTCGCAATTCGACCCCAACACAGTGCCATGGAACTTCGCAGGCAGCTATTCAAGTATGCTGACAAGCTCAAGGACTTCAATCGTGTGAGCACCCTTCATCGGACGCAATATACCATACATGAATCGATAGTGGTACCAATAACCGATTTCCTGCACGACGAAGGCGTGGACTTGGCCACCAACTCAGAGGTGATTGATATTATGATGACTCCTGATGACCATCCTACCACAGTCTTAAAATCGAAGTGGTGGAGCATGGCAACATCAGTCCGATTACCATTAATGATTCCGACATCGTCATTGTCACCCTTGGCTCAATGAGTTTAGGAACCATTGTCGGGCATAATGGGTCGCCTCCGTCTCCCATTACTCCAGATGAGATTATGATAGGCGACTGGTCACTATAGATCAAATTGTCTCACAAATCAATTCATTATGGGGAGCCGCTGACGTTCTCCACCAAGATCAACAAGACAAGGCTGGAATCATTCACCGTCACCTTACACAACTCAGCGTTCCTAGATGAGAACGTCTACGTTGTCTGGGGCTACGGCCTATATCCTGACCGAATTGACGATTACGTGCGCAAGCCAATGCTGGACTGCTCAGGGGAGGAGATACTAATACAGTTGCTCCAGCAGCTACACTTCCCTGTGGATCAGATTCTCCCAGCTGCAATCACCATACCGATGATCAGACCACTAGCTACGTCTTCCCTGGTGAATTGGTTTCCTGATGATCGGCCCTATGTGATTCCGAAACTTATAACAAATCTTGCGTTCGCGGGGGCAACTTATAGAAATGCTGTGTGAGGTAACATGCAGTATGGAGTACAGTGTCCGCAACGCTCAATATGCGGTATATGAGTTGATGGGAATGGCGAGCAAGCCCCCTCTTGTGAAGAGGAATAGTTTTTCTGACATTTGGAGATCGCTGAGATAAATGTTCCATTCCAGGGAATACAGAATTTGTTTCTATGTGGATTACTATCCACGCAATAGTGATTATAGTTGTTGGCATTAGATGACCACTTTCTATATTGGCTTTCATATGCCTCAATGGTGATGTAGATACTAAAAACATATCTGCTTGACAGATAGACGTACACACAGTGAATACTAAATAGTACTACCTTACTAAGCCTTAAGCCCTGGCACTAAGCCTAAAATACAGATCATATATAGAGTAAAATCCACTTTTTGCAGTGGTCACATCCATACTGGTAATTAGGTAAGGGGGGTGTCGGTGTATCCTAGGGGGTGTTGCTGTATCACTACCCAATATTAAGCCTGAGGTTGACAACTCCCCTTATGGCTAGTTTATCTGTTTTAGGCTAGCTTCCTGCTACACTGTGTGATAACAAACACTGTCTTTTAACTCATGAGTCTTCCACTTTTGGTTTCGATTACTACCAACCATTTGATCCGGAGAAAGACCATCTGCTCAAGCAAAAACAAGAATCCAATCTAATCAGGCTGAAACTCAGCTTTTCAAAACCCCATCGCAGTCTATGATCGCTCATTTCGCGACCGCTTTAAGATCAGTGATGATAAATAGAACCAAATGGCCTTTTTATATTCCGAGTCATGCATTATTCTGAGAGAACCTCGTTGACTTTACCCTGATGCGTTCTGTACCTTTGTTTGAGGGCACTAAACATGGATAAGAATGTTATGTATGAACAGACCCAAGCTTACACGCCCACACAGACATAGTATCCCAGCCAAAGAGTCGAACAGCTCGTTCCCACCTGCGGGTTCCACTGATTGAAGTCGGCCGCGGTGATGCCATACTGCTTCTGGATGCTGTCGCAAGTATTGCCGCTAACCACCTTGTGCCATTTCTTGCAAGCGCAGACGGCGCCCGGCTGCGTGGGCGTCGGCGCACTCGTGCAGCCGGCCGGGGTGGTTGTCGTGGGGGGCTGAGTCGGTGTTCCAGGGACCCCTAGGCGGATATTAGTCCGGTGTCTCCAGAGGCAACTCAAGAGAAGGAGAAGTAAGTGCGCCCTCACCGATACAGTAGTAATATCCCAGCCATAAGCCACTGCAGTCCGCCCCCACGGCGGAGTTCCAGGAGAGGAACTGGTCCAGCGTGAAGGTGCCGTATTGCTTCACGATCCCGGCGCAGGTGTCACCGCTCACGGCCTTGTGGTACCGATTGCAGGTGGAGATGATGCCTGTCTGTGTCGGCGACGGCCCAGTGGGGGTCGTTGTGGTGGTGGTGGTGGTGGTGGTCTTAGTCGATGGGGTACCAGGCACACCCACGCAGTAGTAGGTCTTGGCCCACAGAGCGGAACAGTCGCTGCCCACGGCGGGATTCCAGCTCAGGAAGTGGTCCAACGTGAAGGTGCCGTACTTGGCGACGATCTTGTCGCAGGTGTCACCTGCTACGGCCATGTAGAAGCTGTTGCATGTGGAGATAATCCCCGTCTGCGTGGGCGAGGGGCCACCTGTCGGCGTGGTCGTGGTCGTAGGCTTCGTGGTTGGCGTGCCGGGAATGCCCACGCAGTAGTAGGTCTTCGCCCAGAGGCCACTGCAGTCCGCGCCGACGGCGGGATTCCACGAGATGAACTCAGCGGTTGTGAAGGTGCCGTACTTGGCCACGATCTTGTCGCAGGTGTCGCCTGCTACAGCCAGGTAGAAGGTCGTGCAGGTGTCGATCAGGCCGGTCTGCGTCGGAGAGGGCTTCGGGGTGGACGTGCTAGTTGTGGTGGTGGTGGTCGGACGAGGCTGGCCATGGTTGACCTCGACGCAGTAGGAGTTACCTACCTTGATGCCACTGCAGTCGTCCTTGACTGAGGGATTCTACAATGCACGTTAGTTGATTGGGCTGATTGGGGTTTGATTCGGAGAGTGGTGAAGGGAGAGAGACGCACGTAGGACACAAACTGCTCGTGGGTCAATCCCCAGTTGCGCTCGAACCATTCGCAGGTATATGTCTTGTCGAGAGCCGTGTCATACCAGGTGCAATCGGCCGCCGTGCCAGGGTCGACAGGGCCATCCTGTCGTCGGGTAAGACGGGGGCTCGCCAGCGCGGCGACCAAGAGGAGGGAATAGGGCAAAAGACTCTGCAGAAGCATACCGACGGATATCTTGGGATGGGGCTGAAACTACGAAGAGGGATGGGATCAGCCTCCCCTTTTGAGCTATAAATTCTTCTCTCCTTCCATGCCATCCATCGCTGCAGGCGAGGTCAATGAACCGGACCATCCCATACAATGAGCACATACATGCTGACAACTAAGCAATCTGTCAGCGCTAGGCCTGTGGGAGTAAATGAAGCGATATCTGCCATGGTTTGATTATCATGTCTCACAGTCATAGGGGGTCTAAACGAGGTTGCATTGGCATGCCAGACGGACTACTCCGGTTGACCCTGGTATGGGGGGCCTTGCAGGGATTCGAATTCTTTGAATCTGGCCTAAATCTTTATGGCTACCTTCTGTAGTATCATAAGGTTAAGAAATAAATTGAGTTATTATAATCAAGAAGGTAAGCAGAACTCTACTTGCTTCTAGCACTCCTACTACTCATTTAGGAAGATGACTGCCTGACTGCTTAAAGGATAAATCACCAGGATCAATTGGAGTAAACTAGCGTGGTTAGGCCATATCTGATGGCACTTACCAGTTGATCTTATTCTTCCATCTTGTGCTTTCTCCCACTATCAACTTCACCTCTTCTTTTTCCTCCTCCGCCCATTCCACTTCGCTGTTTAGGCCCCCAATGTCGGGGGAAACGCTGGAAATCGACGCCGATTACGGCCGTCTACCATTCGACATCTTCATTTCGGTTAGTTTTCCCAAATTATATGTTGCATCCATCCGGCTCTGTTCCGGTCTGACCTCAGCACACAGGAACGTTGGGATCACAATGCCAAAGGAGACAGTCAGGAACAGTGGGAGGGACTCGTCTGGGAATGGCAGAAGCTGACGCTATTGGAACGCTGGGCATGTCCTTCGTTTCCCCTTGCAGTAAGATAGCGGGCGGCCTGACTGCCCCTTCGCAGCCGTATCAGCACCGTGCCGAGAGTGAGACCTCTCCGCCTGAAATCAGCGAGGAGATCAGACGCGTGCTGGCCACACACCAGACAGTGCACGAGCGCAATATCAGCCTGGTCAGCAGCGCCGGCTGGCAGACCGTCTGGCTGCGGACATGCTATGACGCGGATCTCGTGAGCAAATACGAAGAGCTCAAATGGAGATCCGAGGTGCCTGGAGAGGGTGTCTCAGAGAATAAGATCCTGGATGACCCCGCCCTCTACAATTTCAATGACGGCAGTGAGGACTCATGGCGTCAGGTGATAGTCCGCGTTCCCGGCATCACAGATTTCCATGGCATTATTGATATGAATGGCGATGGGAGTGATTTGCAGTACAAGAGTGGGCAGAATGATGAGTACATGGTGGCGCAGGCTGAGGAGGAGAGCAAGGAAGTTTGGCGGGACCTCGCTCGAGCGCAGTTGAGAATTCAGGCTGGTCTTTATCTGTTGGACCGAGAAGCCATTGAGTCTGGAGTGATTAAAATTCTCTGGCTGGATGAGCATGGGAATATCGCCTGGGATAACCGGCTGGACCCTTGTAACTGCAGGTTGGAGGGCCTCACGAGTTCACTCCTCAGCTCTATAAGTTTAGTGGAATTGGCCAACTACAACGGCACCCGCGGGGCTCTGATTGAGAACTAGACGGGCTAGTTCCCTGTAGGAAAAGAAAATCCAACTCTCAGTGTTCTTGACTCTAATGGCATCTCCGTGGCGCTGTAGACCTTGTACTCCCCAAGGTTGCTTGGCATGCAGGCATCATGCACGGCCAAGATCGCACCATGTAACCCCAGCGGACGAGGAGAGGCATGCTAGCCAAGTATTCAAGACCGTGTGATAGACTACTGTACGCCAAGCTAAACTTGGGGGGCCTAATCTAAGCCCGGCCTAAAATGCTAAACCTACACTCAGGCCTGACCGAAATCCGGATCATGCAGTATCCGGCAATACACACTGTACCAACGACGCAGGGAAGAATACATTCCTCAATAGTACGTACTACTCATTGTGAAATCTCAGACCCATGTCTTCTACCCATAGTATTCCCGCTTACCACCCCATAATTACACTAGGCAGACAGCTGGAGGCAAAGGTGGTCGAGGGCGGCGCAGGCTCGTCGAGAAAAGGCGTGCAATACGGCTCCATACTGCTGCTGCAATCCTCCGGCATCAGGGCCCAGTCGAATCCGTCCTCAATATCCTGGTCTTTCACCGGGCAGTCCGTGATCCGGGACGCTCCCAGGCTCCAATAGGTCATGTTCGCTGTCGCCGTCACGGTCCCAACGCTGCCAAAGGCATATGGATCCGTGCGGGTCACATTAGAGGCCTCGGCGGCAGAAGGCAGCGCAACCCAGTCGCCCGTGGGCACTGTCCAGGTTTCGTTGTAAGTCACCGTAATGGGGATATCCCAGTCTCCGGAGCCCGGGGGTGAGACGCAGATAGTATGGCCCACCAGCGTAGCCAGGTTATCACAGCTCCTGTGAATGATCGGATTCCAGGCCAGGAGCTCGGTGATGGTGAAGTCCTTACCGGCGAGGATATCCTTGCAGGTCTCGTTCGCCGCAATCTGGGGCAAGCGTCAGCTATGTGGAAAAGAGGATTGTGGGTGTCTGACCGTGTGGAGCGTGCAGCTATCACCCACGCATAATTTGGTGCCCACCGTGAGGGTCTCGCACTTCAGGTCGATGCCGTTGTCGCTCAGAAGGCGATAGTATGCAATATTGTTCGCCTGGGCAATGGACGCGCAGGTATCCCCTTGGGCCACGGTGTATTCGGTGCCCAAACACGGTGCTGATGAATTGGACGTGCTGATTATCCGCATCAGTCTCTCATCGGACTTGCACGCTCCACGTAGGATTTTCATACCTGGTGGGCGCAGGGGGGAACGTGACGGTGCTATGGGGATATGCCGTCGGGGCCACGCTGCAGGATGAAGCGAGCGCGGAGAACGAGCCCTCACTCACTCTCCGGTGCCCGTAGGTGGAGTTAAGCAAGCCAGCCAAATACTGGAGTGTGCAGTCGTCACAGGCTTGAGCGGTATGGTTTGTAATCGACGGCAAGCATAGCGAACGGGTTGTGCTGTATAAACATTCATCAAAATCAGAATCCCGGAGCACTACAGCGTTGCTATAAACTCACGAATCCTCGAGACATGCGACGTTTTGCGCCCACAGCAAGGGGACTGCGATGTCATTGCCAGACTGCTTCGTCGAGTTGCCGAAGGAGTACACGGTATTGCCGCAGCGGGTGTTGACAAGCGTTGCGAAGCTCTGGAGGAGGTCTCAGCAACCTGAGCTCTTGAACATCCCCTGATCCGGCAGAAGGAAAGAATACCTGAAGCGAGTTTCTGCAGGTGGCCTCGCAATATTGTTCAAGAAACGTTTCATTCTGGGGGACCTCGTTCACGATCTCAGCGGCGGTGATCAACTTCGCCGGGCATGTTATGTTGGTCGTTAGAGCTCCACGGCAGCCGGCTGGAATGGCGGTTCCCAGGGCAGCTGGGCTGTCCCATATCTTCACTGCAGTCGCCTGCAATGGAAGGACAACGAGTAGGACACCGAAAGCACAACACCTGCGTACGGATGAGAATGCCATTGTGCTTTTTGAAGGGAATATCGCGTCAGGTCAACAGCACTGGCTTGGAATATGTCAGTCTTCAACACTTTGACAGATGACTTGCAATACATACTTCGCCTGCTAGACCCAGTCGACAGGAAGGGACGGCAAACGCCGGTGTCGAATGCACACCTGGTTGCATGAAATACGACCTTTTGCTACCTGGGCTGACAGGTATACATCGTCCGATTGGTAGGCCTTAAATATGCCGTGGAACCTGTAGCCACCAACTTTTAGCCCCAATATGCAGGGGAATACACTCATCACTAGCTCAAGGCGTTCAATTAGGCCCCCGGGCCTAGCTAGTTCTGGCAGTACACAACCCTGAACAATCACGCTGGTCTGTATCAAGATGGCTTGGCTAATATTGATGTATATGCATGGTTCTCGAGGCACCTTTTGCATGAAATATAGATTAGAGCACCTGATGCACCAGAAGATGTCTCACCAAGTCATTCATTTTTCTTTTCACTCTCTCCTCTCAGACTCGGCCACCGTCTCTTATTCTAAAGGTCTGCGAAGCCATGGAGCTGAGGGTCTTTTTGGTGTTTCTGGTCTTCGGTATTGTACAGTGGAGATTCTCAACCGCTCAACAGGGCACAACATGCAGCGTTTTAGAGCCGTGTAAGAGCGGATGCTGCAGCAAAGAAGGTCAGTTCGAACCTTTCATCAGCAGGCATGACCCGCTAACTTGTATTCGAACACCAGGATCATGCGGTTTTGGTGATGATTTCTGCGGCGAGGGGTAAATGATCCTCCGCTTGGTCCTTAATTGTGCGTCCATGAATTGAATGAACTAAATGCCTGTTAGATGCCAGGGTTCATGCAATGCAACTGCAGAATGTGGCAAGTACGCCCCAAAGGGCAGCTTCGACTGTCCGTTGAATGTCTGCTGCAGGTATGGAACCCCGCTGTTGGCAGGAAGATCATAAATCTATCAACGGTATATTGACGACTGAATAGCAAATGGGGTTATTGCGGTACAACAGACGATTTCTGCAACGATGAATGTCAAAATGAGAACGGCTGTCTGCCGGTTCTGTAGGTTCCCCATGCCCCGAAGCCTATGAGCCATCTAACGTCGGTCCAGACGCCCAGAATGCTCCGCGAGCGACGACGCAATGGCACTGGATGTGCGTATTGGGTACTACGGCCTGTGGGCAGCTAGCAGAGGCTGTGACAATTACTTGCCCGAGAACATTCCCGCCGGAGCCTTGACGCATATCAATCTTGCTTTTGAATATGTGAGCGAAGGTCATGAGATCACGGACGCCCAGGGTCAGGGTCCCATCGTGGCTCGTGTGTCGCGGCTGAAGAAGAAATATCCCGGTCTACGAGTGAATATCGCCCTTGGTCAGTACTAAGCCTGTTGGCTACCTCATTGCCCGTAATGCTCATGCAGTGGTTAGGCGGTTGGGTGTTCAACGACCCCCCGACTCAGCACCGGTTCTCTGACATGGCGTCCACCGTGCCAAATCGACAGAAGTTCATTGCATCCCTGATCCGGTATATCCGGCGCTACGGCCTCAATGGTGTCGATATCGGTTCGTACACAATGTTCCCGACTGAAAATGTTCCGGACTGCTTCAAACTAACAAACGGCGACAGACTGGGAGTATCCGGTTGCAGACGACCGCGGTGGCTCGACGCTCGACTACGACAACTTTGTCCTTCTTTGTGCGGATATCCGCGAAGCCTTCGACAGAGAGGATCCAGGGTGGCAGCTGACCATCACTCTTCCGGCCAGCTACTGGTACCTACGCGGGTTCAACTTGAACAATCTCGAAAAATACGTCGACTGGTTCAACGTCATGACCTACGACATCCATGGGATCTGGGACCAGAAGAATGTCTGGACCGGCCCATACCTGAAGGGCCACACCAATCTGACGGAAATCGAGCAGGGCCTTGACCTGCTCTGGAGGAATGGAGTAAGCTCCCACAAGGTCGTCATGGGATTTGGCTTCTATGGCCGTTCGTTTACCATTTCCGATCTGTCGTGCACTACTCCGCCGACTTGTACTTTTGATAGTGCTGGCTTTGCCGGGGAATGTACCAACGAAACGGGCATTCTCTCATATAGCGGTGCGTATGCTCTAGTCTGATGCCCTATCTCTCCGTGACTTACGTGACTCCATGCAACAGAGGTGATCAGCAAGGAAGCCCAGCTAGGGTCAAAAACGTTCTACGACGAGGCATCCTCCGTGAAATGGATGGTGTACGGCTCCAACCAGGTTTGTTCGCACATTGTAAGAGAAATGGGGAGATATCACGCTGACAAGGTCTAGTGGATATCCTTTGACGACGAGCAAAGCTTCACGGCCAAAAAGAAGTACCTCACTTCGCGCTGTCTGAAGGGTCTCATGATCTGGTCCATCGATCTAGATACCCAAGACCACCAGGCGATGACCGGCCTATTCGGGGAAGCGGCAATGGAGGGCGCTCTCAGGGACACCGGGCTTGATCCAGAGGAAGCTGAACAGTTGGCCTCCGATCTTTCGGCATGGACTGGGGAGCTCTGCTATACCACACCTACCTGCACAGATGGCAGTCGCGATCAGCGCGGGCCAGATCAGGTGTGTCAGAGTGGCTACACAGCGGTCGAGATGGCCCATGCCCCGGTCCAGAAGAACGGGGACTTCCCCATGCACGGCGAGTGCGCGGAGAATTGGTGGCGATACATCTGCTGCCCGACAAAAGCCATGCCGCAGAATTGCGGGTGGGTGGGAGCCCCTGAACGCTCAGCCTCTGGCTGCGATCGTGGCTGCGGAGCATCGCAGTTTGAGCTCAACTACGACACATACATTGATGCAAAGGGACAACGCAACTGTTACACAGGAGAACGGAGTGTAAGCATTCGTTCGATATGTTGCATTCAATACCGGTGACGCTGACAATAGCCACCATAGCTCTGCTGTGACAGCACGGAGATCCTGAACAAGTGTCACTGGACCGGCTGCGATCTTGTTCCAGTGGGGAGCCAGTGTGGTAGCGATGAGGTCTCGGTTGGCATGCGCTATGATGATGATAAGGGAGGTAGGTTAACATCGAATAACATAATCTATTGTTGCGAGCATTGACATGATCATCCAGGGCTGTGTGGCACTGCGTGGATGGGCGCGGTGCGTGATAACGACCGTCGGCAATACCGGGAGTTCTGCTGTCCAAAAAGTGGTAAGTCATGTTTGAAGGATTCCTAGGGACTCTGCCGTACTGGAGGACGAATTGGAGAATTCTGACCTGGAAACCCCAGACGCTTTTGCGAACTGTGACTGGGCCATAAAGGACTGCAATCCAGGGCAGTGCCCGAAGAACAAGTTGGAAGTCACCACGGCACAGACGCCGTCCTGGATCTACGACAATTCACTGTATTCATCGAGCCAGTGCTATGGGTTCCAGATCCCCGAGATGATGAGTCCTGACTTCAAGCTCTGCTGCGATCCCCCCTCCCGGTACAACGAAAAATGGCCCGTCGAACCAAAGTATCTCTGGAGCCACTATTACGACGACGCTGGTGACGATGTCACTTGGGAGTTCAGCGATAACTTCGGCAACAACAATAAAGACACAAGACCGGACGATATGGAAGACGATCCGGGCACCGATCCCTACGGTTTTGTCATGCTGGATGGCCCCCCTGGCTCGATCAACAATGCGTTTGGTACGCAGTACACCGTCGTGACCCGCGATGAGCCAGTGAATGTCAAGAAGAGGAGCATTGTCACTACAAACCAGACGATTATGGACGCAGTCTTTGACCACTCAGAAGAGACCGTTCTCGTCTATTGTAACTATCCTGCCGACTCCAAGGAGTGTCGTCAGACCTTCTACAAAGGGGCCGAGGACACCATTATCAGGCTCCCGGACCACATTGGGGAGGGCCCCTGGGCACGAGTCGTCTCCATGGTGCCCGTAGAACAGCTATCGAAGAGGGATCTGCCAGAGTGGGCCATCCAGAAAAGAGATGCCAGTGAGAACCAGAATGGTAGGTTTCGTCTACATCTATACGGTCCTGTTCGCAGCACCTAACCCGATCTAGGCATCTATTCCCTAACGTTCGACTACAACTTCCACTTGATTAAACGAGACGATGAACAAGTCAACATCCGCGTGGACTACACGAACCTTCTGCCGTACTGGGATGAAATGACCAACTCTCCTGCGTCCACGCGGAAGCGTTCAACAGACGAGGCTCTGACCTTCTCGGAATGGAAGGTCCGCGTGGATCGAGCAAAAGTGCTGGACACCGAACGCTCCTCACAGAACCACACGGGGAGACTGAGTGTCCGATCCAGTGACAGCAGCGTTCATCGTCGGTGGTGGGGTGTATTTGTGGACTGGGTCAAGAAGATGACCACCGTCACAAAGACAGATGGCGGCATGCTGCCTATGGGGCTAGTGCGGTCTCTGGTTCTCTATAGCGGACGCCTGCAGTGCTCCAACGACGCAGGCATAACTTTCAAGACCGGGCTGGATATCACAGCCGACTTTAATATGGAGATGAACGCTCGATATTCCTACTACTTTTCGGGAACCGTCGTGCCACCAACGGTCACAGATATGTTTGCTTATGTGGGAGTGCACCCGCGGGTATACGCAGGGGTGGGGATATCAGGAAACGCAGAGCTCAACTACCCTAGCGAACGGAAGAAGATTATCGATACGTTGACCTACCCCGGTCTGGCAATCAAAGGAATCGCAGCCGTGGGACCAACCATGGATCTTTGGGGCCAGATCAGCGGCGGAGTGACGGTCTCTGGAGACCTGCGAGTCGGAATGACATATCAGTTCAAGCCCGTCGAGCTGTACTTCCCCAATGACGACGAGGTCAGCAACAACCTGGACGTTAAAGACATGGAAGAAGCGCAGGTCAACAACCAAGGGCTGGAACCCTCAATCTCGGGCAATGTCCGCGCCGCTGTCGACATTAACATTGACGTCACGCCGGAGATCAACCTGGGCATCAAGATCGGCGGAGGAATTGGGCCTCTCAAAGGCACGCTGGCCGACGCTCATGTGTCTGCATTTGCCAACACGACGCTCAACTTCCATGCGGAAGCATCGGGTGCGCTCGAAAATGGCAACCAGGGTTATTCGTTTGGATATTCGGTGAACTTTCTTTACAGATTCGGTTTCGGTTGCGTGGCCGAGATCTACAAGTATGGCAAATGGACGAGCGGTATTTGGTATCCGTTCCCTCAGAACGTGATTCCAATCATTTCCAAGACGTTTTCCTCACTCCCATCCACGAAGCGATCTCTTGATCATGGGCCGTTGCTCTCCGAGGAGCCTCTACCTGGTGCTATCTTCGGTGTCGGCCCAGAGAGACATCGGACCGACAGTGCTGTCCTCGACTTGCACGTCGACCCGTACCCTACCTACGGCAACGCATCCCTCGAGAAGCGCCAGGATTCACCCCAGTCAGGAAAAGAGCCGCAATTCACGCTTGGATCATTCCGGTGCACCACCTCTACTGGAAGCGTCTGTGAGGCTTTCGTTCCGAGCGAAAGCATGCAACGGCGCGACCTCATACCTATGCCCGAGGACACTCATGAGCTCCAAAAAAGAGAAACGCCAACGGACTGCAAGAATCGCATACCCCGTCTTTACTACAACTGCGTGACCTTCTTCTCTGACGTCGCGTTCCAGGGACCTGCGGGGACAGCGCAGCTGTCCGGCATCTGCACTAATGTTCGAAAGTTCTTGGACAATAACAATCGCCCCAATGACGGTTATACCCTGACCTGGGAGTCTTCTAACCAGGAGCCACGAAGAAGACAAGTTTGTAAGAGTGGCGCCTGCGCGGAAGACAACGCGAACTACCGGCAAGCGGCCCTGGGGACGACAACCGCGACGACGACCTTGACCAGCTGCGATGAGTTTCCCTTTGCATCCACCGAGGAGGGTGGAGCTGATTTCCTCGGCGTGAACCCCGAAGTGAAGACAGGCACCGTGAGAACCTGCGTTCCAAAATGGCAGAACGATTGCCAGGGAATGTGCCATAGTAAGCCGATCCCCTTTGTTGTGTCAAAAGGGAGGTGCTAACGGACGACCAGACTTATTAAACAACCTCGAAACCAATGTCGAATATTTCAACACGTACGGCAGTCCGACGCTGGATAATGCGCATTGGGTCCGCTGGAATAATGGCGGCTGGACGCGGAAAGGCGGCCTCGGAGGTAGACAACGTCTGTCCACGTATGGGACGACGCGCATTCCAAAGACACGTGTCCCCGGCTTGAATCATGCGGATCAGGTCAGTCCAGACAACCTGGGTTACTACCACAAGCGGAACTTTACCCTGTTCCTCTCCTATCCACGCGCTGGCCAGAACCCGGATAGCCAATGGCCCGACCAGTCCTTCACCAGGGGGACGATCACCGGGAAATCCGGGAACAAAGGTCCCGCTACGGACGTCGTCGGCTCTTCCACGTGGGTGATTTGCGCCGTCAATACCATGGGCCAGCAACGCTATCAATATGCGGGAGCCAACGGGATGTGTACCGATGGCCGAACTACAAAGAAGACATGGGACGGGCTCTACGATATGTTGGTCTATTATCAGTAAGTTTCATCTCAAGGTACCTTGAAACCACTGCTAAACGGGATGAACAGGTGCAAAATCAGCTTTACCGGGTCCGCTGGACCAACGAAGAGAGATAATACTCCGCTGGGATATCTGGGAGGTGACCCATACTATTGTAAGTGGCGTGTAATACTGCTTGGGAACTTACTGACACGGAGAATAGCCATTGAGCGAGTCGAGGGAACCGAGCGCACAGTCCTTCTACCCAAGGACTGGGACGGTCAGGAACTGCGGGAGTCATGGGTGGTCCCGGATAGTGAGGATCTGGAAGAGGGAGACTTTACAGAGGAGGAATCTGGGTAGTGCTATTGGCAATATGTCCTTGTCCTGGTCGGGTATTCATCTTTGGAAGGACTATGCTGAAGGGTTCACCTCTTTACAGACGCACACGCACTTTCTTATGTCAGTCATGTTATGCACTCTTTGGTAGAAAGCAATACATCTCTCTTATAAAAGGAGAAAGTCGATCCATGAAATGAAATGTAGTTTATCAATCCAAGACAAGGGTCCCTTTTCTGTCTTTATACAGAGTGATCGGCATTCCTAACCAACACCAGCCTGCAACAACGCTGTTCTATGGCTCCTGCACCTCAAGTACCACTTTCTCAATTGCTATAGTTTCTAGCTTGGCAGAGCTATCTAGCTTTCTAACCAAGGCTTTGTGGGTTACGTGGGCGGTCATCCAGGATGGTCTCTCTTCGGCTTCTCTCGTCTGTCACTCTTCTGATTGGGCGTGATGCATTGCTGTGATACTATGTAGCGTCAGGAATGTTGTTTGGTGATGCAAAATCACCGATCTGATATATTTGAAATATAGTATCTCAAGAATGTCAATTGGACGATACGATTAAATTTCTCTATAGCTACACTGCCAAACATAAGGCGGAAAAGATAAAGGAGAGGAGGAAGGAGAGGGGAATGAAAAGAACATTAGAGAAAAGCACCATGTCTCACATCTCCTCACGCAGCAGCAGCAGGAATGAACAGCCGCTCCCATTTCATACCAAATGTCGCAAGCAGGGTCACTGCACCAGCTACAATGCAGAGGATATAAGTTTGATCAATGGCCGTGACGATAGCAGAGAGAACCCTGCTCCTGGTGGCCGGGTCCAAGTCCTGTACGAACGTTGAGCCAGTTCCCGAAATGGCATTGATGATGGTCGAATGGGCCTCGTGTGGGAGAACCCATGAGATTCCTGGGGAGGAAACCATCAGCACAGAGCTCACGATGCGGGGGGAAATTGACTTGACTTACGCTTCGCAGCCTCATTGACAAAGACACACTGTGCAATGACCAATGCAAATGTCAATCCATTCAGCTGCGCGGTGGTGGTAAAGGCAACGGCGGCCGGAACCTTTTCGGGCTTGACTTTGGCCTGCGCCACGGCATGGCCCAGTTGGAGATACATTCCCGCTCCCAGACCGATCAGCGCACTGTATCCGTAGGTGGCTCCCGCGCCGCTGTGCGGGTGGATTGTGTACATCAGCGCGGAACCAACCAGACACAAGGCTCCTCCCATGATGTACCAGGGGATGTAGTATCCCAGACGGGAGGTGAGGAATCCGCCTCCGACGCAACTGAAGACGAGCAGGCAGACAAACGGGAGTAGTCGGACGCCCGACTGGAGCGACTCATCCGACGCAGTGAACTGGAAGTACAGGGGGATGATGTACGTGGGGACCGTGACGCAAACTCCCGTGCAGTAGCCGCAGATAAAGAGGAGAGTCAGGAGAGGCTTGCGCCACGAGACGAGCTCCACGGGGAAGAGGCGTGTTTCTTCGGTGGTGAAGATGCAGAAGGTTTGCTGGATTCCAAAGATCATGAACAACACGCCGCCGAGCACCAGTGCGACGATGATGCCTGGTGCATCCCAGGGATACAGGGCGCCGGCGAAGTTGACACCGATGACTCCCGCCGCAAAGGCACCCATGAGGATCAGCGTGCCCACTAGATCCATCCGCTTCAGTCGCTCAATAACGGGGGTCGCCACGGGCTGCGGATGCAGCGAAGGCAGCAAGAAGATGTACACTGGGGTGAACAGGCCGCCGACACAAAGATTGATGTAGAACGACCACCGCCAGCCCGCAGAGCTATCGGTGAACGCACCGCCGATTATGGGACCGAGCACGGTGCCCGCGCCCCAGGTCAGACCCATCGCACTGACATACATCGGACGCTCTTGCATCGAGGTCAAGCGAGGGAGGAAATTCATGACACCGACGTACTGGCCCACGCCGCCCACGCCGCAGATCACACGGCCCCCAATGAGCACGTTCATCGACTGCGCCGCTCCGCAGATGGTGGAGCCTGCCATGAACACGGCAATGGAGAAAATGTACATCCATTTGATGTTGAACTGGTTGAAGATCTGGAGCCAAGTGAGGACGGTCGCGCTGGAGGCCATCACGAACGCGACGCCGGACCAGGCCAGCTTGTCGACTCCATTCAGCGATTTGATGATGGCAGGCTGGATGTTGGCGACGATGGTATTGTCAAGGGCAAAGAGGAATGTTGAGCTGTAGATGGCCAGAACAACCGTCACCCATAGGAAACCATGGACATTGCGTGGACTCTTCGAAGTATCCTTGCACTGCTCGCTTTCCGAACAGCTACTCTCTTGCTTTTCTGTGTCGTTTAGGGTATCCTTTGCGTCTGCAAGATCAGTCATTGTTGAAGAAATTATGGCCTGGAGAGATACCGAACGATGTCCTAGTCTCGAAGGTGATGGAGTGGAATGAATAGCTCGTCGTAGGAGGAAGAATCCTGTCTTAACTTGAGCTCCAGAAGAGACACACCGCGTCTCCAGACATCAGCAACGCTGACAAATGTCATGTAATGCGAAGTTGGATTAGAAATTACATTGAGACAGACAATACAGGGAGAGTGAACGCAATGAACTGTTTCCATTCTCAAGTGACTGTGTTCGGGTGCTTGACGGGGGATTAGGGCTGGAGTGGAATCGCCGAAAGGGGTAAAAGAGTGTTTATATAGGAAGGCTACACAGCAGGACAACCATCAGACCGGATCCACTATTGCTTGGATCCTCGGTTATTCCATTGATTTACCACTTGATGATTATTAAGACCATTGTTTGCTGTCTCCTGTTCTTTTGTTCTCAGCAGGCAAAGGGACGGAAAAGGTCCCGATGTGTGCTGACCAAGAACCCCCCGAGATATCGGGCAGTTTTCCTTGCCCTAAATGTTTGCTGGTGATGGCCACTCGACGAACTCAGTTACTCTCGACTTCCATTTATTTAATTGATAGAACTTTGTCAAGATGATTATAGATCTAGGAATCCCTTCTCTCTGTCACATTCTACTTCCACTATCTTGGCCAGCTTCTATAATAACCGCAGAGGGCATAACTTACTCTCCCCTAATCTTGAGACAGACCTTTTACTTGACCCAGGAGGAGAAACCATGCATGGTTGATTACGGCGCCACCATGCTGAGTCTTTAGTAGTTACCTGTTCTTAGTCCTGGGGCCATTTTTCGACCGTTTCCTTTCTCAACGAGATCTAGCTGCCACTAATACATATTGTGTGGAGTGTCTAAAGTTGATGTAGGAGTTGACTAAATGAATGACTGGTTGTCCTTGTTATTTTAATGCTAACGTCCCATTGCCTTAATGAATCAGGTCAGTCATCAAACGGTTGGACGGTAGTGAAGTAGTTAAGTAATAAGTGGTCATGAAGCATGGCAGCTTATCATCTAAGCCATGTGATCTACTGCATAAGTTAAGCCACTCTTCAAACAGCATCTTTTTGGAGTGGTTTTTAGAAAATAAAGGTAATCCTTATTTCCTGTTATCTGTCTGTGAGAAGAAATCTAATAATATGGTAACAGTAGTGGGATGGCCTTATTCTCAGGGAGAGATGCGGGCTGGACCACCCTGACAGGCTTGCTGAATTCCCCTCGACCCAGAGTGTTGATTGATATAAACAGAGGGGTGACAAGGTGCATCATTGGCAATTCAAAGTAACCAGATGATAGGATGAGCTGGTCAAGCATTGACTATTTATTTCTGGATTCTTTGTACTCGCTACGTGGAGCCAGTTATTTTTCTCTGCTCAGAAACATGAGATGGCCAAGGCCGAATGATGGCCTTTCCTGTGTGTTCTTTAAAGGTTGATGCATAGCCTCCATAATTACTTTCAGTCTTGTTGTAAATCATCGCCCTTATATGTTGAGTATCAAGAACTGACAATCCGCTATGTGGTCTCCATCATGGATATAAATGCTAACACACTTTTAGCATCGTCCATGGCTGCCCCAACCTATGGTCGATTCACAATTTAGAACTAGCAAGAGCTGTGAAGAACATCAACAACATAGATTTCAAGCTCATTCCTGCATGGGAAGTTGGCAGGATGTAGCAGACATTAAATCGCAGCTACTCGCTTGTAAGGAGAAGGCCGAGGATGCAGGAGAGATTAGGTACTTTTGAGGTACTGCAAACGTCTTAAATCCAATCATTGAAACGCACTGCTGACTGCCACTTTTAAGCATTGTTCGAGTCAATGACTATAAGCCAGAAGCCTTGGATATCCTTGCTCAGTGCATTCCAGGGTTTCCGACGTATATGGTGGAAAATGTTGCTTATAATGCAACATCCGGTCAGAATCTGGCCATAATCCCCGGTGATGATCGGACCTCGGGTGGTATAGCTCTCCTCTCCGTCGATTTCGACGACAAGCCAAACTGAATTCATCTCAGATCTAAGGTTCTTGCTGACCTATCCATTTGTCGATACAAGCGTAGCCAATTCTGGATCAAACAAAGCTGCAGCCATAAGTGTCCTTCCGATCGCGATTTGGATCTGTCCTTCTTCAATCCTTGGACCGGCAACAGGTCAAGTCGGCGCAAACGCTCGGAAGATGATTTTCGTCATCGGTACAAGTCCAAGATTACAAATGCGACTTGCAACGTACTACAGCAAGTCACATACGGCGCGATTGCACCGCCTGAGGGTCGAGCCTCTGTGGGTTATCGTGGATTTGCTCCACGTCTTCGCCGAATGGGGCCCTGTCTGGAATCACGCTCGTCGCGAACTTGTAATGTGTCATTCGCAGATTCACAACTACCCAGATACGCCTCCTTTGTTGGAGCTGACTAGAAGAATGCACGGCAATACTTCAAAGGTCATATCCTTGCGCGAGCAACTGCGCATCCATTCCAGCGCCCTGGCTCGGTCGACTCGTCTGGTCCAATCTTCTGGTTCGCATTCTTCCAAGGATGATCTTCTAGACCACATACAGGGAGTCATGGAGGATATCACCTACCAAGAGGAAGAAGACTTTGCAGAATCCTTCAGGGCCTTGCCATCCAATGCTGCAATATATCATGGGGGCGTGCCGCTACGAAGGCGCCGGGCAAGGTTCCCATTTCGAATCCCCGCTAGGTCCCCGGCTGAAAGCAATGTCTCGATTCAGTCGCACACTGTTTGAGAGGACAAGGGTCTGATGAGTTGTTGATAGTTTGAATTCACTTGGTACCGAGTTCCTAAGCAAGTGAGACGACGACATTTGTATTCTGCTGGTTGTATTGCTTTCAGCCCACTGCAACGTCTCCTACTGTGAGGAATTATAGGCAAACAAACAAGGCTACATTATGAGTTTCTCTCCTGTCAAACTGGGTTGGCTGAGTTTAGCAGTATTTCTGCGTTTAAGAGGATGAACCCTGCGCGCCACATTGCAGCATAGGTACTATCCCTTTCGGGATAAGTGGCCTGCCAATCAAGAAATGTTGTCTCATTGGCCTGTTGAAGACGGAGCACTGCCGAGTGGGTCCTCGGCCAAAATGCGAAAAATGCGGGGAAACGTGGGGTTACTCTTCTTGACCTATCTGGTACGAAAGTATGATCGATGGAAATGGCAAAGACAAGGTAGTTTCGCAAGTCTATATGAAATAATAGCACAATTAAACAGCCTTCCCCGTAGACCCCAGCATATCCATACACCTCTCGACAGCCTTCTGCATCTCATTCGTCGCCTCCTCCAGGACCGCCGTCAAGGGCGCCCGTCCCGATTTCTCGCGCTGCACCCGCACATACTCATTGTTCAACACCTTGTTGATATTCACCTTGGACACACCACACTCAATGCACTTGGCGAAGATCTCCGGCGTGAACGGATCCGCCCCATGCAGCACAAGCCGGACCTTATCCCCGACAGCCTCCCGAATGCTCGTCAACCGATCATACTCCAGCCGGATCCCCCGCGGCCCATACTCGCCATGCACATTCCCAAACGCAGGCGCCAGCCAGTCAATCCCCGTAGCCGCAAACTCCAGACTCTCCTCGGGCGTCGTCAGCAACCCCTCCAGATCCGCCGTGTCCGCAACCCCGTCCTCCCCGCCCTCGATCCGGCCGGGCTCCGCCTCCGTCGCCATCCCGCGCTCGTGGCAGTACCCCACCAGTTCCCGGGTCAGGCGCAGGTTCTCCTCCTTCTCGTAGTGGCTCATGTCCACCATGATGCTGTCGAAGCCGCCCAGGTCCGCCGCGTAGCGGATGATCTCGGGGGTCTGCGCGTGGTCCATGTGCACGGCGATGGGGACCGACGCCTTGCGGGCGGCTTCGGCGGCGGCGTGCACGAGCAGGCCGTCGGCGTAGTGGATTGCCCAGGGGAAGAGGAGGATCATGGCCGGGGAGCGCTTGGCTTCTGCGGCGCGGACGGTGGCGAGGATGCCTTCGAGGTTGTAGCAGCACATTGCGGGGACGCCGTAGTGGTTTGAGGCGGCGTGGTCGAGAATGGAGAGGGCGCGGTTGGAGGCCATCTTGGAGGTCATTTTGTCATGCAATAGAAACTGAGGTAAAGATCGATTGGAAGGAATGTAGTGCAGAGTCGCAGGTTCAATCGAGGATATGTGCCGTTTATATATATGGCTTGCAGTGTTTACTGTTGGAAAACTCCCCCACTCTCCGAACGGAGTTGGTCCGACTGACGTCAATACCGATTTGGAATCCCGCGCGATTTAAGGGGCCTAGGCTTAGACTCATTTTGCAGAAGATAATGATATACTAGTACAAGTTACCGGCCAAACACCTTGATCACGCTTGTGCTCGCTTCCCCTCCGAGTCCTTGTCTCCTTGCCATCAGCAACTTTTCCAACGCCGCATTGCCCAGATGCAGTGGGCAGTGCAGGTCCCTCGCCTTCTGCACCGCCTTCTCCATCTGTACCACGGCTTCATCCAGCGTCTGAGACCCTTCCGGCGCCTTGTCCCCAAGTCTTCCCTCGATCATCTCTAATCCCTTGTGGATAAACACTTTGCTCGCACCAGCCGCGGCGCTGACTAGTTGGTGGAACTGCGCGAGATCAACGTTCAGATACCGCGCAAACGCAATAGCTTCTGCCGCTGCCACGAGGTTGATCCCCAGCATCAGATCTAGGACGAGCTGGAGAGCACCGGAGGGATCCTCTGCGGTGCAGGTCACACTGGCAAGGGGCTTGGAATAGTACTGGCGGACCATGGCGGAGTCGTCTTTGGGGCCGTAGCCCTGCAGCAGCGCCGAGAGGTAGATTTGCTCGGCAGTCGAGCAGAGAGGGGTCGGGAAGTGGTGTTGGCGGGCAGAAGTCGTGATAATACCCTAGACATTCAGCATCTGATCGAAAAGCAACAGTAGAGGTAACCTACCACGTCCTTGAGAATAATCGTCAGCGCGCTAGCACCGGGGTTCCAGTCCTCCTCCACCATCCGCTGCAACCGGTTCTCATGCATCCACGTCCATGCCTCAGAACCGATGATTTTGTCGGCAGTCGTCTTCGCATCGAGCCCCAAGTGCGCCGCGAAGCCCATCGCCTCACTGGCGCCCAGGATATGAATTCCCGCCAGCACCTGATGCACCATCTTCATGTTGCTCCCGGCCCCGACGCCGCCAGGTACCAGGTACAGCTTGTTCTGATCAGACATGACCTGCAGTATCTTGCGACCGCTCTTCAGCGCCTCCTCCGACGCACCCGCCATGATCGACAAGGTCCCATCGGCAGCGCGCTTGGCGCCTCCGGAAACGGGACAGTCGATGAAGCGGATATCGGCACGGCCGCGGGACTGCAGCTCGGCAGCTACGGACTGCGCATAGGAAGCGGGGACGGTGGAGCAGAGGAAGAGGGTAGCATTCTGCGGGAGGTCTGTTTATATCAGTAACAGGTTCATCTCACATAATCAGTCAGATAGATACGAAGAGTAGACGTACACTGCACAACACCCTCCTCCGCAAAAAGAACAGACTGTACCTGCGGGGCCGACGCGACCATGCAAATGTAAAAGTCCTTCCCCTCTGCCGACTCCCGTAGCGACGAGGCGGGGATTCCTCCCTGAGACTGGAACCGCTGCACCGAGGCTGGGAACACATCGAAGCCGACAACGGGGTATCCTTCGCGCACGAGGTTGGTGGCCATGCCGAAGCCCATGGCTCCTAGGCCGACGAAGCCGATAGTAGGTTTAGACATTTCGATTGATTCTGGTGTTTCTCTGTGTTACGATCTTTCAATGTAGGAATGAATTTAATGACTTGACTACTCTAACTTCAAGTCCGACGAGATTGAGGCGTTTATAAATGCGCAGTCCAAGGTCCAAGCAGTGGGGGAGGAGAGTGGGATGGACGACAGCAGTCGGAGTTGGTCCGAGATACACTCATTCAGCCTGATTCAGTGAGAGCAGAGTGAGTATTCACGATTTTGGTATTCTAGAATTCATGGCTAAAGAATAGTGACGGAATCCGAGAAAGTGAAACATTATCCCATACTCTTGCACATCGAAATTCACGCGATTTATCTGCCAATATTCACGTAGGCGAGAATAATCGAATACCTTCACGGATCTGGACAGCAGGAGGAAGATAAATAGCCCCCTCTCCCCCCTCCTCGAGGCTTCTTCTTCTTCTTCTTCTTCTCATCATCGAGGCAGTTCTCAATTCACCTTTGGCAGTCTACATGCTAGCAACCTTTCTCTCTTCGGTTTCATGTTGTTGTCCCCTCAGTCAGGGATGAGTGATACCTTACGATCACACCACTAAGGAGGCAAGCAGCTAGCTCTGCTATGCCCCAGTCCTTCGTTGTTTTCCTTATTTCAACCTCGAAGGTGATGGCAAGTCACAAATCCGATGCCTATCTCCCGAGTCATACCGAAGTGGTTTTCTGGCCTCGAAGCCACGGCCTAAGCTCACTTCGAATGGGTTGAAATCAACTCCCAGAGTTGCAAAGGAAACAGGTACGTTGAGCTTGCAATTCCAAAAGTATCGTCGACTAACTGCCCAACGGCCCAGGCTTCAATGCCCATGATAATGTCACAGCCAGACATCGACGGCCAAGCCCTGGCAAGATACATCTCCACCCAACCATCTCGGACATGTCGATCCAGCCTCGGTTATTCTTTCCACAAACGCATTAGGTGAGTCTGCCTGAGGAGCAAATCAAATGTGTTGTTCTGACCGACGACAGTGGTATCGCCTCTCCAGCAAGAAAGTTTGCAATGGAAGGCATTGCTCTGCTCTCGAAAGATGGTCCCTCGTCCCGGACGCCAACAGCATTTCCACCGTGGATTGCCCGGATTCAAGCTCAAAGTCATCTGATGTGTCCCTTTCTGAGGTGCCATTCAGTCGAATTTCCATGGCACTACGAGCCTTGGTTCGCTGCGGGACATGAAGTCTGCAGCCGGAGTGTTGCCGCCTTTGCGAACAGCGTTCAACCGTTCAACCGTTCAATCTTCATCTGCACGACGGACTCGACACATTGGCCAGAGAGCCTGCCCAAGCTGGACAAAATATGTTTGAGCGACAAGTCATCGCACGTGAGCCCCGGCTGAACGAGAACAACACACCTACGACCTGACCAGGGGCATTACTGTACCCACCCTTCGAATACGGACCCGAAATGTACGGTCCGTTTCTCTGTGTTTCGGTCGATTCTTGGGGCCCCCTCATCCAACATCCCTCGGACATGGGCATCATTCACCTTTGTCCCGATGTGGTGGTGCGGCACTGCAGCATGAGGGCACAGCGATTACGCTGCTGCTGCCCAAGTTGCACAGCAGTGTTTTCTTGGTTTTGAATGGCCGATGGGCAGATTCAGCGCTGCAGCAGATGCAGGATACAATCGTCAACTGGCCAGCGGACTTTGACAAATGCGACCCTGACATCACAGAGACCCAGTTCTCTGGAAGTGAACTGTGTGGGAGTATGGCATCGAACATGATGCTTGGTGAGTCATGTCCCTTTCAAACATGATGATCAAAAATACTAATGTGGTGTTACCTTGTGTGCTCAAGATACAACAAAAGAGTCGATGAATGTTGCGGAGCAATGACTGTTACAACATGCGGGTTTTGCATGCCTCGCTCCGGCTTACTGTTTCGACAGCTCTGCCGCGCTACATCTGAAATCCAGACGAGCAGGCACCTATCACTTCCAAAGTTCGAGCCACAAAATTATATTTATGTGGCGCCTCTGACGCGGGAGGAGATCATGTCCAAATGGTATTCGTCTTGGGCCTCGAGAGTTGATCCACCCTGGAGAGCTCCTCGTTCCTTGGTATGTTCTTGAATCTGTGAGTGTTCTCGAAAACGATAATCAGTTCATCTGATTAACTCTGTTGTCTCCAGGTTGTCAGACGGCATCCATGTCGATTTGTCTTGCATTTTGATATTGCTCTCGCAGCCTTTCTGGTGGCTGGAATATGAACACAAACACCGCCATGTGCCAGCACCTCAAGATACCTGCAAGACAGGCAACCGTTTTCAATTGCTGCCTTTTTCTTCAATTTCCGGCAATGCCTCCGAACTGGCATCCATGGTACCACGGCCCTTTGACTTCAAGTTTCACAATCAGCTGTATTTGTTCATGCCGGGCGATGTTGACCTTCGGTCAGTCATCGATTGAGAGGTCGTCTTGGCTATCAGATGCTGAACGATTATATTCAGCGGTGGTTCATCAGGGCTACACAGAAACGGCCAACCATGACCCCATCTCAAGAGAGAACGGCACATCAACTGCGGCAGCAGCCCACCACGATGATTTGCGGTGTTTGAGGTCATCGACGACAGGCTTACATTGGAGACGCAGATTCCTTTCATATCTGAAAGCTGGCGGAACGTGCTCTCTATGAGCAACTCTGTTGTGGTTTTCTGTCGACAGTCACAGACAGCAGGAGTCTGCAGCACTTGTCTCACTGCACTCTCACAAAGCTTCTTGTCTTTTCCGCTCGCTCGCAATCGATATGCTAGGCACTTGATAGTGCTCCGGACTGCCAAATATTTCGATATTTTCACGGGCCCGCCAAATATCTCTGTACTGCGGAGGCAGTAGAGATCACATCCAGCACAGCTGGTAACCGGTTTCGCACTTTGATGCGAAACTGCGCAACAGCGGCCAGTCTGGCTACGCCGCGATAGATAACCGCTTGCCTCTTTCTATAAACAAGTGTACCTGCAGATAACGGGTCCGTCTTCTTGTGTTCTACACACCATGCTCTCGGCCGGGGAAAGGCCTCAGCGGGGCGTTCGGCTTATTACCTGAAAGTTACGCAGGATTGGGTCAAGCAGCATCTTTGTCGATATGACAACAGCATCACCAAAGCAGGAGGTGACCGCCGGTGTGACAGCTCTCAGGCATATGGCTTTTTCCATTGCTTTCTGTATTGGACCCTTCAGTCCGATGGAATTTGACCCTGGCTATCGAGTGCCAGCGGTTCACAAGTGGTGGTCCGTCGGGACAAAACACCCTTTCTGACGGTCACATTGTGCCATTCCTTATTGGCAGGTGAGTTCTCTTTTGCTTGGAGTTGAGATCCGCGGAAAGTGGCGCAGAAGCTAACCCACCGGTATACAGTCCCATTTGCCAGTGTCCTGCCGAAAAGATGGATCGACATGGGAAGAGTGACGATCAGAATCAACAAACCTCACCGAGGGTCTCCGTTTTTTGATCGATATCTATAAGAGACTCAGTCCAATCTCGACCGCTGCTCATGCTTCGACATCTCCCTCCTGCCTATTTCGACAGAGCCATACATATGCTTCGGTTTCATTCTGAAGCTCATCGGCAATCTGGACATGCTTACTGTGAGGGAGTGGATCTAATCACTGCCACTGCGCCTTGATGGCTGGAAAGGCTCACTTCCGAATTCAATGCAGGAGGTGAACGCAATGCTCTTCAGCAGCGATTGCTGTGCGTGTTTCCCGTACATTCGAAGCACGCATGCCTCAAACGTCTGAGCCTGCATTTTTCTTGCCATTTTCCCTGATCAACCCGCAGGCCTGTTTTTGAAAAGGAATGAAACAGTTATTGATGTCCGACAATCACCGGCCATCCCAGATCTCCTTATACCTTGCGAAGTGCCAGTGACCCAGAACGTATGGGCGACACAAGTCTATACAGTCCGCCCAACTGGCCTTTTCCAGCACAGAAAAACGTACAAAACTTCTGAGAACGCTTGCTGTCGTTCGCTCGACCCAAGCAAGTCGCTTCGGAATAAGTTCAAATGGAACCCGACTTGGCTGGGCTCTGCTCCCTTCTTATCCTGGCGTCTCGCGCTCTCTCCGAACCTCCCCTTACGAGTCGGAACTGCTTGATGACTTTGCAATTGGCATTTTACACACTCCACGTGAGGCTGTCCAGAGCCAGTGGCCCTTTCGTGAGGAGGACACGAATCGAACCGAGGTATCGATCGGCCGAATGTCTACGGAGTACCAACATGGGAGTCCTCAGCACGCGCTGTCATCCATGAAATTCATTCTCGTCACGCCTTACAAGTTGTCACGAACCGCGGTGCAATACTCTGGCAATTTTCTTGATAGCTTCCAACCTCTGGAATCTTCCACTCCATCATGGAGATGGTCGAATTGACCACCCTTTGGTGGCCTGTGGTGACTGTCAGTTTCATTATTCCCCTGGCACCTTCGCTCAACATCGTGGCCTGCTGTGCTGGCGCTCTCTACACGCGGCCAGAAACAAGGACCGACACAATCGATCTTGAACAACCGACACAGCAATTATGCTGATGTCTCATAACCTTTCAGATTGGTTGCGTGTGATTGGCCTTGACGATGAACGGTATCGTGGTTCCACCGCTGAGCCGATTCCCATTACGGGCATTCTAGGCTCTGGCGCTTCATGCACAGCGAAGAGGTGCATGGGCATGCATCTGCATGTTTGCAGGCCTCAAAGGAGAGCGTGACGGTATGGACACAGTCGACCAAAATTACTGCGACACAACATGTTGTCGTATTCAGAGGAGAGCGTGACGGCATGGACACATTCGACAAATTTTACTGCGACACAACATGTTGTCGTCTGCCTTGATTCTTCTTGCATGACGGGGCAAAAGACCTCAATGCAAGAGCTAACGCTCAACACCGAAAAACGGCCATACAAAATTGATGAGGATGTTTCTGCACCTTTACAACCTGCTATTCTCCTCTATTTCTCCCCGGGGGCGGGCTGGCAAGGCATTCCGGAACGTCGCGTCGCAGTCTCAGATGGTTCCAACAACAAACTTGGGAAGCTTGTCCTTGTCAGCGAAGGTCGCAATCGAATCGAGAGCACCTCAGGAATGTGTACCGTATATTCAAATTCGAATACACTTCCTCATGAAGTTCATGCTGCCATGGTCACTTACATGTTTACACAAAAAAAGGGCATCTGTACGAGTGACCTTGAGCACCATAGAGCTTTCAGGATACAGTGGTGTCGCTTTCGTCTGACACTCTCACCCTCTCCCCATCCTGCCGTGTGTTCGTGAAGTTACATCTGCATCTGTTAGCTCAGAAGCCCAACGTTGCGGATTCATGGGCTCTCAGCAAGACTCTTCCCGAATATGGGCACATCAGGGTCCACGTTCAGCCTTTGTTGAGCCATTGGCGTGCTCAACTGCGACAAAAAGGTTGATCTTAAGGAAGGAAAGCAAATTGGGACGTCATTTGCCTCTGCGCTATCGACCGTGCGTGGAGACGATTCCACCACGAATGGCTGGCGGTTGTCCAAGCCTCTGGCGTGGCTCTTGGATATACCCTTCATTGGTGTGACGTTGTGTCAGGTCACTCATGCGAGTGCGCTTGATCTCACGTCTGAGTTCAATCGTGATACAGGAGGTCCAGCCAGATGGCGAATGGGCTGATAGCCCAAATATTGCTGGTATACTAATGAGGCTGCCTAGACCATGGAGGGTATGCTAGAAATGCATACCATCTGGCAGAGATACTGGAATGGTACACTGGTTTTTATGATGTCGAGGGATATTGGGATCCAGCTGTGTGTCCTGGTATGGCGACGGCAATGATCACTCTGGCTGTGGTATTTGATAATGTCAAAGGGGCATATCGTCGGGCTCATGGCCTGACTGGTGCGAAGAAACGATGAATTGTAAGTTATCCTGGTTCCTCTCCCAATACCAGAATGGTTAACTAACGATCTGAAAGCATAAACCCCGAGGCTTGCCATACAACGTTCATGGCCTGCAATAGCCGTCGGGCACGTCAGGCGCGGAAAACGTCTGCAGTTGTCGCCTTTGCTCTACAATTCCGACATTGGGCTTCAGCCACTTTTCGAGGAGCGAGCATCAGCGGACGTGAGCTATGCTTCGGAGCCTGAACGAATGTGCCTCCACCGAGGACTGTCTCAGTTTGGAGGATCATCCTGCCATATCGTCGTACATGCACCAGTCGAAGTCAGGGTGTACTCGCAATTGCATCGTTCTAGGGAGCACCCGAGTCCATCTTCATGGAGCCTTCTCCAGACGGCGAAGCCGTTCATTTCTGTGGCTGTCAGCATTCCTGGATCACACCAAACGCCCAACATCCTGCACGTTGACAGAAATTCGAACACTAAGCGGGAGCTACGGTCACAAAAGAACATGCTGGACCCGGATGACGGCGAACTACCTAGCAGGCAAAGAGAGTCTTTACAGACAACCGCACGAGCTGCGGAGAGCATGGTCCGGTTCACTGGCGATAATCGACTCGTGCCGTTGCCCTGTCTCATGGAACGTGAGGGCAAGGCTCAGTGGGCATGTTTATAGAAACAATCACCCCGCCAAAAATTTGGAAAGAATGCCTGTCTTCAGTCATTTTCCTGTCTACCGGGCCATACACAGACCCGGCACTTCGATAGCCGCGGAGCTGGACTCGGAATCCGATTAGACAAGGTTCCTGTCGCTGCCAGAGACTCAAAGTCCAAGAGGAAGAGCCTTCTGGGTCACCAATAACACAGCTTACAGGGGAACCCACCGCGCATCGGTACCTTTTCTGCGAAACACCATGACGAGGTCCTCGGGACAGGTCATCGTGACTCTTGACGGTATGGGGGCCTCGTCTGCCTTCTACTTCTCATTTGGGATCTCTGTATTTTGGTTTCTATTTTTGCTATCGGTGTCTGCAGGCAACATTTCTACTCGGTTTGTGAGGTTAACAATGTATAATAGCTCATCACACATTCTTCAAGGTGAATTAGCGGGTATGGTTGACTATCAGTTACAGATAGGATTAGACTCCTCAAATATTATTGTCATGAACTAGACTCACAAACTTCAACTACACATCTGTCAGGTAATCAAACCAACTTCACAACTGTATAATCATCGGTCGACAACGCCAGGTAGAGTCATATCGGACTGAGAACCAAAATCTAGCCATCTTTTCGAAGTCTACAGCAGCGAGCTTCGAGAGAGTGGCCAGATCAGCTCAGTCTCCGCCTTGCCATCGTAACAACGGACTGCTAGAGCCAGAAGATCGGTTGTGGTGGATGGCTCTCTGCTGGCGACAGCTACGACATTGCCTAGAGTGTCGAGTCGTTCGAGGAGATTGCCGAAGAGTCAATGGTGTCGCTAATTCTCTGCTGCATACGGTGACATTCGCTTTCAGTTGCGCTATCATGTCATGCATCTAAAGTGCCGGGTGCTCTCAATTCTGAAGTCCAAAGGCAGCCTGTACATTTCGCTAGCAAGGAAACCAAAGGATATTTCAACAATAGCAAGTTAGATCCCTTTATATAAGATTAAGATTAAGTTTTCCGAACGTGTCCGGACAGAAAGCGTTCTATTTCAAATGCTCGATCTGAATATCAGGGAAGGGATGATAGGGCTTCGGCGGCATATCAGATGACTCTCGATGTACGAACAACGCAAAGAAACGGTCTTCTGGGGCATCCCATTGGTGCTTTACGCGAGTGGAGGTGGCTTTTATCATCTCGTTATACCACGCCAACTTACGCTCCTTGTTGGGAAGCCATGCGGCGTTCAGGTGCTGTTCATCGATGCACAAGACCATAGCGGGACTCCCTTCTTTGAGGGCAGTATCGCTGGGACGGTCTGAACAATCATGGTACCCCTGGTAAATTGGCAATACTGCACGGAGAGTGAAAAATTTCCTCCACATGAGTGCCGCGTACTTGCCTAGACAGTATTTCAAAGCCTGGTTCCAATACTTGTCATCTTCGTCCCGACGGCCCGGTGGCCGTAGCCGCTCAGTCACACGGTGAACAGCTTGTGTTAAACTTTCAAATGCCTGCCATAGCATCTTCTTGAACTCCTCGAACAAGTTGTTGAACGGGATCTGAGTCTGCATGTCGAAGAATGCTCGGGGACAGATGCCGACATCTCTGCACAGCTTAACATTGACGAGATTGACAGCTATGAAGCACTCAAGTATTCGTTGCCGATTCGGGAGACCTTCACATGGTGATTTCGCCAAAGTATGGTCTTCGGGTGATCTCCACTGGAGATAAGCCTTGTCCGTCTGCAACAAGAGGTATACAACATATGTGTAGCCTTGTAGAGCCATCTGCTGCACAAAAAAACTCTTGCCATATTTTTCAGGGCCCACGAGAGCAGTAAAAGGCGCAACACCGCGGTAGAGCTCGTTGCGATGGATATTAAATTCTTGAAATCGACGCAGGATCTCCCCGTAGAGAGGCCAAGTCACATCATGTAGGGAACGATTGGGAAAAAGAGCAGGCTTCCATTTATGGACTGGCGGGCGGTGCCAGATGGGCAGCAATCTTAGCAGTGCTTCATGATAGCTAGATAGCCTCTGCATCTCGAAGTATGGGCTTATTTTCATTAGTTCCACGTATATATGAATCAGAGCGTTCTCATCATCTCGGGAAACTTGAGCGGCTCTGCTGTAGTGAATACCTTCCCATTCACCCTTTTTCAGAAATCTTAGTACAACATCCAGATACTCCTCGGCACCTTCTTTCAGCCAAGCCGGGAGATCTGGTTTGATTTTTGAGCCGGGCGGAGCGATGTAACCCTTCGCATCGTCATCCAGATTGAAAAGTCTCGCAAAGTCGTCAACGGTTCGGCAATTCCTCCAATGGCTTCCAAATCGAGGCGTAGTTGGGACAGCTATTGGCTCTTCCTTTCCGAACTCGGCTACGCAGAGTGATTGGTTATGAGTGTCCAAAGCTGGACTGACCAGCAAGACTGGGTCAGGAAGGTACTCTCGCATGGTCTTATAACAAAAGTAGAGCCTGTGGGAATCCAAGGGAGGCATGTGTAGAGTTTCGCGTAGCAGTAATCCAAAAACCCGTACCAGCTCGTCCACACTCTCGTCGGCAATTGGGAACTTGAACCATTGAATACCCTTAATACCCGCCTGTTGAAGCAATTCCTGAAGGGTCACCATATACTGCTCTGCTCGGTGCTGTATCCATTCAGGAAAGCCCCTGTTAGGAGGGTTGTAGGAAGCCTTGAAATCCCGTATGCAGGCGCCATCCAACGGCATGTACGTTTCTCGCAACCAGGAGTCAAAATCCGAGCAGTTTCTCCATCTTTTACCCACAGGCAAGCGATTTCCCTTTCTCTTGATGGCAGTATCCTTGGACTCGCTTTTTGAATCCTTTTTCTGTTTTCGGAGCCTTCGGCCACGCCATCTGCGCGAAAACAGCTTGTTGAGCTTCAGAATCCAAGGCATAGAGATGTTCGATAGGACCGAAGAACTGAAGAAGGCTGGCAATACTCAAGCCATCCCATACATGTCGAGCTGGAGATGAAAACTCGTCAAATTAGTGACGATTACCATGTAATGACGCGTGGAGACAAAGTACAAGGCTAGTACCATGGCGCACTCAGATGAATCTCAGGGATGAAGCTGCATATCACACAAACTTGATAATTGTGCTACAAAAAAGAAAAGATGGAAAGGAAACTGGGGTAACGACAATGAAGACTGCTAAGTAGGTCGTCGAATAGCGAGGAATCTGCCAGCTTTGGCGAGTCACACGACAAGTGCCTTAGGCAGCAGAACCGTTGACAGACGCCGTCATTCGTTGCACCGCATAGCTCTTTCCTATACTGCCGGGCTGATTGTAGATGGTAGCATGATATCAGGGTCGCAAGAGCCCCGGAACGAGAACCATGATGACGGCCGGGTGCTTTTCGCCCTCCAGCGCGAAAATACTCTGTCGAACATCAGTCTACGGTTATAGCAGGCTCGGAGGACTCGAAATGTCCAAATATTTCTCTGACATGATTCTATTATGATGGTTGTTCACGAGAAAAGCTATGGACACTGAGAAATGTAAACTTCAATATAGCTTCCGATTGTTTCGCCTTTGACAATGCTATCACTTGCAGCAGGCCAGCCAAGCTAGTTGGATGTTCAGATTCTGAATCATCGACGAGGGGCAGGTGCACCGTGATAAAAATACGTCTGCCTGTAACTGATCTTAGTGCATCTAAGGGGTCGGAATGACTCCATCAGCTCATGTTAATCTCAGGTACCAAAGAGCCTATGTCGAGTATTAGAGGAACTCACCATGTACTTCAGTACTTGTTGAATATGCGGATCACTCAACGTGCTGCACGCGAGCACCTTCGACAGGTTCGAATTCCCTCGATAATCCAGGGAGTGGGGCGCAATGAGAGCTCGCGGGGCTTCGATGGAAGCAGAAGCAATGTGACGCACATTCGACCAAATCAATGGTGGAACACATTTTTGGATCCTCTAGCATACGCCGGAGAGCATTAGGATTCACGCTGCTGTAGTTCTGGGTGCGGAAGCGACCCGGTCGCTGACGTGTGCAATCGTGTCTGTCGACTTTGAGTCAATGTGTCATGGCATCCTTTTGTGGTGTAGCAGTACTTGAAGTTGGGAGGGAGGAAATTGCAAACGGGCACGGCTAAAAGGTGACAAAGGGTCAGCTTAACCATCAATGTCAATTTGTTGGAGAGGCCAGAAGGACGTACTAAACGGTGTTTACCAACCTGTCCTGAGGTCATTTTGAGAGCTTTGAGGGCTCGGTCCGGGTTCTTAGGCGAAGATGGTCGAGCATGTACGACCAACTGAGCAGATTTGCGCTGCTCTGCAAGAGAGAACGACGTCCAGTCGGATCAGTTCATCCAGAGGTTGGAGGGAGGACATGTTTCTTGCAGTACAACTTTCAAAATGGAGCAACAAGACGGATGATAGATTCGAAGATATGTTCAGGATGGCTAGGGAGTTACCAACGTGATTTGTAAAGGAGACTGATCAAAATTATCAGTCTTGGGAAAGGTGAGGTGAGAACAGAAAGAAAGGAAACACAACAAGTCCGTCAAAAAGGCAAGCACATCGGCCTTAGGCCATATTGCAATTGATCGCCTGAGGCACTGGGCACCTGCCTTAAAATCAACCTTGACTTACTCAACACATGTTCTTCGCAGCTTGCAACGAGGTATGAACTGGATTCCCATCTGATTTTGCATTGAGCATACAGACTGACGAGACAATGGAAGACAATCTACAGGGTTCTCGCCAACGCCTTGTCTATCAAGTATCCTGACGTCGTTCGTGATACATGCAGCTCGAGACTTAGGTGCAGGTCTCGAGCCTTCCGAGACCCATGAGGTTATATAGGTTTTCCAACTCGACTGAGCTGATTGTGTCCGCGCCCGTCGATTATCAGATTATTGTCGCCGATTACCAGCGACAGCCTCTCAAAGCTTACCTGAAAGTACTCAAAAGCTGGAATACCATATTTGATCTTTGTTATGATTGCCATCGTCTCTGTATGACTTCAAAGAGACAAAGAACCAAAGCAGAACCAATCAAAATTCCCCATTCTATTATGTGAGACGAAGTATGCCCGACGATTCAGGCAAGTGGTCTAGGCAACTGATTCAAAACACAGCCTCCAGAACATCCCCACCAGCCAAGACAACTCCTCGTATCAAATTATGTCTGTGTCTGGTTTAGTGCTCAATCTAGGATTGATGGAGACATGTTCCCAATCACGGTCTCTCGTTCGCTACTCCTGACTCCATAAGACGCCCACAGCCTTGCCGATCATTTACAGCCCCAAAGCACAGCCTCCCGAGCTCCAGTCCGCAAATGACATTCGCAGATCAGAGTTATGTAGCACCGGTCCAAGAGCTCAAGGCTCGTATTGTGAACTATCACTATCAGACTGCGGCTTTTCGTATGCGTTGTCCAACATCAAGGTATGACCGAATGACAGGTTTGCAGCCGCCAGTCCGCCACAAGGCTAACAGCGCTCCAAGCAATGCCCTGATTGACCTGATTATCTGGTGGAGATGATAATTCAACCAATGTGGTGAATGGGCGAGACAGGCTAGAGCCTAGTTATATATAGGACCCTCCTTGTCTTTATAAAAGATGTTTGTATCCTCAAGCTTTGAGCAAAACATCACCAGGATACCCATACCAATCTAGTCGAAACTCACCATGGCAGGCGAAAAAATCAGCTCAAGTACGTCTGATCTCTCAATCAACTGACAAATACTAACATGAATCATGATCTCAGTCCCTCCCCCGGCGTACGAACAACACCCCGGCCCCGAAACCCACCAGCCAGCTCCTATGGTCCCTCAAAACGCACACATGCAGCCTCCATCACCCCTCCCCGAACACCATCCCCAGCAGCAACCGGTGTCGCAGCCCCCAGTACAGGAATACCACAAAGCAGGCCCTGGAACGGGCCGCCCAAGCGGGTACAACACCGCGACACCGCTGCACGCGCTGCAGCGCGGGCCGACGCCCGTCGACTGCCCTGTATGCGGGTCTCGGGAGATGACGAGGGTGGAGGCGCAGACGGGGAATACCACGCAGTAAGGGACCCTTTCAACTGCGTGCAAGTATTAAAGGACAGAAACTAATGTGAGACAGTGGATGGGCGGCTGTGCTGTGCTTCCTTCTCTGTCTCGGGTGTATACCCTACCTGTTGTCGTCGCTGAAAGATGTCAGCCATTACTGTGGGAAGTGCGGGGTGATGTTGGCGACATGGCATAATAGTGGGAGGGTGGAGGTGCATCATGCGGGTGGGAATTAGTTGTTTTGTTTGTTTTATGATACCAGGAATTGATCATCATTTTGTTATTCGAATTCATGATTTACAGGCGACTGTCGTGTCTTGTCACTCGTAAGCAGAAGTAAATTGAAGCAAGCCACCAACACCAGGTATCATTAAATGCAAATATGCTAATATACACAACATCCAAAATCCCACACTGTGATCAAGCAGCCTCATAAACCGGCCTCTTGATATCACTCGTCCCATCCATCTCATGCACCTGCCGACTATTACTCAGCTCCGCCTCCGCCCCGTTACCGGGTAACTCGACGAACTTGGATCCCGCGTACGCGCGCGGATGCGGATGCGGATGCGGATACGAGGCCTGGTACATCTCCGCCTCGGCGAGTTCCTGCTTGTGCGGGACGACATACGCCGGCGCCGGGGAGCCCGTGTCGCTCGTCGAGACGAGGCCCAGCGGGGAGCCGGGCGGAAATTGCGGTGTTTGTGGCGATGTAGCGCGGGGGTTCTCGGGCTGGGCAGCCTTGCGGTTGCGTTTTCCGAGGAAGAAGAAGAGGGCGCCCAGGACGGCGAGGGCGGCGAGGGCGCCGATGACGATTCCGGCGATGGCGCCGCCGGAGAGGGAGGTGCTGGAGGGGGGTCCGGTCGGGGTGGTGGTTGCCGCTGCGGAGGTCGCTGATTGGGATTCTGCGGCGGTGGTTGTTACGGCGGTGGATGTTGGGGTGTGTGATGGAGACGAGGTGGTGGTTGTAGATGAGGTGGACGGGAAAATGACGCTGACCGAGTCCGGGGGCATCGGGTAGACGTCGAAGGCGGAGAGGTTGCGACTGGCGTCCTTGCGCCAGACCTTGCCGTCACAGGCGAGGCCAGCGATTTCCGAGCATGCAGCGTCCTTGTAGAAGTGCATGCACCATTTCCCCTCTGGATCCCAGGAGAACGCTTCGCCTTCCTGGTGCCAGATCCGCGTGCAGTTTTCGGGCTTGTTCTCTTCGATGATGGTGGCGCCGGCCGTCGAGTTGCGCCAGGTGAGCGTCCATGCGGAGGTCAGCGGGGTGAGGGCCAGAGCACCGATTGCTAGCGAGAGTATCCTTGGTGAGAGAGGTGCCATGGTGATGTGAGGACACGGCGAGTTCTGGAGTCAAGACGTGGTTCTCATCCGGTGGGGAGCGCCATGATTAAATGGAGGACAGGACACACGACGCTAGGGGGGCGATCTCGTATAAAATATATGACGACCAGGATGATTGCACGAAGAGCCGAGTTTGGAGAGTCGTTCGAAATGCTCACTGGTGCAGACTTGGTGACAGGTGCCCGTTACTCCATCAGGGGTTGAAGATCCATGCCTGTGGTGCAACCTGGGCACACCCAGCAGGAGTCCAGAATGGCACAAATCCGAAGACAGGGAGCCAATCGAGGGGAAGCAGTGTCCCTGGCGTCCATCTCATTTCCATTTTCAACGAAGCGGACCGATGATCAATGTCTGTGGACGTGTCGATTGGGGCCTCATGTCCCGAATACGAGGTCTAGGGCGCAGCGCAGGATTAGCTTCTTAGCGGTGGAATCCGGATCTCTTCGACTCAGGGTCTCAGTCATCGGAAATCCAGAGGAGGTAATGATGAAGAATGTATTGTGGTGTTTAATGATAACCAGGTTTGAGGTGATACTTTCTAGAATAATAATGACAATGTGATGGAAGGTCCCGTGACAACCTTAAGCTATTGCATTCACTGTGGAAATGCCAATGCTTGGCGCGCTGTTAGTCCTGCCGTTAAAGACGAGAAACGGGGCCATTTGAGGGATGATCTATTGATGTTCCAGGCAATTAATCTTGGAAATTGAGTCTGCATATAATGGATATATATATATCTCAATATGATTCCGTATTCCCACCACTGGACTAAAAGTCATCTCTAGAGAGGTAGGTATATAGGTATACGAGTTCATGACCTCTAAGCGAACAAGGCGCATTCCTCCTACACAGTGAGGAAACAAGGAAGTGCTGACGTCAAGAGCTGTAATTGTGGCCTACCTAGATATCTTCTTAGGTTCTTCCCTACACAATAATGGCCAATCAGTCAATGATGGAAGACATGATCGAGTGGTGACGCAGACGGAACGGGATCCACAGAGCTACCTTAATCATTGCACGAAATTGAGAGAGGTACATACTTTAAACAGAACGGTTGATATTTCTCAATGAATTTCTTGCTGCTATTGATGGAATCAGCTCGGCCCTATTCAGAAAGATATTTTCTGTCTACGGACTCTGGAGTATGAGAATGATATGGTTATTATGGTTGATAAGGGAGATCGACGTGGGGTTGTGGGGACTGGGGAGCCGGAGCTTGGCGGATAGAGCTTCATCATTGATAGATGACATGACAATAGCAGGATGTATTCTTCGAATACTGTAGCTGATGCTGTAATTGCCCTGTAGAGCATAGATATCAAGCTGATATGGAGGTGGTACTATGCCAAACTGTCACCATCATGGATGACACCGCAAGGATGATAACAAGGCATACAGAATCATCAATCACTTAACTTTCTGGACCACTTTGCTCATCGACCGAGTCAAGGTTGCACTGTTGATATCTCCACGTCATTGCCAACCTTGCACCTGTCCATCTTCCGATGTACCCGATACTCTTACATCTTCCTATCTCGCGCCTGTACCCTCTTGACTACATTGATCACCCGTGTCACCATTTTCATCCAGGGAGAAATCATCCTGACAGTGACAGACAGTCATTGTCCCCGTCTTCTCTTCCTTCAGCTTTACCTCAGCCCAATATGTAAGTCAATTGAATCCGCTGGTCGAGAAGAAACTGACAAGACAGACAATGGCTGCAATCGCACTCCGCAACTCGCAAATCCACCAACTAGCCAAACGCAGGAATTGGGCGAGCAGAAACCCCGGTGTTATTCTGGTCTTCTGCATCGTTTTCATTGTCGGCCTGGGACTGATCAGTCTCATTGCGTACCGAAAATGGATGGCTCGAAAGGCGAGGAAGGCGTCTTACGAGGTGGAGGAAACCAAATAGATTGATATACATGGCGGGGGAAGAGAAGACCTACGGAGGAGTCAAATCATTTCTTATTGCTTCGATTCTGGATTGGCCATGTCCAGTGTCTCAACAATACCCTCTCCGATTGTCCTGAGGTGTGAAAGGATGCTATGTTATACATCAAAGACTGTCAAGGTAGCAAGAGGCAGCCCACTGCCAGCATAATCATAATCGCATTCAACTCAGCTCAAGGCTCTCAAACATTCGGATGGACTTGCACCTTCATTCCTCCCATATCACGATACTCATCCAACGCAGCATTGATCCTATCCGCATCCAACCCCTCAATAACCCGATACTTACTCGGCCGGATCACCCCCTCCTTCAACCACCCCGTAATCCTCTCCCAGAACAGCTTCGAAAAGCCATCCGGATGGGTCGCAAACGCACCCCTGATAAACCGGCGCTCATATCCCGCCCTCTTCTCCCCAGTCTTTGCTCTATCAATCTCCCCAACCGCCGGCGCAAGCGTCACCAACGTCCCGCGCCTCGAGTCCGAGAGCACCGCAACCCCCAGCTCCTGCTTCGGTCCGAAATTGAAGGCATCAAGTGCGTAGACGAGCTCATCGCCCACGATGTCCCGCACCCGGGAGAGGACATCGCTCGCATGCCGATCAACCACATGCGTAGCCCCAATCTCCCTCAGTTCGTCCTCCGTCCGTAGCCCGGCCACGGCAACAATGACCCCAAACCCCAACCACTTGGCAAACTGGATCACGTACCGGCCGCAGTTCGTTGCTGCGCCGACGACCACTAGCTTCTGGGACGCGTAGTCAAAGTCCACGCCGCTGTCGGGCAGGGGTATTCCGAACCCACCCTCGGAGAAGAACACCACGAAGCCCGTGGCTACGTTGACGGGGATGGTAGCGGCCTCGTCATCCGAGAGACCGGTGTCGGCGACTCTGGCGGCATACTTGATGTCTACCAGGGCATACTGCTGCAGCCCGTTGAAGTCGTTGAGGACTTGGTTGAGTGGCAGCCGGCTCTGGGCGAAGATGTGCTCGCCTATGGTGAGGTGAGTGGTTGTCTCCGGTCCGATGGCGATGATCTCGCCGGCGAGATCGTGCGCGGGGATGTAAGGGGTAGTTGCCACAAAGAGACCGCGATCGCGGGATTTCTGGTCATGGGGGTTTACTATCAACCGGTTAGTTTGTGCGGTGCAGTGGAGGAGGAGAGGCCTACGGCCGACAGAGGTCAGTTTGATGAGGAGCTCGCCCTTGCCCGGTTGTGGGATGGGACGGTCAACCTCGACTAGATGCTGGCCGATTTCCTGGAGGATGAGGGCTTTTTGGGACATGATGCTGATGGAGACTCCTATCTGTTGGATAGCGAGGTTGCGTGGATGAGTCCATGGTGTTGATACGTATTTATACCAATCCTGCCGTGTAGGCGAGCCGCGAGCTGCAACTACAGTCAGCATGATCATCATTTTCCGTCTGAGAATAGATATCCTTTCACTTACAGTCAGAAAATCTTGGCAGAAGAGTCGATGAACTCGGATTGAGAGAAATATATGCGTGTCCTGACTCATTTGGTCGAGTGACAAATGTCCGACATGGCTGATTCAAGCTTCCACGGCAGCAAGCCTACCGATCAAGTCTGACGCAGCAGTCAGCCTCAGTGTGTATGTAGGACAGCATAAACCCCCGGTGATAATTGATGATCTTAGTAAGATGATCTGGACGGAAATGTCATCTGTTATTGGCCACCCGAAGTCTATCCTTATCCCACTGACAGCTCCATGACACATTCTTCCCGAAACATGACTACAGCTCTTACCCTCCACCAGCAGATAGCACACGCACAGTATGGGATAGCTTCATAATATCGCAATGTCACTATTATCTCTCCTCATTCTCAGTCTCACTCTCACCTCAGCATACTTCTACTTCAGCCATCGTTCCCTGGCTTCCCGCATCCACCCCGTCCTCCATACCGGCACTCTCCCCCAGTCCCTCTCTTCATCGATCCTTTCCATCCCCCCTGCCGTCTTCACAAACCAGTACTTCTCGCTCTATAATCATGCCTCGCGCTCCGTTCCGCGCCAACTCCTCCCGTCACACAATCTCCCCACTCTCTTTGTCCTGCTCCTCCGCCGCAACCTAACCGTCTTCTCGCACTTCCCCAAAGCCTGGAAACAGCGCTCCACCTGCTCCTGGGAACTGCGTAGGACCTTCCGTTCTTCGTACATACAATCCCTGGACTTCAACGAGGGCGAAGTCATCTGCGGGGTCTACCGGGTCTTAGTTCGGAAGCCTGATCGTGTGGAGTTCGAGATTGACATGAAGGAGTGCGAGGGGCGGTGGGTGATTCGGTACTGGGAGGAGGGCGAGAAAGTGGTCTTTTGCAGTGAGACAGTTAGCTGGCGATTGACCGAAACAGAAACCCCGATGCCGGGGGAGAATCGCATGTTGCGGTTCATCCATGAGACAATGGCGTGGTGGTTGTTGGATTCGGGGGTGCGGTATCTGATGGATCTGGAAGCGGACTTTGGGCCGGAGGAGGAGGAGAGGGAGGATAAAGAGTTGGTCAAGTAGTCTTGGTCGTTGTCTCATACCTGTATGACGGGGATGTGCCAGTTTATTGATGAAGGGTTCAAACAGAACAAAGGAGAACAAGGCCTTTGTATTTGTCAAGGCCAGAGTCTCACTGCGGCAATAGCCCTTTAAAAAGTGTTTTACTTTCGATGCTGGTGTCTTCAATGCATGTCTCACCTATGTGTATATAAACATATCGAATCGAATAATGGCATTGACATTCCATCTTCATCACCATCGCTTTTCGCAATGTGTCGATATACCTTCCACCACTATACCCTCTGCGGCCACATCTCTAGCTTCGCGATTCATAGCTGCGTCGAGTTCCTCAATTTGCTGCGCAAATCACCCCAGACCGGCTCGAATCCCGCCGAACTGTCCTGCACCAACATCAAGGTCGAACACGACCTGTGCTCCACCAAAGGAGAGGCGTACTGTCTCCAGTGTGAACTGGACTGGCCCGACCAGCTCTTGACCCGAGGCACTGAAGAGACCTTTCCCAGCGTCCCGTACTACGTCCTAATTGAAGGACTGGACAGCTCGGACCCCATCATCACCACCAAGATGCAGTGGCACACCAACAAGTCCCGGAAGCGCGAGTTCAATGACGCCTTTCTCGATCTTGACTTTGGGGAGCCCAAGTCTGAGAGCAGCGATGCCAGTACCATCAAGTCCAGCCCTAATGGTAATGCGTCGACCATCATTTCCTCCGAGCTATGGCACGAATTTGTCGATGTCCCGCTCAACGCCCATGACGACGCTGCAGCAGACGAAGACGACGACGATCGTGGTCCCAGCCCCGCCAAGAAACGTAATGACTCCATCTCTGAAGACTACGTGGTGATCGGTACTGACATGCTCAACACCCAGGCAGAACGACTTACTAGCCCAGCCAACGACACCGACGACGAGGACTTCTACAGCCTGTGGGTGTCTGATTCGGACTCGGTGTACGACGACACAGAAGACCAGACTGGATCCATCATGCGCCAGTTGGAAAGCTTCACTTTCCCAACATACCGACCTACGCCGCGAACCCCTGATCTCTCCCCTTGTTCGCCTCGTACCCGTCCCCATCCCGAGCCGTTGCCTCTGTACGTGGGGTTTCCTGGTCAACCGCCGGAAAGGTCGCCTAGGACTCGTCGGCCTTCGTCTAGGGGAAATTACCTCGATGCCAGGACGGAGCTGCAGTCGCCTGTGTTTGATGGGTTCCCTGGTATTTTTCCAGACGAGGATGAGTTGGGGTTGCGGTCGCCTGGTCTTGTGAGTTTCCCGCGTATTGTGATTGAAGAGGTTGACGAGGAGGAGAAAGAGAAGACAGAGGCAGGCAAGTCAACTGGTACGGTGCTGGGTCTTCGTGGTGCTTCTTTGGCTTCTGGTTCTGGGTGTGCTGCTGCTGTGTTGAAGGGGTTGAATATTGTTATGCCGAGGGAGTGAAATGCTGATGCGTTGTTAGCTCTTGCTTCATTTTGCTTCGATCTGGTCTGCTTTGCTTTTATTTGCTTTCGTATTGATTTGCTTATTTTTGCTTGTTTTTGCTCTCACTATGTTTGATCCTGTTGCATTTATGCGTATGCTATAAAATCCACAAAGTCCTCTCGACAACTGCGTTCATTTCCACTGTATATCTCTAGGCGAGACCGATTCTCAAAACATGAAGGTTACTAAACTCCATAAAACAAGAGCCATGACAGTCTATTGTACTCTGTAGAGCAAATAAATATCATTTGATCGAGATGTGTATCTCACTTGTTTGGAAGTAATCATTTCGACGGATGCAGAGGCCAAACTCTTCACAATTTGATCATGCGATTGCTCTGAATTATAGTAGAAAGCTCCCAATAACCTTATTCTCTTGCCATCGTGTTATTCAATGTCTATGCCGGTGCTATCATCCGGTATATGCTGCCTGGACCCGGGAGTACACATCCAGAATCAGACACTTTGTATAGGAAAATCCTAGAGCCCACGAGACAATCATGGCGCAAATACAGACCTTATAGGCCAATGATACCCTTAGTGAATAGTCCTATCGACAGCCAAGTATCTAAGATACTTTAGGAAGCGAAAGATGTACTTTTATAGACATACTGCTCAGAGATGGTGATCACCTACTCTATCGGATCATCCCTAGATGAAGACCATTGCCAGTCCGCCGAGCATAAGACCCATCTCATGAGTTGGATGCAAGCTAGGCTTGGAAATGTGATTGCAGGTATATATTCTCTTATACGAGAGAGATCCTTCCGTAATCTTTCTGCCATTCCAATGCTGAGCATGTCGTACGCAGGGGAGACTGCAGCCGTCACTCAATAAGTATATACAATAAACATTTTGATATGCGAATTCTCTCATCATAACCGAGTCTTGAGTAAATCAAGGAAGTTGGCCCACTGACCAATCAGCATCCCTCATTCAAAACATTTCATCATCCACCTCCTTGACTGAAATTCCTTCTCATCTCCTTAGTCCATCCCTATCCATCAACAAACCTCAAAATGCTCCTCTCTCCTCGCTTCCACCTCTTTGAAATAGGCGACCAACCCTGGTGCCCAGACTGGATCATCGCCTACATCCAATCCTACCTCACCAGCGTCTGGAACCTGCACCTGCCGCCCTTCAGCCGAACCTCCCCGGCAGGCGTAGCCGCCGAGCTCGTCACTGAAAATCTGCCCGATGCATCATCCTACACATTCGTAGATTGCTGCGCCGGAGCAGGAGGGCCCACCTCGACCATGGAGCGCGTCCTGAACTCCCGCTTCCGGGAACAGGGGAACCCGCCCGCGCGGTTCGTCTTAACAGACCTGAATCCGAGGATCGATGCTTGGGCCGTCATCGCCAAGAAGCAGGAGCATATATCGTTTATTCCCGAAGTCAGAGATGCGACGTGTTGCGGGCGGGTTGCCGATGAGGGGAAGGAGTGTCGGGTGTTCAACTTGTGTTTTCATCATTTCGACGATGCGGTGGCGCGGGGGGTTTTGAGGAGTGCGGTTGAGTCGGCGGATTCGTTCATGTAGGTTTTTTTCTTTTTCTCTCGTTCGAGATGATCAGGTGTGGTTGGTGTTGACTTGGGCAGTGTTTTCGAGTTCGCGCAGCGCAATTTCTCGTCGCTGCTGAATATCCCTGTCATGGTGCTGTATCCGTTCTTCCATACGCTGCAGCGGTACTGGTATTCGCCTTTGCATCTGTTCTTCACGTATGTGGTCCCGCTCTTCTCGGTGGTCTGTTCGTTTGATGGGTTGGTGTCTACGTTGCGGTGTAGGACGCCTGAGGAGTTGAGGGATCTCCTCCGTCAGCCGGATCTGGATGTTTCTGGATGGGAGTTTACGTCGGGCAATCGCATGATGATCTGGCCTTTTCTGCATATTTACTGGTTTATGGGTGTAAGGAAGCGGTGATTATCATTTCAGAGTCATGTCATCAGCTCTGGCAGCCTTTGCTCTACCTCTTGCAGAACCTCAAATCCCAAAACAGCTCGTTGGCGCGAAGACATCAGCCCAATCCAGTCTGTCTCTCGAGTCAGCCCCGACCACATCAAAACCAAGTCGCGCAGTCGTTGTAGGATGCCGTCGGCCAGGTGAAACCCGCCTCGGTTGCGGATGGCGCCTTGGACGTTCCGGGCGGTCCGGGACTTTCGAATGTCTTCGTAGAGTTTCAGTGCTTGTGGGATCTTTGATCTATAGTCATGGGAGGATGCTACGTGATGGAGCAACATCCCCAGCACTGCGCCATCTTCCACAGCCATGGCGGCCCCTTGGGCTTGATATGGCAGAGTCGGGTGGGACGCATCTCCTAGCAGCGTAACGGAGCCCTGTACGATATTAACAAGTGTTGAATATGTGCCAGGGGAGCAAACCTTAGTCCACTTCGGTAACTCGGGAAGATGACACAGCTTCCACTTCAGGACGGTCGGGATACAGGAGATCATCTTCCCGAGCCTATTGCAGTGATTCAGTCTCGACGGCGTAGGCCTAGAGGTACAGGAACACGCACGTTGGATCCCACTCTCTATACCCATACCGCATCTCATCCACATCCCCCTGCGTCGTGCGCACTCCCGGCGGCAGATCATCAGGCTGGATCAGAACAAGGTTATACTCTTGTCCTCCGCGAACGGGGTAAAAGACGGCGTGTTTCTTGGGGCCTAGCCAGGCAGTCACGCCTTGCTTCTCGCAGAGTGCTTCCACCTCTGGATCATTCAAGGCCACAAGCTGAGCTCGCGAGAAGGTAGCGCGGTAGGCTAGGTCTCCGGTTTCTTCGGGTGGATGGGGTTCATCGAGGACGACTTCGCGGACGTTGGACCAGAGACCTGTTGGATCAACTCCGGACATGAGGTGGACGGATGGGAGACGAACCATCAGCACCAATGGTCACGTCGCCGGTGATCATCTCGTTGCCCACGATGACTGCAGTCTCGTCAACGAGGACTTTGTCCACGAGAGCGCCCAGGCGAATCTCCACTCCTAGGTCTCTAGCCTTGTCAAGAAGAATCCGATGATAATCGGCGCGATGGATGACGCTGCACATGTTGTTAGCAAGGGATTACGACGAAGGGGTAACATACATCCACGGCGCTCCATATTCCTTCTCCACCGTCTCACCGCAGGGCATCGAGGCGATGATCCTCCCGTCTTTGTAGCGTCGCAGATCCATGAACTCGAGTTTCATGCCTTTCTCCTCGATCTGAGGCAGGAGACCGAGTTCCCGCATGATCCGGGCTCCATTTGGAGGGATTTGGATCCCAGCGCCGACCTAACGAGTCATCTTCTGCTAACAGTAGTATTGTGGATTGATGCTTACTGGCAGAATTTCAGCTGATTGTTCCAGGATAAGCACATCGAGGTTCTTCCGGCGACAAGCAATGGCACAGGCCAGCCCGCCGATTCCCGCGCCGACTATGATGACTTTCATTGATTTACTTTGATCTGCTGGTTGACCACCCTCTGAGCTAAGCTGAGATAAAGTGCCTGCAGCCTGTCATTGAAGAGCTTGGGGCGGACGAGATGAGATGGCAGAGAACAAAGAAAACGAGCGGTGAACCACGTGCTGAGGGGTCATCCTTGTCTGTAGACATTGCTGCTTTGATAGAGATCTTGTTATTGATATTGATATTCAACAATGATCTGATATCGTGACTTTCTGTAAGCTTAACTTCGACATTGAGATAACATCAATCAGTGCATAGCTTTATGCAGAATATATGTTCATACATTCAACCAAACATGTGTATAATCTCCTCGCCCTAGATCAGCATCCTTACTTTTGAGAATCCCTAAGCAGCTCCAGTTACATGATCACTTTGAGACAAATATATGATGCCATACACGTGCATACATGTCACTCCTTAGCTGTTCTTCGTATATTCGGCTGTTCCTGGTCTAACCCTGCTTCGTGCCCAAGTGGATAGGACAAATATAGCCGCAAAGTGTCATGTAGATTACCGCCGAGAAAGACCTGACTCGGTTACCCGTCAGATAGATTCCAAGCCCGTGAAAGCCGCCGTTAAGCATGATTCAGACTCTCGATGTCTCAGTCGGAGGGTCTTGGCATGCCCCTGAGACATTTCCGCTGATTCCTCCGAGCCACTCTGAAACAGGCCGATTGCCGAATTGGGAGATCTTCAAACAACGGATTGAAACATGTCGCATTTTACCAGGCGCGTTTCCTTATCGGTCAAGGACTTCTGAAGGATTGTTTTTGATGGGCGATGGTTTGTGCGTATAAGTACTGTCCCTCTGTTTCTATATTCGGCGGTCATACATCCGTCGATAGAAGAGCAACAATAATGAAGACAGCTATTCTTTCTCTTTTGCTGGCTCTCACCCAGGCCTATGCCAAGGTCACGGGCTCTCCCTCTGGCTTTGCGGCTGGTACTACAGGGGGTGGTTCGGCGACCCCGGCAGCCCCCTCCAGCTTGGACGAGTACGTCTCCTGCCACTAGATCACTCGCAAGCTAACTGTCATAGACTGGTGCAATGGATCACCGACGACACTCCCCGGGTGATCCTCATCGATCGTACCTGGGACTTCACCGGCACCGAGGGCACCACCTCGGGCAAATGCTGCAGCATGCCATCCACGACTGTCTGCAGCGGCGGCACCTCCAAGGGTCAGGCCTGGATCCAGGATTCCTGCGACGGGGGAAGCTGGGTGTCCTGCAAGTACGACAATGCCGCCCTGACGCCCATGGACGTGGGCTCGAACAAGAGTATTGTGGGTGTCGGTAGCAAGGGTGTCATCAAGGGCAAGGGACTGCGCGTGCGCAATGGAAACAAGAACGTGATTATCCAGAACATTCACATTACGGTGTGTAACCCCTGACAAATACTTCTACAAAGCTAATCCAAGCAGAATCTCAACCCCCAATACGTCTGGGGCGGTGATGCCATCACCCTCGACGACGCGGACATGGTCTGGATCGACCACAACAAGGTATGTCTTCAACCCCCCGGACAGAGGATGCCTGCTGACGAGGAAGATCTCCCTGATCGGCCGCCAATTCATCGTCAGCGGCTGGGGCAAAGCCGGCCGCGTCACCATCTCCAACAACGAATTCGACGGCCGGACCTCCTGGTCCGCCAGCTGCAACGGCAAGCACTACTGGACTCTTCTGCTGATCGGCCTGGAGGATTACTACACTTTTGAAGGCAACTGGCTGCACGATGTCTCCGGCCGCGCCCCCCACATGGGAACCGACCACACCAAGTCGCAGATCTTCTTCCACGGCGTGAACAACTACTTCCAGGATGTCGGCGGCCATGCCTTTGACATCGACACCAACACCTGGGTGCTGCTCGAGGGCAACTACTTCGAGAACGTCAAAACGCCGCTGACGGAGACCTCCCTCACGGCGGGCGGCAAGCTGTACACCACCAAGACGGTGAGTGCGGCTGGCGCCTGTCTGGACCAGCTCAAGTATATCTGCGAGTGGAATCGGTTGGCAGGGTCTGGAGCCTGGGAGGACCGCACGGATGCGGACGTCAAGAGCAAGGCGGCTTCGTACAAGGAGAGCTTGGTGGGCCATTACGGTGTGGCAGATGTTCCTGCTAAGGTGGTTGCCAGTGCTGGTGTTGGCAAGCTGTAGTTTCTATTCTTTGTATATTTTGATTCTTTTCATGTACGCTATATTAGAGCTCGCTGATTCATCATCGGCATTAGGGTTTGCGAGCCGAGAGTCTTGACATCAGTATGACAACTCGGTTCTACCCACCATAAATAGAGAGGTACTCGACCATATCAAGTCCATCAGTCGATTATCAAATTATAGGCAAAATGAAGTCCATCCTCATTACCGGCGCGACAGGCAAACAGGGTGGCGCCGTCATCAAGGCCCTCCTGGCCGAAGACGCCGACATGGAGATCCTCGCCGTCACCCGCAATCCGCACTCCGCAGCCGCCAACAAACTCGCCGAGAAATCCCCCAAGATCAAGCTCGTCCAGGGCGACCTCGACGACCCAGCGGGACTCTTCAAAAACGCCCACCAAGTATCGTCCGGCCCCATCTGGGGCGTGTACAGCGTGCAGGTACCCATGGGCAAAGGCCAAACCGTGCAGAAGGAAGAAAGCCAAGGCAAAGCGCTGATCGACGAGGCACTGGCCCAAAAGGTCCAGCACTTTGTCTACTCCTCCGTCGACCGCGGGGGCGACGCGTCCGTCGACAATCCCACCAACATCCCGCACTTCATCAGCAAGCACCGCATCGAGCAGCATCTCTTCGAGCGGACCCGGGACAGCGACATGTCCTGGACGGTCCTCCGGCCGGTCTTCTTCTTCGACAACCTCACCCCGGACTTCCTGGGTCGGCTCGTCGTGACGGCGTGGGACGCGTATCTGCAGGGGAAGCCGCTGCAGTGTATCGCCGTCAGTGACATCGGGTACTTTGCCGCCCAGGCGTTTCTCAACCCGGCCGAGTACAGGAACCGGTGCTTGTCGTTGGCGGGGGATGTGCTGACGTATGAGCGGATGCAGGAGGTGATGCGGCGGAAGACGGGGAGGGAGGCGCCGACGACGTTCCGGGTGGTTTGCTATATGGTGATGTGGATGGTCAAGGAGATGAGGGTGATGTTTGAGTGGTTCTATGCGCATGGTTACCGGGCTGATATTACGAGGTTGAGGGAGATGCATCCCGGGTTGAAGGATTTCGAGGCGTGGTTGGACGAGGATAGTCCATTTGTTAAACGTTAGTTATCGTAGTTGCTATATGATGTATCTAAGTTGCATTGACTTGAACCTCTGGATAGCCTCGAGCAGTAGCTTACATGAACTGTGTTCATCTGAATATGATACATCCCAGACTTTCCATCATCAGGCTCACTAAGAAACATGGCCATGACTCGCTGCTTTCCACATGCCACTCCCTTTGGCTACCGTCCTCTCTCATAGCCGGAATCATCTTCATGATCCTCATGCGAGGGAGGATGCGCGTCGGGGTCAAGCTGAGGAGGTGGAGTTGAGACGCGAGCAGGGTGCGAAGAAGCGAGCTAGTTGGATATTGCTTCTTTCCACGGGGTATAGCAGATATACAGTATGACTCCTTCCATACCCTCCTCGAACCGTGGCTTTGGCAACGTCTACTGCAGCCTGCACCTCGAGTTTCCTCCGAATAGTTGATAAAATCCGATATACAAGTGCCTGGTAATAAGATATGGTGATGTCATTGTGTAAGAGAAACAGCCTCGCTGAGTATTAGAGATGGTAGACTATTTGCGTGAGGATGGGACGGTTCACGTCTTCTGTCAGACCGTTGGCCATTGTTATTTGTTCGAGACTGGACTACATCCAATGGCATTACTAGAAGACATCTCCAGAATGGGAATAGCGGCACGGTACGAGATCAGCATTAAATGGCCGATTGTGGGTCTTGCACATCATTGGTAATCATTACTCAGCTCGTTGCATCGTTAGGTAGATATATCATCCAGGTACTCGCCCTCGCCCTCGCCCTCTCCGGTGACTGTTACTCTCTCCCACAGTCGACGACATCCCCCTGCGCATGCGACTTCCACCCAGGCGAAGGATTCCAGGATCCCGACCAAGTGCGGATACGATGTGATCTTCAACTCCCGACAGAGGCTGGCAACATGTCCTACTAGCCGCGGGTGCTCCGGCATCTCTTCCGCCGCGATGGCCGCCACGGTAGCGCACCAGAGAAGCAAGGGACTGGACACGATCTGCATCATTTGGTCGAGTTTGCTGGCGAGAAGCGGGAGGATCATGGCGCGGAGCAGGGCAGATCGCGGGAGCGGGAAGGTCACATGCGTTGCGTACAGGTTCGCGGCCAGTCGGCAGGTCAGGTACAGCCCATGCGACACGGAGAGGTCATCTGGGGACAGGTCGCACATCTCGAGGACGGTTTCGACGGGGTCGTGTTCGTCGGGCAGGCTGAAGAGGGCGTGATGGACTTGGTTGCGAACGTCGGCGAACCGGTCGCAGTTCGACGGATCGAGGAGGCGATTGTAGTACCATTGCACCAGGGTGGAGTATTCGCTGAGGTGGAGGAAGACGTCCACGATGGTCTCTTTCACCGGTGGGCAGGGGGCCCGCAGATCCCTGAAGCCGACGTTCCTCCTCGTGGATGGGTCGTCCGGGAGGGGAAAGACTTGCAGAGGGGATGGAAGGTTGATCTCGTTGCCTTCAACGTCGACCCGGGGGAAGAGCGGTTTGGTCAGAGAGTGGGCCGCTTTCATTAGATCCGCGCTGGAGAGATCTTAGCAGACGATCTCGCAGTCATGGGGGTTCAGGAAGTGTAGATACATTGTAATCAACCAGCCCAGGGCGTACAGCTTGATGGACTGGATCCCGCCCAGCTGGCGCAGCAGATTACAAATGACATCCCAATGCAGGGTGTGGTAGTCCCGACTGCCATAGAACGACAGCGACTGCATGTCCACAAACGGGGGCGTGAACGGGCTCGGGTCGCGGCTAAGGTCTCGTCGCGTGGTCTCGTTGACGGCCAGATGCAGGATGGCCAGGATGACGCCGTCTCGCCATTCTTCCTTGGTGTAGTCGGCCACATGGTCGCGCAGCAGCCGCAGAAGTCGCCCCTTGTAGTACAGCTGATCCTTGGTGTCCAGCACCGGATTGGACCCGTAGCTGATGCGCAGGACGTCTCGATGGCACGAGGCGGCCCAGAGGGTGCTATAGATCAACAGATTGTTCTGCACGTTGGGTGCCACCCGCGATTGGTAGCATCTCCCGGCGTAATCGGTGCGGCGGAAGTTCGGCCAGAGATGCATAAACGCTAGGGACGTTAGTCTCCAGCTGTCAGATATGCAGGCAACGACTCAACCGACCATGCTGGAATATATCGTCTACACTTGGCCCCAGGTTGGGATCCACCGGAGAAAAGGGGTCTGCCCTGCCAGTGGCAAGACCGGGGGACAGGGCCGGGGAGGTCTGGTCGGACACACGCCATCCTCCGCAAGTCCCGCAGATCTGGAAGAGACTCCCACTCCCATCGCTGCTTTGCATCTGATTCTGAGGTACTATTACGCTAGTTCTGGTCCCCGTAGCCTGAGTCTCGGGAGATCCGCGACCCTCCTCCGGGCCCAGGGCCGGGTCCCTGCCCGTTCCAGTACAGGTACACCAGCGCGCCGCCAAGTGCTGGTCCCGTGCCTGACGTTCAGCAATCAACTGCTCTCGCTTGGCTTCCTCCTCCTGTCGGTATGCACTCTGTTTCTCCGAGATGAGGCGGCGGATCAGGGCTGAGCGCGTGTTGCGGGATTTAGCGTCACCCCCGCGGCCCAGCGACGGGCCATCAACAAAGAGGATCCGCTGTGGTTTGCCGCTTCCGGGGGTCATGGCGACAGACGAAGGCGACGGTCGAATCTGCTGACCTGTAGAATAGAGTTCTTGGTCTGACCGTCAGACACGGCAACGCTGACATGGGAGTATTTTCCTGCCACGTGCTTAGCGGTGGTTAGCGTGCGGACACATGCGCCACTTCGTACAACGTTGGACGCTTGGAGAGACTAGATTCGCTTAATGCAATTGGGTAGATTGACTCGGATGGCTTCAGCAATGGGTAATCCAATCAGAAGAGGGCAACACATCTCCAAATCGGGACTGGGTCGAACTATAGATGCTACGTCGACGTCCGACGAGTCCTACATGACAGACTCCTGCAGTAGTCCAAGAATCTCCAGGGTTATGATATCGTGAGAAACACAATAACTCCATTCATGCTAATGTCATCTCATCCAACACGATCATGTATCCCCCGCCAAAGTCCCCAGTCGGGACTCCCCTCCCTTCTCGTCAAACAACAGCACCAGCATCTGCATCATGATCGAACTCCTAAGACTCTGTATCTCCTTCCTCGACGACGAGCCGCTGGAACAACTCGTCGCCGGCGAGGCCCCCTCGCCCGACTCCTCCTGCTGCACCATATCCGACATCAACCGCAGCACATCCTGCCACCGTCTGCGCAACGTCTCCAGCTCCCCCTGCAACCGCGCATTGTCCACCTCCAACTTGAGCTTCGCACTCTTGGCCTCGGCCAGCAGTCCGCTCAGCGTGTCGTTTTCCGCGCGCAGCTCCTCCATCCCCTTGCGCAGCTGGAGTCGTTCCTGTTCCCGGCGTTCGCGGAACCGGCGCTGCGCTTCGCGGTTCTGCGATTGGCGGCGGTTTGGCTATCGCGTCCATTAGCTATCTATCCCATCACCCTGTAGATGGCGGGCGGAGGGTACATTAGCTGTAGATCCATTCAGGTCAGGATTCTGCTGGCCGAGCTCGCCTGGCGGACCGAGGTAGGCCGTCGATTGCGGGGACAGCAGATAAAGCTCTTGCGGCGCGGTCAGAGGCATCGCGGGTGGGAACCGCAGGTCGAGATCGCTGCTCACGGTTGGCGACAGACCGCAGGTGGACTCGCTGTCCATGACTTCATCCCATTGCAGGGCTCGGGGGCGGAGGTCGTAGTGCATGTCTTGCTGCTGCGGACGGAGTGTCATCGATTGATTGGCGGTGGCATACATGGTCATCTCACGTAGCAGAGGTGAAGAATGCCACTCCCTCGAGGGATGCAGACATTATATAGAAGCTTGGGGCATACTTCGACTGTCATGACAGCCGATTGATCGAATCAAATCGCCCCTACTATTTTAATTAAAGCTGGCTCCCCATGTCCCGCGTGTAAGAGGCCATCTGCAGGCATTCCAGCGGCCGTTTCTCGAGACAAGTCGACGGAGAGTGCTAGCTCGAGATGTATTCGGAAAATGGTCTCTGGAAGTTCCTCAGGACGCAACAAAACGCAGGACCCTTGAAGCTTCGATATCCAAGGCCCTTCTCAGCTCTTCTGACATGACAGATCCTACCGTCTTGGCAGTGACCAAGGAATGACCCTAGACCTGGAATGGCAGTGTCTATCTCCTATCCAATTGGTGAGATCTCGGTCTGGCCATCTTGGCTAGTGAGACAAGAGACAAGGAGACATCTCTGTGCCTCGGGCTGTTTTTCCGTGTTTCACCGATCTGGCTGTTCCAACCCATTCCAGCAGATGCATCTCTAGCCTGGATTGGCTGTTGGGCCTCAATTCATTGGTTATCTGATCTATATCTGTCATCTGTCATCTTTGTTCAATGGCACAAAGGATCTCTGCCTTGTGCAGCCTTCCTCTAATTATAGCGCAATCTTCTCACCCTAAGGTATTAGCAGGTCGTTCGGTGGATGACTATGGCGGATTCTCTGACCTACAAGAAGCAAAGCAGATGGTTATGCTCGTCGAGTAGTTGTATAACATGATCCGAATTAGTCTATATAGTATAATAGCTAAAGCCAGAAATATATTTAGATAGGTTCATCCCTTGGTTCAATCAGGACCTCGTTGACCGCCACATGTGCCGGCTGTCGCAGCGCATACACAATCGACTTGGCCACATCTTCCGGGTCCAAAATCTTCGCCCCCGACGGCTCGCCGTACTTCTTGATCGCCTCCGCGTCCGTCGACATCCCAAGCAGATCGGTGGCCGTGTTGCCAGGCTGGATGGCCGTCACGCGCAGCCCCATCCCCGCCGTCTCCAAACGCAGCGACTGCAGCGTCGCCTCCACGAAGAACTTGCTGGCCGAGTATACGCCCAGGCCGGGGAAGACCTTGCGTCCGGCGTCGGAGGAGATGGCGACGATGTGGCCGCTGCCGCGGGCCAGCATGCCGGGCACCGTGGAGGACAGGCAGTGCAGGAGACCCTTGCAGTTCACGTCGACGGTGCGCTCCCATTCATCCGTCTTGACGTTGGCCATCATCGTGTAGTACATGACGCCGGCGCAGGAGACCAGGATATCGACCGGACCCAGCTGCTCGCTGGCCGCTTGCACAAGGGCTTCCACCTGCGCCCGATCGGTGACATCGGTGCGCTGGATGAGGATCTGCCTGCCTTGGCCGGACAGCCGCCGCTGGAGAGACTCGAGCGCGTCCATGCGGCGAGCCGCCAGTGCCACATGGCATCCTTCGCGAACGAGGGCGGCGGCCACGGCGGCACCGATGCCGGATGACGCGCCCGTGATGACGGCCACGCGGCCGTGCAAGGGGCCCCGGATGGCGGCGAGGGGCTTGTTCAACCGGGCGGGCGCCTTGGGAAGCCATCCCCGCGCGAACCAGTGGCGAGTATAGGTCTCCAGGAGGGCGCGATCGACCTTGGGCCGTTCTACCACAGCGCGGAATGGCTTGGTGGCCGCGTTGTCGAGCACAACGATACCCCTGAGGAATTCAACCGTGGGCATCCCACTTCGCAGAATGTCAACCGTAAATGCGCCATCGCCTCCCTTGACCAACCCCTGTTTGTCGGTCCAAAGCGCCACCCACTCATCCCATCCGAGTCGCTTGGTCGGGTATCCCAACTCCGACAGGGCATCAAATACGCGTCTTGTGTCTACCGGATCCGGGTCCCCCAGGTGGAAAACGGTCTGGTCGGCCTGCGTCTGCGTGGCCAGGTGGACAATCGCCTTGCTGACAAAGTCAACCGGAGTCATTTCGGCCCTCCAGCCGTCGACGTCGGGCGCGCAGCCCAGCTTGATCGATTCGACGATCAATGCCGACAGCAAATCCCAGGCATTGGCCGCACCCGTGATGCTGTGACCGCTGATGGTGCCCGCACGGTGAATCTTGACGGGCAGTCCGCGGCGACCGGCCTCCAGGACCAGCTGCTCGGCCACCCACTTGGTCTGTCCGTAACCGTCCAGCAGCTTCGTGGGGACGTCATCAACCGGTAGCATGGCGTCCTCTGGCCATCCCTTCTCACCAGACGGGGGCAAAACTCCATTGGTGGAGACGTACTGTACCGTTGCGCCGCCCTTGCTGGCCAAACGCAGAATCTCTCTGGTTCCTCCGACATTGGGGCCACGCAGGGCTGCGTAGGGGTACACCAGGTTGACGGTAGCAGCGGCATGGATGATGACATCCACCCGAGCGGCCAGCTCGTCAAACGCCTCGGGGGAGAGGCCAAAGCGCGACCGGGACAGGTTACCAGGAAGGATCTCGACGCGTTCCATGATCGAGTCGCGCCAAAGACCCAAATCGAGCAGATTCCGACGGATACGAGCCACACCACCCGGTTGATCATCGTCGGCGGGTTCGTTGAACCGCACCAAACAGATGACGTGTGCGGATGTGCTTTCCAGCAGATCATGGAGGAGGAAAGCCCCCAGGAATCCCGTTACACCGGTCAACAACACCGTTTGTGCATCCGTCACAGATCGGATCTTCACATCAGCAGAGGGCCGGATGTCCTCGTCCAACGTCGCATCTGCGCGCAGCACAGCAGGCAGATCGGCCTGCACGGCAGCGGTGTGGCCGTCTCGGATGGCACGCACTGTTTCCAGGTGACCGGCCAGGGTGGAGTTCTCGGCCAAACGTGCGATGGGAACGCGGAAACCGAACGCTCTGGAGAATTTCGACGCGAGTTCCGCCAGGGAAAGCGAGTGGCCGCCAAGGTCGAAGAAATTGTCGGTCGGCTTCAGCATCGCCTTGGGTGTTCGCAGTGTTGTGGCCCAAATGGCTGCCACTTGGTCAATACCGATGGGATCCTTTTCCTTGGTCCCGTTGCCATTCACCGGACTGGGAGCTGGCGGAGGAGGGAGTCGTTTCAGGTCTACCTTGCCCGACACCTCGTGAGTCGGCAGCTCGTCCATGTCCACCCATAGGGCGGGGATCATGTAATGAGCCAGAAACGGCGCCAAAGTCTGCCGCGCCGCCGGGCTGTGGCCGGACTGGTTGATCTCGACAGCCGCACGATCGGTGGCGTCCTGGTCCCGGACAATGTAGGCCACCAGCTGGCGATCCAATCCTTCGCCGTGCGCGATCACGGCACAATGGCTGACGGCCAAGTGTTTGACGATCTCGTTTTCAACCTTACCAGGAACCACCGAATACCCACGGAGCTTGATCATCGCACCCACGCGACCGGTGATCTCCAGCAGTCCCGAAGGCAGAATGCGAGCGCGGTCGCCGGTGCGGTACATGCGCGCACCCGGTGTGGAGTCGAACGGATCCGCGGTGAAGGCTTTGGCGGTCGTATCGGGGAGATTAAGGTACCCGCGGGCGAGAAGGGGCCCTCCAACAAAGAGCTCTCCGCTCTCGCCGTCGGGCACGGGCTTACCATCTTCACCCAGAATATAGGTGTGCTTCGGATCCAGAGGGGGGCCCACCGGACAATATGGGGTATCGTCGTCCAGCATCACCCGGATATCGCCGCAGGCAATCTCGTGTGTTTCGCATGCGCTGTAGCAATTCAGTAGCCGGGTAGACGGAAGGGCCTTGATGGCCCGTCGAGCGAGATCGGTCGTGACCACCTCACCGTTCAACCATAATGTGCGTAGATGGGGCAATCGAGCACCGAGATCGTGGTGACGCGCGAGCACGGTGGCCAGCAACGTTGGCGTCATGAGAGTCTCGGTGATGCGTTTGGCTGCCAGGAGGTCGACCAGCGCTGCGGGATCGTAGCTCACATCGTCCGGAACCGCCACGACCGTGGCACCACGCAACAGTGGGCGCAGAATCTCCCAGATGAAGAACACATTGCAGGCCACCCGATCACCAGGCTGAAGATCCTGCACGCCGAACCGGAGGTTATACGAGAGCACCGGCGCTCGATGTGGGTTGGCGATTCCCTTGGGTTTGCCCGTAGTGCCAGAGGAATACGAGACAAAGGCCAGTCGATCGAGGTCATCCTCAGCCGGCAGAGGAGTCGATGGTTCCTTGGTGTGTCCGTTGGCGTCTGTCGCGGGCTCGTCGAGAGCGATCAGCGGCACATCGGCTTTGACCTTGGTTGCCTCCGCGCGAAGGGTCACCACCACCACGGGCTTCGCGTCTTCAAGGACGTCTGCCAGGAGATCAGGAGGGTAAGCCAGCTCGAGAACGAGAAATGCGCCTCCTGCACGGAGAGCGGCCAGGCAAGCGATCACATAATGGGCGCTCCGAGGGAGCAGCACGCCAACCAGGCTGTCTCTTCCGACTCCATAGCTTCGCAGACGCTGAGCCAGAGCATCCACCTCTTTGTCTAGTTCGGCATATGTGTATGTGGTGGAGTCGTCTTCCAGTGCGGGGGCATCGGGGGTCGCATGAACCTGGTGGGTGAAGAGGGCCGAGAGGTCTTTTGTGGTATCGAGAATCGACATTGAGTGTATCAGCTTTCAATTCCGATTGAATTGATGTCCTGAATCTGAGGATGTCGGTTTCGAGGAGTTGACGGGTATTTGTGGGTGGAGGACGCGGGAGTGTGGGGAAGAAACGAGTGAGAGTCACCGCGGCGTCGGCGGCAGACAAGAAAAAGCAAGCAGGAAACTGCAAGTTGTTAGTGGACAAAGTGAGATGGATCATCAGAAGAGGCGTCAGGGACGTGGGATGATAGAAACATTTACATACCGGTTGGTTTGGGGATGGAAAGAAGAGGGAGGAAGGAGGAGGAGGAGGAATTTTGTTGAGAAAGAAGCAGCCTCAGGAACCAATTGCAGACAACTGGCTAGAATCCTGTTTACAGGTACTTACTGTAGCTGGCTAGAACTAGGCAGAAAGAGCAGCTCCATTCTGCTAGTGATCCACTAGATTTAAGAAGACCCAATTAGCGGGGAAGCTGGAGACATCTGCATCTTATCTGTTTATCATGTTGTATTGTATTATACAGGTAGAATAGAATAGACATAAATAGTAACTGCTCATGAGACAGCTGGCAGATATCTATCTATCATGAAGATATAGATCCTAGATAGATCTTAAGCATGAGCCAACAGATAGTTAGGTTTTGTGGACAGATTCAATCATCACATGCAAATCCTCCAAGTCAGGTGATCACACCCCACTACTTGGCGGTATCTCATTGGCTCACAAGAGCAAAGGCTATCAACAAAAGATGCAAGCCTCAGGCATGCAACCACTCTGTAGCTCATTTCCAGCCCTAAGGGCCTTGAAAATAGCCAGGATTCAACCTCTCGACTAGTAGTAGTATTATTATTTCCTCGGGCTACTCTTCAAATATACTACGGAGAGTACAGCGATATTTATAGACAGAATCTCATCCTCCTGGGATATACTCGCACAGGTCTGCTTGAGCTGAAGACATCCACCAAATTTATTGCATGTTGACCTTGTCACTTTCTTTCTCTTTGAATCGGATTGAAATTCTCGAGTTTTCTTTCCAATATCTCTCCTCTGACTTTCTATTTCCTATAAGATTATTAACCTCCTGTATATCATCTATTCCACGCCTTCAGACTGACAGACCACATCTTTCGGAGTGCCTCTGCGGGGGATTCGTTGAGGATATGCGCGGATCCCGCTGATCCTTCTGCTCCTTCCGATTGAAATGATCCAACCTCATGTCAGAGATATAATCGACTCCTTGAACTTCATGGCCTCACTATCTGGCAGTCAATTCAGATTTGCACAGATGGCGCCCGCACTTGACTCGGCCGTGGAGCCACCGACAGAATACAAAGAAATGCCATTTTCCAGAGCTCAAGAAGATCTGCCACAGTACCAAGGCGCTGGCTGTATGACGCCTGAGAAAGAAATCCATACCGAATACTTTTCCCCCCGGGGAAGCCACAGCACTCATAGATCTCACGACTCCATCGCCTCCTCCAGTCTTAGCCTTGACGACTCCCAGATGTCGGAGTCGGACACTCCGTCGAATGGGTTCTATGATGACCCAGGCACGATTGACGAGAAGCTGTCAATGTACTGGAAAGCGGCGAATGAAACGGTGGGTGCTTGATTCAATAGGTAAATCGGCCGTGACAGTGCGGATCTTACATCTTTTCTCTGGTGTAGGTGATCAGAGAGCCGTACGACTACATCGCCGGGATCCCAGGCAAAGAGATCCGTCGGAAGATCTTGGACGCATTCAACCACTGGTACAAAGTCGATGAGCAATCGTGCCAGGCTATTGCGGCCACAGTGGGCATGGCACATAATGCGTCACTGCTGTATGTTGCATGCTCTATCTCTGGAACTTGACCACCGCCTCTTCACGAGCTAAAAGAAGCAAATCCCACAGCATCGACGATATCCAAGATAGCTCCAAGCTGCGAAGAGGTGTACCGTGCGCGCACGAGGTGTACGGCATTGCCCAGACGATCAATTCCGCCAACTATGTCTACTTCCTGGCCCAGGACCAGTTGTTTCGACTCCGGAACTGGCCCCAGGCGATTGCCGTGTTCAATGAAGAAATGGTCAATCTGCACCGCGGTCAAGGCATGGAGCTGTTCTGGCGGGATAACTTGCTGCCTCCGTCCACGGATGACTATCTTCAGATGATCGCTAACAAGACAGGTGGACTGTTCCGGATGGCCGTGCGTCTGCTCCAGACATGCAGTAAACATGCTGTAGATGTTGAGCAATTGGTGGATGTGCTTGGTCTCTACTTCCAGATACTGGACGATTATAAGAATGTCAAAGAAGAAAAGGTTCGTCTTTCGTTTCGGGAAGTCGTATGGCTCGGGTACTGAACTATCAACAAGATGGCCGCCCAAAAAGGGTTCTTCGAAGACCTGACGGAGGGCAAATTCTCGTTCCCCATCTGCCATGCGATCAGGGGAGGGAATAGAAACAGGGACATCTTGCTTGATATGATGAGGCTCAAGACCGACGACATGGGGGTCAAGCTAGAAGCAGTCCGCATCCTGGAGGCAGCAGGTAGTCTTGATTACACGCGAGAAGTACTCTACGGGCTGGACCGAAAGGCTCGCAGTCTTCTTCGGGAGTTCAGAACTTCGAATCCTTCGATGGAAGCTCTTTTGGACGCAATGTTGAGCAGCCTTCAGGCCTGCCATTAAGCATCAGATGGGACTTGTTTCTTTCGTTTTGGCAGTTGATGTATAGTTCCCCAGAATACTACGGAGCTTTTCCTAACCTTATTCAATACCTAAATGAGCTACCTACTCTGTAAAGCATAATTGTTGCTTTGCTTTGGATTTAAGCATAGCAACCGAAGCGTGACAACCGAAATTCCCAATAGCAAACACAGTTATGCGTCAGCTATTAGACACGGTTCACAGTCTCTCCCAGAATATAACCGTATAACCAGCTCCTCTCCGAACAGTAAAGCAGCATCTAGAAGCCGCATCATCCTTACCCAAGAGTCTCTCATTGTTAGGGTTGAGTACTCTGTAGCTATCTCGCACCGGACCGCTGATCTGCCACGCAAACATCCCCTTGATCGAATGTCGAGAAAAGCCAGTGATTAGCAAGCTGACCCTACGTGTTTCGGCATCTTCCTTGGAGACTCTTATTTCTCGTGCGGGATCTCAACCTGCCCGAATGTGGTCGGATCCCTGCGATCCTTCAATCCTATTGACGGATTACGTCGGTGGACTTTCGGCCCCAGGATCTTTTTGTTTCAGTGCCCTTGCCTCTCACTCAAAGCCTGGTAAACAAATCTTTACACAGTATATACTCAAGGAATTCTCGCATATCAGACAGAAAGGCATTTCTCCTCCCTCACGACGCTCTCCCTTGACGAAGAACTTCCACGCGTTAGCGTCGACATCAACAGACTCTCCCCTGTCCCTTCAGACCCGAGCAGGATGGATGCATTTTCATCCCTGGCCCCTCCGTGGAACGCAGCAGGGACTTTCCTGAGATCGTATTTCGATATGGCAGCCTCGGCAGGGAAAGCAGCCAGGGACTCTCTCCGGAGCCACGAACACTTTGCCCGAGCCTGCGTGAGTATATGCGTCTCGTACGCGTTGTTCGTGTTGATGTTGCCTGCTAGGGCTCCGATTACAGTGGACGGTATCACGACATCGCTGGGGATACCACAAATCCAGCATTTGGTTCAGTGGGAGACCTTTCTGCGGGCACATGCCGAGTCCGGTGGAGATGTGTCCATGTTAGAACATCTTGCTGCTGTATGTACGACCCTGTCTCCTGAATACAAGATGGACGATCCGTGCTGATCCTTAATTTGAGGTGCAGATCAACAACAATAGGTAGGTTAGGGTGTGTAAGCCGACCGTTGAGGCAGGCTACTAACAGGCTGCAGTCATACAGATTCTCCTACTCGGCAGAGCGAAGCTTGGCTGCAGGCTGTGCGCCACGCTTGCGGGAACAGCACCAATGCAGAGACAGAGGTGCTGGCCATGCACCGGGGCCTAGCTGAGCAAGACTCGGCGAGTGTATCGGTACCGCTGGCAGCCGACGGTGCCGATGGGCAAGGGCGAGCATTCCAGCAAGTGTATCATTTCAAATGTGGAGATATCAACCATCTGCTTGATCGGAGCGATGAAATCCGTCTAAGCGATGCCATTGTACACAACATCATGATCTACGCGCCCCTCGACCGCAGAGCAAGTGGAGCTTTATCGCTCAGTGCTCTCACGCATTGGGTACCCCAGCTCGCCCTGGCGGCAGCTTTGGCCTTGACTATGTTTGGCTGGCCATGGGTCCCTGCGAAGCGAAGGGCACCGCCCTACGGACTATCAACCAGAACAGCGCATCCGTGTACAGTAGCGACTCGACCACAGCCAGCGCCGAGGGAGGTTGCAGCCAGAACCAGTGCCGGTCACGGTAAACGCCCCTCCGCAGCGGAGATCCGCGCCATGCCCGAGAGCCAGATCATCGAACTGGGCACGCGGAATCAGATACCGCTCTACAGCCTTGAAAGCGCGCTCCAGGACCCTCTCCGGGCCGTTAAGCTGCGGCGGCAGATAGTCTCACAGCACGAAGCCACAGGCGACATCAATTTCTCGGTGGATGGCTCGGCACTACCGTACGAAGGGTACGATTATCAATCCGTCCTCGGAGCTTGCTGTGAGAATGTGATAGGGTATATGCCCATTCCCCTGGGTGTGGCGGGTCCGATCAAGGTCAACGGAAAGTCCGTGTTCTTGCCCATGGCCACGACAGAGGGCGCGCTTGTTGCGAGCACGAACCGTGGCTGTATGGCGATCAATGCAGGGGGCGGCGTGACTGCCCTACTACTGGGCGATGGCATGACCCGGGCACCTATCGCACGCTTCTCCAGTCTTGAGGAAGCCGGTGCGGCGAAACGATGGCTTGACTCTGACGCAGGCTTCCAAGTGATCGAGGATTGCTTCAATGCGACCAGTCGCTTTGCCCGGCTGCAAAACATCAAGACGACGGTCGTTGGCTCGGACTTGTATATCCGGTTCACGGCCAGCACGGGCGACGCAATGGGCATGAACATGATCTCAAAAGGAGTCGAGCAGGCCGTGGAGGCGATGAGAAAGCACGGATTCGAGTCTATGGAGATCGTCTCGCTCTCGGGGAATTTCTGTGCGGATAAGAAGCCTGCGGCCGTGAACTGGATTGAGGGACGAGGTAAGACCGTCAGCGCGCAGGCGACCATCCCGGGACAGGTGGTTCAAGAGACGCTCAAGACCGATGTCGACACCCTCGTGGAACTCAACATCTCCAAGAACCTTGTTGGCAGTGCCGTTGCGGGGGCTCTAGGAGGGTTCAATGCCCATGCTGCCAATGTGGTGACTGCGATTTACCTTGCCACTGGGCAGGATCCCGCACAGAATGTGCAGAGCAGCAGCACTCTGACCGTGATGAAAAAGTGAGTCCTCCGTACTTGTGGGAAAGGTCGCGCTGCTAACATTCGAGCAGTGTGGGTGGGGATTTGCAAATCTCTGTTTTCATGCCTTCAATCGAAGTCGGTACCGTTGGGGGAGGGACAGTCCTGAGCCCACAAAAGGCGATGCTGGGGATGATGGGCGTCCAGGGATCCGACCCAGAGCAACCAGGGAGAAACGCACAGGAACTGGCTCTGCTGGTGGCGTCTGGCGTGCTAGCTGGAGAGCTCAGTCTTTGCTCTGCTCTTGCAGCGGGTTCCTTGGTGAAGAGTCACCTGGCCCATAACCGAAAGAAAGAATGATCTTCGTCAGAACATAGCTATAGATGAAACTTTTTTCTCAGCGTACATAGATTGCTATAGAAGACATAAGGATATCTATACCTGTGATGCATCTCCCCTTAAGTACTGTCAACTACATAACTCGTCCATTGTTCTACTATAAGGCTTATATCTCAAGGCATCTGGACAAGATGCCCTGTGGACGAACTGGTTCGCTGAACATCGTATTCAAAACCAAGTCTTCTCCTGTTTGAAGATATCTTGGTGCTTCAGGGGGGTCTCCAGGTATCTAAATTCGGCTATACACACAGCAGGCTAGGCTCTTGATGTCAGCATTGTGGAAGGTTAGATACGACTATAGACTGGGCATACAATTCAGAAAGTGATAATAGCCACCGCAAACAAGATAGATCTATCTACATCCGACTCGCAATGTCTCTCGCCACGTAGATCTGTCCGTACAAATCCGTCACATCACAAAACATCTGCACCTTCTCGAGAACCCTCGTCTTGGCTCTATCCCGAGCAGCCATCTCCGCCAACACCTCCAAGCCTCGTTCGACATTCGACCGCTCAAACTCGGCGAGCGAGAACAGCTGCTTCTGCCGGACCGCATCCGACTTGGGCCCGGCCTGCGCGAACTCGGGAAAGTTGACGCAGTTGACATTCTGCTCGTCACGGTCACGGGCCAGGGATCCGTAGTCGTTGTACATGCGGCACATCACCGCGAGATGGCGGCACATCGCTTCGGCGATGTATTTCTCTTCGCCGGTCCGGAAGCACGCGGCGTTGGTCGAGGCGTGCTCGAATCCCAGGAGGCATTGGTAGAAGGCGAATGAGTAGGGGCAGGACGTGTGGTCTGACGAGGTGGAATACACCCAGCGGTAGAAGCTTGAGCGGGCGGTTTGGAAGTCGTCGCGGGTGGAATCGAGCTGGGCGGCGAAGCGGCTGTTGTCGTCTGCCTGCTGGATATGCGATAGCAGGAATCTCTTCAGCTCGTCTTTTACTCGCTCGTACTCGAGGGGTGCGGCGGCTTTCATGCTAGGATGGTCCATGACGTGGTGGACGAAGGCACTCAGTACGGGGGTAACTTCGCTCGGGAGCGGCGTGGGTGATGCCTTTGAGCCCGTCTTGATCCGTTTCACGTGGGGAAGGCCCTTGTAGCTGTCTGCGTCGGTGTTCTCTGGACAGGGTGGCGTAGTCGCATTGCTTTCCGTGTGGTCAAGTGTGAGAAATATCTCGTCGATGCATGACCGAGTCATGGATCGCTGGCTGCTATCGAGTCTTCCAACCACCGCTTCCATGAATTCATCGGCTTGATAGTTGAGGAACGAGATCACCATCATCTCCACCAGCGTTTTGGTGGAGAGAAAAGTGTTCCTGCGATTATTGCACAAGGTCCAAGTGAACGGGATGTACTCGAAATACTTGTCCTCTTCCATGCCCGTGCGAGGGAAGACGGCCAGGCGTCGGTCGCGTAGCTGTGGTAGCAGCATGTAACCCTCGACTATGGCGGCTCGAATCTTCCAGGGTTCCATACTGGAAAACAGGGGAAGCATGGAATTGAAGCGTGCGAACTCCATGACCGTCTTCTTGCTCACGTTGAACAAATCCACGAGACGAGCGGGATAAGACCGTTCACAGGAGACCTTCAGCGCCGCAAGGACATAGCTCTTGCTGAGGAGAATTGAGCCGTACGTCACCTTTTCTACCCACAGATACTCCGGCTTATCTCCTGCAGTCTTGTCCAGGAACCTGCGGCCTCGAGACACTGCAGATTGGACGTTTGTCCACAGTTGGTTGACGACGGGCAACTGGCATGCGTGAGCGATGGTCAGGATGGCATATGCCGTCTCTTCGTGAGAGGGTGGCGAGCCCCAAGATCCGTCCTCGTTCTGAGTCTGTAGCGTGCGAACCAATGCCTGGTACAGCGAGATCGACACTCGATCTCTGATCAACCGGCTGGGAATCGACTTGAGCCCGTCGTTTGACCACACCTGCAGCAGCTTCCCGAAAGCCTCCGCCATGAGCATGGATGGATAGTACGGCGAGAGATTCTAAGATAATTTAGCGCCCGTAATTTGCGTTTCTACCGTGGAAATGGAAGTCATTTACCCATTTATCCCCAATATGACTGTCCGCGGTCCACCAGACGTCGCACAGGAAGGCCGCTGCCTTTTGGATTTGGGTCACAAAGGTGGACGCATCTGGCCTACTCAAGAGGGCCAGCAATGCATTGCAGTTTGCCGTAAAGCTGGGATCTCTCTCGCCGTGATAGGTGCGGAAGTGACTCGGGCCCTCGAATTCTTCTATCAGGCCGTGGGCCGATACTGGTTTGTCCAGCAAGGATACAGCCAGCAGCGCTTTGGCGGTATCGTCGGCATCCGCCTGGACTAACGGAGCTATACACCAGCTGACATTAGCGAATCTAGAGCGAGCGAGATGAAGCGCATTGGTAAGGCCATACCAAATCCTATAGTCCCTCCTCCTTTGAGTAGCGCATTGCGAAGCATCTCGCCGAGGAGGTCGGTGTTCTCGAGACCGAGGTCGCTTGGCGAATATCCATTGTGCAAAAGCGTGGTGAGAACCTGGAAATTCCCATTTAGCATTGGCTCTATTGCGACGAGCGTGCCAACTCACCCACGAGACCTCGAAGTACTTGGAAGGATAAGCGCTCGGCATCCCTCCGCTGCCACATCCCGCGCCATTCTGCAGCACCAATCGCAGGTATTGTTCGCAATCTTCATCCCACGAAGATGCAAACATAAGGTATGCAGCTGTGGAGGATGGGGAGAACATGAAAGAGCCATTGACCTTCTGGTGCGCCACTTTATCAAAGTCAATCATACCAACGAAAGCCTCGAGCGAGTGCAGTGCGGTGGTCTTGGCGGAATAGAGGTACTCTGGCTTGAACTTGGAGAGCTTGAGACGATTGAGCCGCTCCAGCTCGCCTCGCCCGTCAAATTCAAACTGGTGCCCTTTGCTGTGCAGCTGCCGTAGAAGCGCGGGCAGAATGATTTCGAATCCCACGTGGACGGTATCTCTCACATTCCATGCTTGCAGTTGGCGCGCGAGGGCACCGCGGGCCCGCTCAACCCGTTCCTTTATCTTTACCACGGGAGGATCAGTGCTGGCAATGGGGCTTTCTGCATGAGTCTCCAGGGCCAGTAAGGAGGCCGCGGTGTTGAGGATACCGTCGATGTCGCAGGCGTAGGCCTCCCATCCGCCGTCCGGTAGCTGCGTCCGTAGAATGTACTCAAAGCATTCCGGCAGAAGCCATTGAGGGCCCTCTGATGTCGTCTTCCTGACCATGGATACCCAGGCCGTGTCGTAGACTGCCGGGGACATGAAACCCAGCTCGCCATCTTTTGTCCGTAGCTGTCCGACAAGCTGGGAGGCTTGAGTGCATAGATCAGTAGCGTTTAGGCGCGTCATGGTCTCTTCTGGCTGTAAGGGAGAACCTAGCGAGTACCTCAGGATGTAGGAAAATCGAAGGTATTTCATATCAACCCAAGCTTACCCGCCTGGACAACGATCCAAGAATCGCTCAAGACTGGCTATTGCGGTCGGTGACGGCGAGGGAGTGAACCGGCGCCGAGGGATCATCAATCCTTTGGTTCTTTCGTTCCGGAGGAGTGATCCTTTGCGATAATACCGGGCACTGAGTTCATGTCTGTAGAAAGGCATGCCTTCAGCCTCGCCTGTTCGCGTGATTGTAGTCACGCCACTTTGTCTCTACATACTAGCGAGACCAACAACCCGGAGGAAGCTACACGGTGGAAGGCATAGATGCTCAATCGGACAGGGACCATCACCAAAGAGGAGCTATCGGTCATTGACCGTGTCTGCCCCAGGGAAACTGATCCTCTTCGGAGAGCATGCGATTGTCTACGGCAAGGTATATCATTACTTCAAGGATTTTTCTTAAAGAAGCTGGAGACGCGAATCAATTGTTAATGCGTATTCAAGATTGCCATAGCCGCACCCATCTCGCTGCTCTCGTACGTGAGATCAGAGCCATACATCGCTCAGGGCTTCCCCAGCTCAAACTTGAAATCCCAGACCTGGGCTTGAAACAGACATGGAGAGTCGACAATTTACTCTGGGATGTTCTATGAACACGCGGAAGCGTGCAGCAGAGGAGAAGCTGACATAAACTTGGACTCCTGCTTCTCAACGCTCTCATTGCTTTCATCGCCAAAACATCACCGCGAGGCGCGGAGAAGAAGAATTGTCGGCGAGCACAGTTGGCATTTCTGTACTTGTACATGCTGCTTCTCTGCTCCCCGAATGGGCACAGCTACTCCTATACCGTGGCACCGAATCACTCAACCCGCACCGGCCTGGAAAGCAGCGCGAGCATCTATGTCTGCTTCAGCGCCACCTTCCTGCTGCGCTCGTGGCGTATTCGTCCACTGGGCAATACCCACGCGCGTGAAAGCCACGATCAACCCCTAGCTAGGCCTTTGTCGGGGAGCTATGCATCCACGGCAACCCAGCGGGCTGGACAACACAGTTGCGACTATCAGTCAAGCAATCTGCTTCTCTCGGCCCCATCAAGGGAAAGAGATAGTCACGCAGCTCTTAGGCCATTTTCCTCGGCTCCCGCTGCTCATCATCAACTTCAACCACCGCCGTTCCGTGGCGATCAACTTGCCAAGGTCCGGACGCGCGCGCAAAGACTCCCGGGCCGTGTAAATCGCATTCTTGACACCATTGAGCGGGTGACAGTGCAGGTCCTCTGCAGATGCAGTGTCTGTTGACGGCTTGGGTAAGATTGTCCGCATGAATTACACGCTGCTCCTCAAGCTAGGGGTCTGTCATCCTTGTGGGAGAGGGTGCGTGAGGCCTGGATGAGAAGGAGCTGGCATACACCAAGTTGACCGGGGGAGGCGGAGGCGCATTCGCCATCTCGTTGCTAAAAAAGTCCCAAGGGAGTCTGACGCTCTTCAAGAGAGATAGATCAGCTCCGCCGAGAAGGGTATGACTGTATTACTCATAAGTTTATGCTCGCAAGAGGTCGAGGAAGGTATCGCCCACCGCCTCTCAAGAGATCCACAACGCGCGATTGAGAAGATATGATATGGCTGAACCTCCAGATATCCTGAAATAAAGCTAAGCCAGGGACTAACTTGACTATCGAGCCATGCCAGGAAGGACACTACCCAAGATCTTAACCCCTTTCCCTTCGTATGATCCCGGAGGCCGGTAGATTGATCCTTCGGCCTCGGAGGTGATCCATCCGATGGCCGATGCATACGTTAATGATCCAGTGAATGAAGATCAATAGTCCTTGTGTTAATATATATAATAATACTTAGAGTTAATAGCGACGCTCATGATAGACGTCCATTCTGCCACAGGTCATCTTCCAACGCCTCAATAGAGTGGAGGTGACTATGTTTCTCGACGCATCGCCTATACCGCAGCAGAATGGAAGCGAAGAAACAAAGGAGGGAGGGAGCTTTGGAAAAATCTACACGTACAAGGTCAGTTCTGTTCTCTATACCATGTTCATGCTTCAGAAAACTCCAAGCCTATTATCTGCCTTGAAGGCTAACGGCGCAGGTTGGATCAGCGGAGTCCCCGAGCCCTAGGAATCCAAGCGGTCGCGAAATCCATAGGGCTGGAGCTGGAGCAAGTCGAGCTGCAGCCGGCAAACGGCGTCCCGAACTTTTACTGGGCTCTGAACCCACTGGGAAAGACACCGACGTTTGTCGGAGCGGACGGGCTGGTGTTGACGGAGTGTATGGCGATTGCCCTGCACGGTGCGTGCTCCCTGCTCCCTTCACCCACGATGCATCATGCTTCAGGAGATATTCATACTCTCTGCCTACAGTGACAAACAAAGACCCGACGACCACCCTCCTGGGGAGCACCTCGCTGGACTTCGTCCAAATCATCCGCTGGATCTCGTTCACCAACACGGACGTCGTCAACCGCATGGCAGCCTGGATCCGACCACTGATCGGCTACACGCCCTACAGCGCGGACGAGGTGCGCAAGGCCCAGCGCGAGACGAGGCAGGCCATCCGGGTCTTCGAGGACAATCTGCGGGACCGCAAGTATCTCGTTGGCGACCGGCTGACGCTGGCGGATATCATGTGTGCCAGCCTGCTCACGTTTGGGTTTGCGCAGATCTTTGATCGGGAATGGAGGGAGGACTTTCCTTACTTTACGGGCTGGTACTTGATGGTGATGCATTTGCCCATCATGAAGGCGGTTGTGCCTGAAGCGCCGTTGGTCGAGGTGGGCTTGCCGAATGCGCCGCCAACGGAGCCGTTCAGGGCGCCTTAGATACAGTGATTGCGACTTGTGGGATGCGCTTGTCTGGAGAGATATTGGATGAAGTTGGATCGAAAATGAAGTCTCTGTGATGGCCTTATTTGAGGTCGATTGTACTGTGTGTAGGAACAGTTGGCAATTCCCTCGATACCATCAGTGGTTAACTGAGGAAGTAAATAGATACAAGTATCTAGATAGGAAGAATGCCTTCGACCTGGCCTAATCATGTTTGCTTGCTGATTGTAGATCTTCGCTATACGGTACTATACATTTCCCAGCTAACCATGCAAAAAGTAATAAGTTATTAGGTATTCATCGGCGCACCGCCGCCTCCAAAAGAGTCTCTGTATGGCCCCAAACCAGTTCCGGTATCCCCTGTTCCCGATAGTTTGCCAAAACCTTTGTGCTCGGTCTAACATCACCCTTCCAATTCAAAAGATACGCACCACTCCCGACTTCCCCAGTGGTACCCGTAGCCACCGCCCCATTCTCAAGCGGAACTCCTTGCGACGCGATGCCCTGCTTAGCGGGGTAGCGTGCAGAGCTCAGATGGAACAGATGTCGCTCGCCGCTCTCGCCGAGATTCACGGAAAAGGGCCACATGAATGGCCACATCACGTAGTTGTAGAATGTCGACACCGGTGCGGGGAAGCTGTTGGTGTAGATGTTGGTGCCAACGAGACCCGGGTAGACGTGGATGAAACTGACGGCAGGGTGGGTGTTGGCGAGGTGTTCCATGCTCAGGGAGGTCATGGTAATGGAGTGCTTGTAGGCGTTGAGCAGGGAGAAGTTGTGCTTGAGGTCGAGGTCGGACGTGTTGATGGAGTACTCGAAGCCGCCGCCGTAGACACTGACCACACGGCTTGGTCCTGACGATTCAAGGAGAGGGAGGAGATTCTGGATAAAGCGCATGCGGGAGTAGTAGCGGAGAGCGAAGAGGTGGTCTATGCCTTCGACGGTTTCTGGATCATTCGTCAGCTGAAGGCACACTCCCTACATATGTCCGAAGCAGAGGCATACCCTTTCGCCCTCCCAGAGAGATACCACCGGGAGTCATAAAGAGAAAGTTCAGGTGCTTTTCCTGCTGGAGGATCTGCCGGCACGCGGCGTCGACATTGCGCACCAGCGATACATCCGCCTCGATAAAGTGGAAGCGGCCCTTGGGACTCAATTGCCGCAGTTCAGATAAGAAGGGATTGGCGCGAGCCTCGTTGCGACCGATGATATAGGCCGTAGGGCTGTCGGCGTGACGAGCCAACTGGCGCAGGGTGCTCTGGCCGATGCCACTGGTGCCACCAACAAACAGGGCTGTTATGTTGGGGAGGGCCCGGATGCTGGCGTTGGATGCTTGGACAGACTTGAGGGATACCATTTTCAGATGACAACACGTAAAAAAAGAGAAGAGGGACGACACGACCGGGGGGATTGTGCTATTTACCAGGAAAGCCACCCTCGGTGATCCACCGCCGAAGGATCAATAAAAGCGGGTACACGCGATCCCCTCCCGTCCAGGGGGATCGGGATCGGATGATCAGCGGCGATTCGTGCTTCATTTAATCAGGCCGGCTGGCAAGATGTAGACAATATGACTGCAATGACGATTGCTCTACCACTGTCTTCTCCATGGTCGATGCGATGTCTTCCGGCGTCGACGCGGTGGTGAATTACTACGTGCCCAACAGCGATGGGTCTCCGCCAGCCACCAACGACATGGCAGTGATGCTGGGCCAGAAGGATATGATCTCTCACAAAATGCGGATCCGGGATCTGCGGCCTTGCAAGGAGCACTATTCGCTGGATCGGAATGGATTCCAGTTCGCGACCCTCCACTCAACGCTCACGGATGCCACCGAGGAAGGCCAGGTCAAAGAGGTCTACTATCCAGAGATTGAGAAGCTGGTCCAAAACGTGTGCGTACCGTACTTTGCTCTTTCGATCTCTCTTCATCGCACCAAGCTAATCTAATCCTGCCAGCAGCACCGGGGCCAAGCGTGTGCTCGTCTTCAACCATGTTGTTCGCACCAAGACCGGCAATGACTACGGCGAGCAGATCAAAGACCGCTACCAGGGCGTCGAGGGGCCCGCATATCGCGTGCATGTGGACCAAACACCCCAAGGCGCTCTCAGCATCGTGCAGTTCATGTTTCCCGATCTCGCCGACGAGGTTCGCAACGGCAGTTTCCAGGTGATCAACGTCTGGCGCCCGTTGACTCCGGTGCAGCGAGACCCCCTGATGGTGGCGGATACGGCCGAGATGCCGGTCGATGACCTGCTTCTGATCAACCGCAAGTATTACAACGGACTGCATTCCTCCAATTTTGTTGTCAAGTATGGGGGCCGACCGGCGACCGGGGCGGCGGAGGGCCCGACTGATGGGTTGAGCGGTGATGGGAGGCATAGTTGGTGGTATATCGCGCATCAAGACCCAACCGAAGCCTTGGTTTTCTCCTCTTCAGGCTTTCGGGATGGAAAGGCAATCATCGGCACGCCGCATGGTGCGTTCTGTTTACCGGATCAGGACCAGTACCCAGCTCGTCAGAGCATTGAGTGTCGGTGTGTTGCTCTCTATTGATGATTCTAGACCTGGGCCATTTGAATTCCACATGCATGCTAGACAGATTGCTTGAAATAACTGCAAATGAACACAAGATTGCTTGCTAGGCTGCAGTGTATGACCCGGTCAGTTCAATATACAGAAATCGATGATCCACTGACACATTGGTGACCACTTGGGTGTCTACTATCTATGCTAGCTATGCTCTAGGCGATTCTTTCTCTATTCGGACTGATCTAAACAAGCTGAGCCACCGACAGTGTTTCCCCCCTCGCGTGCACTCTCATCGACGACATCGTCTGGCAGCCTCATGCGCATTCCGGGCCGAGCTGCGCAAGAAAACCGCATCACAAAAGGAACACCGCAGCTTCGCGGATTCCCCCCTTCGCTCCCGCTGATGTCGTATCAGGTTACTTCGATTGGAAAATAATCGGCCGTTGCAACAGGATTCCCAACAGCGGAATGTTTCCGACTTGTCGGACGCTGGATCGAGAGGATTGTCTGGTTGGGCGGTGGAGGTCAAAGGCTCAGGTCGGTCGCTGATCTGGGGATTTTGGTGGGGATGACTGCTGGAGAAATGGAATCAGGATTCAGGAATAGAAATGTGTTTATGAGAGAGTGCCTACCTGGCAGACTGTAGCTCTTGTAGATCTTGTCGAAGACGCCGCAGTTCCGAGACGAATTCTGTTTTGGATATTGTCGTCGTCGATGCGCTCGGATCTGGGGTTGTCTGTGTCATGCTGGTGTTATTGGAAGGGAACTTGGGTTCATCTTGGAAAAGACCCCAGGCTTCCCTGTAAACTGTGTTAGTTAGCTGCTCGTTGCTTGTTGGAGTCATGGTGTGTAGTACCGATATGTGGCCATGGCAATAGACAAAGGGACAGCAGTAAGAGAGGGGAAAGTAGAGAGAGAGAGGGAGGAGGAGGACCGACTTTGGGTGGGCCAAGTACTACTATCTGTCTGTCTCAGTTAGGTCTAGTCCAGCTATCCTACGTATTATCAGGTCTGATTCTGACTAGGTATTTCTAGGTTGATTATTATTCACCTTGATTACCAACTACCTAGCATCTTACACGGAGCATGGGTTGAAAGAGGATGATCCCTCGCCCGACCCGGTACCGACAGCATCCTTCGGAGGGAGTCGTAGGATTACATATATTAGACATAGATGATAGATGGAGGCTGGCTGGAAATATATTTAGCCAGTAGAGTCCCGTCAAAATGTGTTTTGTTCTTTATACAGAGAAAGAGAAATAAATTGTACCTTTATAGAGACAATGGACAACCATACCTTGCACACTGGGAACCTCAACCCTCCCGAACCAGCGTCTATCGATCGCTCCTCCCTCTACCTGGGAATTATCGGCGTCCTCAGCGTGGTTTACTTGCTCCAGACCCTGATTGCAAACACAAAAACCTTCAAGGCCCCTTTCGTGGGCTTCCGGTCCCCCTTCGAGCCGAAATGGCTGGTGGGACTCCGTTTCTCCCAGGGCGCTCTGGCGCAGGTAACCGAAGGATACGAAAAGGTATGTCTCCCTGAATGTTGAGCCGAAGACTCCAGTTGATGCAGGATTGTGGATAGTACAAGAAGGGAATGTTCAAAATCGCCCGCAACGACTCGGATATCTTGGTCATCCCCAACAAGTATGTCGAGGAGCTGCGTTCCCTGCCCGACGAGAAGATCAGCGCCATCCGGGCGCATATCAAGAATCTCCTGGGAAAGTACTCGACCACGCTGATCCTCCTGGAGAGCGACCTGCACACGCGTATGCTGCAGACCAAGCTAACCCCGAATCTCGGCTCCTTCATCGAAGTGATCGAGTCCGAGCTCAAGTTCGCCATGGAAAAGGAGATCCCAGCCGATCTGGACGACGACTGGCAGAATGTGAACGTCTTCCACATCGTCCTGCGCATTGTCGCTCGCATCTCGGCGCGGGTGTTTCTGGGGGTACCGGCCTGCCGCAACGAGGAATGGCTCGAAACTTCGATCCATTACACCGAGAACGTCTTTGCGACAGTCATGCTGTTGCGGCGTTTCCCCAAATGGATGCATCCCGTCGTGGGACACTTGCTTCCCAGCTACTGGGCTATTCATAGTAACCTGCGGACAGCGAAGCGGATCATCAGTCCCATGGTTCGCCAGCGCCGGGCAGAGGAAGCAAAGGGTAACCCTGACTATGAAAAGCCAAACGATCTACTCCAGTGGATGATGGATGGAGCCAATGAAAACGACGGTCAGCCCGATAAGCTGGCGCACCGCCAGCTGCTCCTGAGTCTCGCTTCCATCCACACCACCACCATGGCGGCGGCTCATTGTTTTTACGATCTCTGTCAGCATCCCGAGTACTTTGAGCCCTTGCGAGAGGAGATCAACGACGTGATCACCCAGGACGGCGGATGGAAGAAGACCACTCTCAACAAGATGCGCAAGCTGGACAGTTTCCTCAAGGAAAGCCAACGCATCAACCCTCCCAGTTTATGTAGGCGCTATCCCCAACGCCAGATGAAGGCAGCATTTATACTGTACTAATCTCTTGCATCGCAGTGGCATTTAACCGTATCGTCTCGGAAGACCTGACTCTCTCCGACGGCACCCTCCTTCCCAAAGGGACGCACTTCAGCATGCCCTCTGCGGCCATTCTCCAGGACCCCTCCGTGGAGCCGGACGCCAACCATTTCGACGGGTTCAGATACTACAAGAAGCGCCTCAACCCGGAAGAAGCCAACAAGCACCAGTTCGCCATGACCGACAACAACAACCTCCACTTTGGCCACGGCAAGTTCTCGTGTCCCGGCCGGTTCTTCGCCTCCAACGAGATCAAGATCATCATGGCGCACCTGTTGACGGACTTTGAATTCAAGTACCCCCCTGGCGCGTCGCGGCCGCGGAATCTGACCGCCGATGAGAATCTGTATCCGGACCCATCGGCGCGTCTTCTTATGCGGAGGAGACGGGCGACGGCGGCTCAACCCCAAGTGCAGGGCACGCCTTTGCTTGATTCAGCCTAATCCTAGGAGGGTTATCTAATAAGACCTATATATAGAGGCTTAGGCATCAGACACTCCTGAGCTGCATTTCTATTCTAGAATGGACCCTTTGGACTGCTATTAGTGACCTATAATGTAACTTACGGGTAGTAGTACTTTCAAGTTTGTAACTGCCTAGAAACCTACTACTTTCTGACACGCAGATCGGTCTGGCACTAGCCTAGATAACTAGACAGTCCTCTAGCAGAGTTTGGCCAAGTAATTCACGAATCCTGAGATCCTAAGGTACCTGGCAGATGTTTCTATGAGGTGTACTCTGGTAAGCAGGTGAGGAGGCTGGCTTACGAGGTGTCTATCCACGTCCGGGTAGGTGGCTAACCTGTAGTCATGGGGATAACTGCGGACAAGTATGGAGACGGAGTAGATAGGACTACTACATACTCCGTATTTTGCTGGATCTCCCAGGCCTTAGAGCATGAGGCGAGCAGCTACTTTACCTTAGTAGGCTAAGGCCTAAGCCACCAAGGCCCACGCGGTAGCCTATGAAACTGATTAACATCCGATCTAGCCTATCACAAGTAGCAGTACAGTAGTACTTTTGCTTGATTGACTCATGGGATGCTGCGAGCATTAACTACTTCCGGTAGGCCAGAAGCGAGTTCCCAGAGTTGGACCACGATCGTAAGGCCCCCAGGGCTGGTCACGGAGTAGAGTGGATATTAGTACTAGTTATCTAGTATTTCCCACTGAAATAGAATGATGTGATAGAGCACAACGGCCTGCTTCCTTCATCCTTTGAGAGTGAGACGCTGGCAAACCAACATTTAAGACGCGACTCTACTCGCTGCTTTACGCTGATACACGAAACACAGTCAGCACTATCTACGCACTTCTCACAACAATGGAATGGCAGATTTGAGTCCACTGGGACGACCAGCCCCTCCGGCCCTTTGGTAAACGGAGCTAGCTGATCTTTGTCTCGTCTGAACTCTCAACTGTCAATCTCGACCCCCCGTGGTTCTCGATATCAGTGGTCATATTCTTAGGTTTCAACGTCGTTCTGCGAGGTCAGCGCTAGTCTATCTGGTGCCAATTCACCGTGTCGAAGGTGTCTGGGATTGCTTAAATGCCCTCAAGTCTCAACTCTTGCGGAGGGGAATGTGGGTGGTTGAGTAGCGCCTTGCTTCGGTCAGCTTTTATCGCTTTTACTGCTCGTCGTTCCTTCTGATATTTTACTCCGTCGACATTTGCTCGCAGTGAGTCTTATCCGATCATCAACATCACAGCATGGATCCATGGAGTTCGAGGGTAAATACACCTTTTTCACCTCCCGACAATGAAGGCGCAGATTCGGGGGACGTGAGCATGGGAGAAGAGCAGCAGCAGTCCCAGCAGAGGCATGCTCGTTGCAACTCCGGCAGCAATAATAGCAATATTCCTCGAGCATGCCAGTCATGCCGTGCCTCTAAAGTAAGATGCGACCAGCCTAACCCTGGCATGCCGTGCCTTCGGTGCCAGAAATCCGGCAAGCCTTGCATTGATGCCACGAGTCAACCAGGGAAGAGACAACGGCAATTGAACAACCGCATTCTGGAGATGGAATCGAGAATTGAATCGATGTTGTCGTCTGCAGAATTGCAGGACAGCGCTGGGGAGAAGAACCCTCCCGCGGTCGGGAACACCGTCCAATCCAGCCCTGTCCGTTCGCCTTCAGAATTGTCGCACAACACCCAGCAACATGATCGGAATCTGTCCGTGGTCAATGGTGAGTCTGCTCGGTAGTGCGCTCCCAAGATGTCTTCATCGCTAACATCTCCAACCTTCCATCCGCCTGGGCAGGTAATTCGGGGATGGAAGATCTCAAATCTACCATACAATCATGGCTAGACGACAACATCACGGACCTCGATGACCGTACCACCGAAACGATCTTCGGTCGTTATTTGACCAACATGGCGTCCACATTCCCGGTGGTCGTCTTTCCGCCAGGCATCACGGCGGCCGACGTCCGAAGTGATAACCCCGTTCTTTTCCTGGCTATTCTCGACGTGGCGTCGTCGGGATTCTGTGCGGTTGAAACCCAGAGGAAACTCCGGAAGCTAATAGTCCAGGCATATGTGCATTGCATGCTCCGAACGGAACAATATACCCTCGGATTGCTCCAGGCCTTGATCGTGTCTGCCACATGGTACCGCACGATCGAGCCTGTCGAGCCTGGGGAACAAATGGACATTTACCAGATCAGCCACACAGCAGCCAACATGGCCTTGATCATGAGACTAGGGGAGAGTCTGAATGCGAAATCCTGGGGTAGCCCCATGTTTCCCCGGCGGGAGAAGCAAAAGGGTCCTGGAAGCGCCTTCCAGGCCGAGTCGCTGGAAGCTCGGCGAGTATGGTTAGGGTGTCACTATATTTGCTCGAAGTAAGGGGACAACAAGAAAGGGTGTCTCTTTGGTGCAGCGGTGTTAACGTGGTCTATGTCCAGTACCTCCATGTCCCTTCGCGCCCCGAACGTCATGAGATGGACCCGTCTTATGGACGAATGCCTGGAGGTATTGGAGACTTCACCGGCGGCCCTTCCATCCGACAAGCTTCTGTGTCGGCATATTCGGCTGCAGCATATTACCGAAGAATTTGCGATGCAATTGTCCGCGGAGGAGACTTCTGCTCCCGAGAAATCACGGGCTATTCAGACCCAGGTGACACATCGGGCTTTTAAACGGCAGCTCCACGAATGGCGTAGGAACGTTGCTGATGGTTGGGATGGTAAAACCTTCTCTTTTTTTCTGTCCTTATGAATTTTCTGGCTCAGTCTTGAACGACGGCGACTGACGCAGAGAGTTGTAAGAATCCCTCGAGTTTTCGTATTATTTCTCATGCCTATACATAAACGAAGTGGCGCACTGCACAGCGATGAGTGATGATGTTACCTATGAAGACCGCTCGACTCCATTACCCCCGATTGTTGCAATCGAGCCGCATGCGATCACCGAGTTTATGGAAACGATAGACAACATCTTTCGCGTGTTCACCTCTCTGGATATGTCGACGATTCGGGCCCTCCCCGCCATGTACCTGATCCGGATAATCTACACGTTCATCATCTTGGTCAAACTTTACTTCGCGGCAACCAAGCTACCGACTCAAGACACACTCTTGCCAGTCGACCGGCTCCAGGTCTCCCAGCGCCTCAATCACGTTATCCAGATGTCAGCGGGATGGGGCCCTCTGTGGCCCGCTACGAAACTCACCACCGTGTTTATCAGAATGCGGTCGTGGTTTGAAAGCGGGGAAGACGGCAATCGACAGAGGTTGCAGCAGGCAGGGTCGTGGCTCACTCTGTGGGAGTTTAAGCCCCCGTCCCAGGACCGACACGCGCACTCCATGAACATGGTCGAAGCCGCCTCCGATGATGGCAGTTCACGAGGTCCGGCGTCCTGGGTCCCCTCGCTGGCGTCCACGGACGTGGACACCCTGCCCTTGCTCGAACCACCCCTCGGCACTGATTTCTCGATAGCCCCTCCTCCCTTTCAGTCAATGTTCCGGGCTGCGGAGTCTTGCTTTCCTCAGAAGGAAGCTTCTGATTTTATGCAGGAAGGTGATGTTCCGCTTGATGCGGGACAAAGTCTCGGGGACATGGCGGATATAGAACAGGCGGATGACACTGCTTACATGGGATTTGACTGGAGCCAATTGTCAAACATGGGTTTTGATTTGTACAACTTGGACGCGCCATTCTCCCCGATCCCGAATCCTGGTTTTGATTCGGATGCAGTAATGAAGGAGAATTTCACAGATAGAGACAAATAATCATAATCCAGGTGCTGAGGTTATCGCAAACAAAGAACATCAAGTACCCAGGTAATTTTCGTGGGATCATCATCATCCAACGTCGTGGAGTGACTAGCTGTCTTTCGAGAAGCTCGGCCCAATCCTCTTCAGTCAGGATCGAGGACCAGCTAAAAACCAGTCCGATCAACCGATTCCAATTCACAAAGCCCAAGGCATCAATCTGTTCCTCGCCCAGGATACAAGTCCATATGGCCGATATGCAGAATATTGCACACACCTGATAGGTGACCGGCCATTTGTCCGACAAGATTTCATACAAGCCATGCCTTCTGACCATAGATAAGGATAAATCCCGTCTGAATGACTCTTCCATACCTCCTTATTGTCCATGGGTGTGAGTTGGAAACAGCAATAGCTGAATCTCTGATGGCGTTGACTTAGGGATGGCCGGGAAACTGCGAATGCTTCCCACTCGTGGGGGAGGTGGACGGGTTGGTAGGAATCGGAGTATATTCGAATAGGTCTCTAAAGTTCCCTGTGACGGTGCCGGCATGGAGGTTCGTGACCAGATGAGGATGATTTTCCGAATGGCATCTTGACCCTGCTGCAGAAGGCCTCTTTCGCGTGCGAGATTACTGATGATTGATTCGATGCCTCCAGAAAAGAGAGCATTTTCCTCATGCAGGAATGCTGCCACTGCTGGGGATGCATTATGGTTTCCAACTGCCCCTCCATAGGCCTGGCTTGTACTTTCGAAGCTTGCAAACCCAACAAGCAGAAAGTATGCCATTTGTGTGACTCATTACATACAAAAGAAAACCCTACTGCAGCCGCCTTGCCAGTGAGGATGATAGAAGGTACGGCCAGCTACTGAGTTGTTAACCAAGGATCCGTCAGAAGTTCACGGGCGCTCTGCCTCTCCTCTGGATCCCATTGCAGCATCTTTCTCACGAACTGCAGAAACATCTTCTTGTTTTCACCCTCAAGATACTCTTCTGAGTCCTCCAACGAGTTGTGTGGTACTTCTACCGCGGCTTTCCACTGCCCTGTTCGGGGAGTTAGCTGGAGACTAGGTGAATTCTTCTAGTAGTGAGTATCCTACCTGAGGAGTCCCAATACTTCAGACTGTGAGGAGACTTGCGAAGAAAATCGGGGGGTGGAGGGCCCAGCATGGCTACCATTTCGGCGAGAAGCTGTGCATCCGAATGACTCCCGTCCGGTCCTCTACCATCAAATAAATGGTGGTCCTCAAAGAGGTCCCAGATCTTTCACCTGTTAATTATTCATATCATATCATAGAAAATGGTAAAAAATTATCGTTCTTGCTTACCAACACCCCAACGTTCCATATCAACTTTCGATGTCCAAGTCATTCCAAGGATGACCTCAGGCGCACGATAAATGTCTGGCTGGATCAATCCCTCATGTACATTCCCCAGACGAGCTTCCCCGAAATCTGAGAGAAGGGGCATCCCGAAACCGCTCCATCCCTTCTTACGACGGAACGGGCGAGACAGATAGACAGTGTAGTCGCCATCAACCTTTCGCGGGCTCGGGTCATTTTCCTCGTTATCAGCCCATTCACGAAAGATTGAATCATCCTTTGCGCCAATAATAATATTCTTTGCTTGTATATCTAGACAGGACATTAGCCGTTTACAAGTAGTAGGTCTTTGAAGAGTACAAACCAGTGTGTATTACATGTGCTTCTGAGTGTAGATAGTCAAGGGCAAGTAACAGCTGCTGTAGCGCTCCCTTTAGTAAGTCCTCCGGAAGGCTCTTTGGATTCAGGGTTGCTTGAAAATGCAAAAGACTCGTTAATAGCGGCTCGTAAACAATGCACTGATGGATCCCGCGAGGTCCTGCGAGTGCAAACTTTTCTATCATTTGACGGACAAGACCGCTGCCGGGATGGTGTGTCTTGATCCTTGAAAGATGCTCCAGTACGCGCACCTCCTGATTCGCCTTGGGACTGCTGATGTAAATCTTTAGTGCAATATACCGGTGTCGTCTATCATAAAGGTTAGCCTAGTTTATGAGACATAAGGGAGGGTCCGGTCGTAATACTGAAGGTCACGGCAGAACCACACTGTTGAATTTGCACCAAACCCCAACTTGCTGAGGACCTGGTATCTAGAGTGAAACACATCCCCAAGTTTGACTGGATAATAAAGACCTCGGTCAAACGCAGGCATTCGTTCTTCCTCGATTTTCGTGGCAGAGTCCAGTATGGGAAAGGTGGAGGACTTGAGTATTGTTGGTGGAGATGATGGCCGTCGAAGGAATCGACCGAGCCGAACGAAGGGGTTCATAGTCAAGGCACTATGCAATGACAGATTATGAAGCTATCATAAGGATGTAAGTGGACTAGTAAAAACAACTCCACACTTTGAACAAGGGGTTCAAAGGTTCAATTGAAATTTGTATGTAGATCTCTGTGAGAATGAATGAATGAATTATTCCTCCGGCTGTGCGCAGCCTAAGGCTGCATGTAGCCTCCGCGCTGATTATGCTGAGTCATCTATCTATGCATGTGACATGCCTTTTCTTAGTTCTCATGGTTCAATCGCCCTGTTGCCATAGCAAATCGTATCACTGTTCTAACCACCTCCATGTTCGGTCTCCAATTCTTTTCCTGGTCGAGTTCTTCTCCTGTGGGTTTCTTTCTCCTTGATCGGCCTCCTAATGCGTATGACATGTCCCCGTATCGATTGCCCATTGCCACTCTCATTTCCCCACGGTATGTTTCCCATCGTTTACATTCGAAAAGAAAATGCTGTACTGTTTCTTGCCCCTCTGTGCATTCACAGGTTTCCTCAGCTGCTTGTCCAATTCGACGTAGGTATTGATTCAATTGAGTGTGGCCTGTTCGGAGTTGTGCCAAGGTCGATGCTTGTGTCCTGCTGAGCTGATCATACAAGGTCCTAGTATGTCGTCCTGGAAGGGACGCATCGATCTCTCTTGTGTACTTGCCAAAGGGATTTTGTAGGAACTGCTCCTTTCGTGCCTGATTGAGCGTATTCCGCATTTGCCTCCACGCAGTGGATCTTGCGCGTTGGGTAGCCCAAGCTGGTGGATCCGGCTGAGCTCCCTTCTGGGTGGCGTAGTGGCTCGCTGCCTTAGCCATTTGAAGTCCTTGGTTCTGTAAATCATTTGCTATCCATCTGATCGTGAGTTGGATCTTAATCTGCATCATCTGCTTGATTTGTCTTATGATTTGCTGTATGACTTGCTGTCCTCCGTGGGCTCCTTGGTTGGTGATACACTGTAGGCTAGATTGGTTAGTTGAATAGATTATGATACCTATGACGTCCGTCAAGGTTGGGGGTCCTTGAAGCAGTTCCCTCGCATGAGAGAATGTCTTGCTCTTACCAGGTGCTAAGGCGTGTATGGTCACGTGGTTATGCTTACTGGATTTGCGAGATGGGTAATGTTGGTCTTTTGGCCTTGTGGGAATACTAGAATCCGGCTAGATTCCTTATAAGTGGCAGGGCCTATCACGATCCCTTTTATCATAGGAGCGTTGTGTGTCAAACGACTTACGAGTTGAGCACGCTGTCCATTTGGCAACCAAGGAGCTATCAGGCTCTCCCCTGGGCAGAGTCCACGTTCGGGAGACTGCTATGTGGAGTTTGTCAAAGCTGTGCACTGTGAAAATGGCCAGATGGTCATAAAAGCATTTAATGAGAGTGGTGAAGAGATTGATGGATCTGCTCACCTTGCTGGAATCGAGAGCAGCCGCAAGGCCAAGTTCGGATGCGTTAACGAGACGCTTTGGAAGCGTCTTGAGCACCTGGCCGACAATGACACTGTGGATGTCGTGATCTTACCTAACTTGGGTGAGCTTGCCACCGAGCTTGCCAGGATTGAAGTTGGCTCCGTGAAACAGCCGGAAGAAGAGCGTCGAGTTTGGCAAAAGGTCGAGGAGCAGGTCTGCGCTGTTGCGAGCGAGCTGCGTAATCTTGGGATCCATATCAAAGAAGCTCCCTACTTCTTGCACTTCATTCACGCATCCATGTCACCTGGTCAGGTTCGACATGTTAGCAGAATGGAGAGCATTGGGTTCGTGCTGTTTGACGATCACAGCGAAGTCACAGATCTAGGCAACTTGATTGCCGTCTCTCATGCGGACAGAGCACATGCTCTCGGTCTCACCGGCACAGGCGTGAACATAGCGGTCTTCGAGAGTGGACCACGAACCACTGCTGCCGACCTCCCTATCAGAAGTCGTTATTCTGCGGCCCCTCCTCCCGTTAGTAACGGGAATGATGAGCATGGACGTCTGGTATGTGGGATCATCAGCAACACCGAGGTACTACGGCCCCATGGAATGGCGCCTGGTTGCAATCTCTTCTCCGCCAACAGTACGAGCAACGACGCGTTGAGATGGGCCGTCCAACAAAAATGCAGTGTCATCAACCAAAGCTTCCACCGGCAAGATGAGCAAACTTCAGCAGAATATTCGCGGATGATGTGCTCAAGGACGCGATTGGCAAAGGCATAACCATTGTACAGGCTGCAGGCAACTTCAGTCCCAACAATACACCCCCTTCCACGGCAAGTGAGTTTGTGAATGGTAAGGGGTACAACACTATCGTGGTTGGCAATCACAACGACGCCGCAACGGCCATGAGCAGCTCTTCTGTATATAGAAACCCTCGTTCCCTCGATCGCGAGCTCCCTCATTTAACTGCAAATGGTGAAGGGGTCACTGCAGTCGGTGTGACGAAGAGCAGCACAAGCTTCGCATCTCCACTGGTTGCAGGAACAGTTGCACTTAGAGCCATTCTTTTAGCCAGCGCCGATCGAAACATATCCGGGGGCACATGGTGGCAGGACGTCCAGGTCCCTCAACGCGGAAGCAGCCGTGCTCATTGTCCAGACTCGTGCCATCAAAGACAGGCCACCAAGGAACCATGCTTGGGACGGGGGCGAAAACTTTTTCAGGGGCAATTTCGGGCCAGACAAGATCTCCAAGTTTCGATACCGTATCCAGGTCCCGCCTGCGACTACCACTGGCAGATTCACCGTCAAAGTCGCCTTTACATGGGATAGTGTCGTCCCCGCCAACGCAACCGGACCTGTTATACCAGGCATATCGTATCTGAACCGAAGATATGACCTGCTTGTGTTGGATGATCGTGGAGTTCAAGTCGCCAACTCCTCTTCTTTCGATAACAATTACGAGATTGCTGAGTTCACTGGCCTTCCGAGCCAGGAGTACGCTATTGTGCTTCGTCCACGCACGGTGATGATGCAATTTTCCCTCCAGTAGGTTCGGAATCGCTTGGATAGTGACAGAGGTCTAGCTCCTGAACGGTCTCTCTGACTGGGTCCTCCGGTGCTAGCAGAGCTTGTTCGATGTCTGCTATTTCGGAACTGATTTTTCTCATTTTATGATTATTTCACCCGTTGGTCCCAGATTGAGCATCAAGCTATATAGGACCATTAGTTGGTCAAGTGAAAAGGTAACAGTGTCTTTAATTTGTGACTGGCGCATGCATGAGATGGTTTTGAGAATGGAGTCTTTCCACTTGACTGATTGCCATGAATGATTAGCTGGGGTAGTTCTATGAGACGGCTGACTCTGATCGTGTGTAACTTGTTGATCTTGTCTAGAAGCTTAGACTGTCCTTGTTGTGATGCGTCTATCTGCCAAGGGCATAGGAAGGAGTGGTAAGTCCATAATTGTGATGAAGAGTTATTAGACAATGATCAGAACTGGCCCAACCACCATTGCTTGCGTATACTTAAAGAGATAAAGCTGTCAATGCAATCACCAAGTAGCAACTTCTGCCATGAATCTCGAGCAATTGAACCTTGGCTACAGAGGCTGGGCCTCATCAGGCGATCTCATATTGCCAATACCCTCGATTCCTGCGCCCTGCATACATCAGTCAAGCTTTAAATTTGGAATCGCTTTCATCATCTTTTTGATCTTGGTAGCCAATTCTGGTGCCTGTTTTTTAAGCATTTTCATGAAGTCACTCACCACCTGCTGTGCAGAGTCCTCCTTTTTCTTAATGATGGAGAACGGGACCCTCGAGCCGTCGAGCTTTTGGCGGTAGTGGACTAGATAGGGCATCTTTCATCATGCCTTGTTTGAATCTAGGGCCGTCAACCGCCGACTCAATGACAGGCTTTGTGGAGCGACTTACCGCAGCTGGTACAACACCGTGTTGGTCCCGTAAGTCGCCGAATCGGTTGGAATGATGATCTGGGACGGGTGCAGGACGGCGTCGATGGTGGGCTGGCCGTATTTTGTCCGTTTGACTTTCTTCATTTGCGGGTACAATGTGAAGAGCTGCTCGAAGTTTTTGTTGATGATGCGCTCGGTAAACGCGACGGCTTCATCGTACGACTTGCTACCGGTGTGTAAGTCGACATTGTGACGGGAATCTGCATCTGCATCGGTCGCCATCGTGATCTTGCGGGTTCGTTGCTTCGTTCTATTGGGATGGGATAGAGTGGGAGTGGGGGAACGTCCGAGAACATCCGGGGATTGATATAGTAATAATATAGCAGTCTGTCGACCATAGACCACTCGACTAAAAAGGCGTCTAGACTAGTAGAAATAGTAGTGTAATACAATGTTCAGTCCTTCCAGAGCTGGTCAATTTACTTACAGCCCGTCTTATACGACTTTCCTACTAGTAATACGCACATGCACCATGCAGGCTTGCTGATGTCCTGTCACGCAGGCACACAGGTCCACATGTGCTGCTTTGCCCGTGCTAGCACATTGATCGCGTGGCGCGGGGTCAATAATAGTTTGTCTTTAGGGCCATTGACGGCATCTCCGGGCATGGTGGATGCACTAGCAGCATTCGAGAACTGGCAGTGGCGTTGGGTCTTGTCTTCGCTTGCGATACCTTCTTGGGTTGTTGCCATGTGCATATCTCGCGGAATCTGACATCTACGTGGTAGTAAGAGGATTTGACTTCCGCCCCTTAGTATCACTATCCTTTTGTAATCACAAACAGGTAAAAGAATCACTTATGCAAAGGAGCAATCATACATAACTCATATACCTCAGACTGCCGGATATACCCCAACATGACTTGCGAACAATGCCTTATAACTGTCTCTTCTCGGCAAGGTGAAGTACGTATGGAGAAGATATTACAGGAAACAGAGCCAGTTACTTGATCTATATGATCAAGCAGGTATCTGATTCAGAAATCTATCGCAGTAAGGGAACCATAAGTTCCTTTCTGGCAGCCTGGAGAGGTTAGGCTTAAAGGCTTAATCTAACGATCAGCCATCCTGACCCCGCTGTGGTCGCCCAGAGTCTTAACTAGTGAGCAACAAGATATCCTAGTTGAGCTGGCAAATGAAGATCCTCTTGTTAAGATGCGTAAACTTCAGGCCGCAGTTAATAGCTCTCCTTCAAAGACCACAGTCCGCCAATGATTCCGCAAATGGAAACAACAAACTCAGCCAGAAACTACGGAAGAGAACGCTGCTAAGCGTTTATCATGGCTCAGACAGATGCTCAAGGGTGAAACGGTCTGGCGGCTACTCAGTCGAGCGTGACCATGGTGTTCGACCATTATGGCCTCTTGACGGTCAAGCTCGACAGCTTATTGAGCAGGATATACGTGGTATTCGATATGAAGAGGGTGCGGAGCAGATATTTTAGGCTGGATTTGAGTATGATATTTGCACAGGTTTTATATACATGAATGGTGACTAGAGACCTAGGCTAATATGAGATATTGCCTGGGACTATATCATCCTGTCCCTAAAGAAATGAGTAGCATAGAACAGCAGAGATGATCCTAGGGTATGGCATTATGATTAACTTGATCTATACACCCTGCCTTATACTCATTGCCCCCTCTAGCTGTATTACGATCTGGATATAAGGAATAAGGCTCTACTACCATGCGATGACGCTGTCGCACTGTTCAATCAGATCTCCAAGCCTTTCGAAGAATAACAATCGGGCTTTGCTGGCGGGGACATTGGTAGAGCAACACAGCCCTACTGCTTAGACAATGCACTGCGGACGACCATCGCTTGCATACACTCAAAGAGGTAAAGCTTGTCGATGCAATCACCAATCGGCAACTTCTGCGATGAATCTCGGGCAATCAAACCTTGCCCACGGAGGCTGAGCCTAATCAGGCGATCTCGTATTGTTTATATCCTTGATTCCTGCGCCCCGCCTCCCGTCATGGGCCACATGGCAGATTTGCGCTAGATATAAGACGCAGAATTCAAGTCTGTAACAGCACACAACTTCTCTCGCCATAGTTGAAAAGTGAACCAGCAGAATGGAAGACCCTATCGCCTGGGAGGTTTATGCATCTCAAAAGCAACAGGGCCGGAGCGGCTGGAGATCCATCGCGGCTACTCTCGGACGCCAGCTGTCCACTACGCCCGAGCATCTGTCCAGGGTCTTGTATATTCCCCGCCATGACGGTACGACCTCGCATTTGCCGCTTTACGATATCAGCTCCCGGTATTTTGAGGCGATTGGGGATGCACCCATCGGGTCGAGCAAGTACACCGTTTCCCTGGGGATGATGAAGCGGCCGAAGGGTGACGGTACGGATCACATCCCCGTGGCGTATATCGTCAACTTTACCGCAGGGGACAAGGACAAGGTCGTCGGGACGGTGGAGTATCGTGTTCAACCGGATTCGACAGTGGCGGATAATGCCGAGGTGGAGATGTACGTTTGCTCTTCGACATCGATATGCAAATCGCTAATGTTTCAGGACAATCGGCAAAACCGAGGAAGAAGCTTGCTCGATCAAAGTAAACGGGAACAGTGCTCAGCCAATTGACCCGGTCACAGTCGGCATCTCGTATCCCATTCCGCCATCCGAGACCAAAGTCGGGAAAGTCAAGCACCCCTACTTTCATTTCCGGCTGCCTTTCGAGTCAAAGATGACCCAGTTCGACTGGCAAGTCCATCCAGTCGAGCATGGCCCGCTGCGGTATACCCTGGTTCGCCTGCCGGAGGAAACCGCGGATGAGAGCAGCACTGAGCCCAAGGCTGAGATACATGCAATCTACCACCACATCGGACTGGGCGTGTCGATGTCCGTGTCGCATAGTGAAGGTGTGCTTCTACTCCCGCCATGCGCAGATCCCAAGTCCGAGGCGATGATTGTAGCGAGTGTGCTGGGGATGCTCTGGCGGCTGCGTGGCCTGGATGGAGGGAAAGGCACCAAAGAAGCCGAGAAGACGACCAAGAAACACCGATTTGGGTCGGTCAAGAAGATACTCAATGGGGGAAGTTGAGGGGAATGCGACTATGGCGATTATGATATCCAGACAGTTGATATTTAATGAGTGCTTCATCTAAAACCATAGGATTGCGAATAATCAGGGATCAGCGGCAGTTCCATGCATAACTCTATCCTTGAACGCTCGAACTCGCGCCTCACAGTGGCTTCCTGGCTGACCCATTGCACCACATCAAACCTGTATCCCGACAGATGCTCTGACTGACCAATTGTTATCCTTGCTAGATGGGGATACGGCTCTCGAGCAGCCTCGCGAGCGAGAAGGAGGACAGCCTCGATAAGCGACGCATCCGGATCCCAGAGAGTAAGCTCTGTAATCGTAGAGGGAAACACCTGGTACACAAATCGCTCCATACTTCCGTTGCGCGTATGATGCGCCCAGACTTTATACAGGGCCTGCAGAGCCACGCCACTGACTTTGAGAATCTCCAAATGCACAAAGTCCCGCAGCGTCGAAACGCCCTCTTCAAGACTGTCGCCGTCCGGAAACTCGATGCCGGCTTCAAAGGTGATCTCGCGGACGGAGCTCTGAACATGCTGCAAGGCGCGCCACCCGTCCAAAGGCGACCACTCTTCGGAATCCTCGTCGTATCCGTCCGAGTTGACCCAATGTAGCCGGAACTTTCGGAGACGCGGACACCTCTCGAGAGCACACTTGAGAAAGTACGGAGGCGGTGCACCCTCGCCGAGATCGAGGTCCGTCAGCTTCTCAAAGGTCGGTACTCCAGCCTTGCCGGGGTAGAACATCTCGATGGAGGGAAGGCGGAGGTGCTCCAGATTGGGGGCCGCATGCAACAGCCCGCGAATCTTCCTGTATGCAATAGCCATGTGGTCGCCGCTGATATAGTAATGCCAAACATCTAGCTTCTTCAGCCTCGCAAAGACAAGATCCTTTGGAAGCGAGTCGAGCACTCCCACCATCCATTCTGGGTTCATGGGCACCCTGAGGACCTCGAGGTTAGGGCACGACGCGACCACCAGTTCTGTCAAGATCAGTCGTCTTTCCACGCCGAGATAGTTGTGCCAGTCGACCGGCAACTGGGGCAGACCAAGCCCGGCGATGCAGCTCTCCACCAGCTGTCGATCTTCGTCGTTGAGGGTATCACACTGGCCCGGCTCATGGAAGTCTAAGCTAGTGACACACTTTGCGAGATCAGGGCGAGCATCCAGTGTCCGGAGGAAAGAGAGAAGACGCGTCATGGACTTGGAGGCCTGGTGGTAGTGGTCGAAGAGAAGCGGTTGGCACACGTTGCGTAGCCGCCGACATGTTCGACTGAGTCTGGAGAGGTGCTTCTGGCTCAATCTGCTGGGATATCTTCCACAGCAGAGGGGGCACAAATAGCTGCTGATCTGAGTGAGGAGCTCGACGGGAAGACTGTCCAGTGAAGGGGCTGCCATGATGTTCGAAGTGGTTGTGTTGGACTGGTTACAGTGAAACCTGGGACTTATATATTCTTGGTAGACGGCTAACGGATTAGAGTAGGCTGCAACCTGGTGGCTGAGGGATGATATTCGTTATTGGAGGCTGTAATTGCCGCCGGGAGAGCTATACTGCAACAAGCAGACTAGAGAGCGGCTTTTTCGTATTCATTTTGCTAACCAACATGGTTCATCAAACATGATCCAGATAATTAGCCAATGAGTCGTAGTCTAGTTATTCCGCGTACTTTGGCATCATTGTGGATCATCGTACAGGATGGCACATAAAAATACATCCCTCAATAAAATGCTTCTATCGAGGTCAGCAGGTACGGCACGAAAAGATATCTCTAGTATAGTTGCACGGCTTAAGCTACAAATAGTGTAAGATCCAGACTACTCAACGGTCTAAACTACAGCAATCCCGGTAAAAGCACGGCTCTCATCCGAATGCAACTTAACCTTCTGTTTCCCATCCGCGTCTGTCCGGTAAACGTTGCCCCCGAGATCGGTCAAGTAGATATGACCATGCCCCAGATCCAACTTCAACCCGATTGCCTCGTTCAGATTCCGTGTGAGCACCTCATAGCCTAGAGGACCAGTCCGTTCGACCTCCGACCCGGTCTCATTCAGCGAGATCCGGTTCAGCGAGTTTCCAAAAGGAAGCTCACCGCGATCCGTCCAGTACAATTTCCCGGATTCTTCATCCACCTCTAAATCAATGGGTTCCGGCAGATCCTCCAAGAGACACTGGATATCCTCTCTCGTCGTGGCAGTCTGACCTCGGGGCATGTCAATACCAGCACAGAAGATCCTGCCCCTGCCGCCCTTTGAAGGTCCCTTCTGCGTCCAGAAAAACTTGCCTAGACGAGGGCAAACGGCGATGCCCACACACCACTTTGTGGCGTCTTGGCCCTCTTTAGATTGGTAATTGCCCGTTTGGATGATGATCTCGAGATCACTTCCGTCGTAGTTGCATCGGAATACGCGTAGTCCTTCCCGGTCACAGAAGTAGACCTTTTGAGCAGACAGATCCAGTGCTAGTTGTTTTGGGGTGTTGGTCGTCCCCGGTGCAACAATTGTCTTGATATCTGAGCCGTCAAGGTTGGCCGAGTAGACGGCTCCGTCGTTCTTGCCTGGTATACCCATGTTGGTCCAGAACATGCAGTGACTCGCGGGGTCAATTGCCAAACCGTCTGGCATGGCTTGATCCTTGACGAGTATTTGTTGAAGCTTTCCGTCGGCTGAGAGTTCCACAATCTGGCCGGCGTTGAAACCAGGGGTGGCGGCAGACAGACCTATATCGAGGGCGATGATTTTCGGCTGGGCAGTGCTATTCGCCGAGGGTGATGCTGCAGGATAAAGCCCACCATTTGGACACTTGTTGCCGAGCTTACCCTTAGCAAGATAGTTCTCCTTGAGAAAGTCGACAGTCTTCTCGGGTGAGAGACCTCGCTCTGAAACGTAATGGCTTTCGATGAAAGCGACGGTATCTAGGCCGACATCTATTCCTTTGTCAGACACAGCTATTAAGAGGCACGGGGCATACGCACTATCCATCATCCTGCAAGGCAAGCTCCCTCCTTTGACAAACATCTCCTGCCACATCGCGTCAATCTCCTCCGGTACCGAGACCCCCTCCGCCAGGATCGTCAGCACCTCTCGCTTGACTGCCGCCCACAGACGATTGAAAATGAACCCTGTCGACTCCTTGCGAGCAACATAAGGGATCGTCGCGGCCTCCTTGGACCGCTCAACCATAAACGGAAAAATCTCAGCCGCGGTATACCCGTCCGTCATGAGCTCGACAATCATACACTGCGGTGGCATATAGTAGTGCATATTCAGAATCCGGCTTTTCGTCGCCGCTGACACCCTCTCAAGCATCTCCGAAGACTTGTACGACGAGGAGTTGGACGCAAGGATACAGTCACCCGGCGCGAGAGCATCAAGTTCCGCAAACGTGTCGATCTTGAGCTGGATTTTCTCCGGTACCGCCTCGATGACCAGCCAGGCATTCTCCACTGCTTCTTTGAGGTTGTCGGTTGTCTCTACCGCGCCTGGCTTCTTGCCTGTGCCCTCGGCATATAAAGCCACGTTATCCTTCACATAGGCGAGACAGTCTGCGCGCTGCTGGGGACTCGGATCGCGGACTTGGACATCGTAGCCTGCTGAGGCCCAGACACATGCTGGTAAAGTCAGTCTTATCGTGGACACTTGATGTGACAGAAGGGCATACCAAGTCTACGACCAAGCACGCCTGCACCGAGAATAGCGACAGGGCGTTGGCGATAGTTCTTTGGGGGCTGCCACGTCGGATGCATTGTATAAAGCTGTGTGTATGCTCAGAAAGTAGAGTAGGAGCAGAGGTATCCAGAGGCATGAATCAAGGCATTTATGTCCGGACCCAGCGGCCACGAGGCATACCATCCAGGCGTCATATCTCCACGGCTACACTGTGATGACGAATGATGGGCATATTTCGAGAATGGCATGCCGGCAGACGGTATCCATTTGTGCAGACTGAGTATACAACCGGAGCTTCTCGGGGCGGATTCCTATCGCAGCCGCGGGATCTGCATGAATGACACAGTACAGTCCGCGCATTCTAGAGGGGACCATGATAGCAATACCTCTACCGATTGGATCATCTACTTGAATACCAAGAACCCAACTGAGCTTCCGAATTCTGGTTGGCTAGAGTGCCGCGGGACTCGGCATGCCGTGGATGCCGACGGGACGGAAAGCTAAAGCTTGATGAACGAAGCTTCTGGATAACATCGTGGTGGCTTTGAGCCATGCATTGCAGTCTCTGCAACGTATCCACCCACTGGACGAATCAATCAAGTCGCTTTTGCCGCTTTTCCGGATGTTCCTGGGAGTGGTTGAACTGATCCATGAGACAGAGAATCCTTGGATCCATCTTCACCCCTGAGCCGTATGTTCAATGACCAATATGAGGAATAGAATGTAGGCGTATGCTTTCCTTCTATTTTACTTCCACATCGAATGAATGAATTCACCATGACAGTACCGTTTGCAAGTATCATGTAACTGCGGTCCCACAGATCAAAGTTTTTATATTATAGTAAAGCTCTCAGTGTAGCACACAGTCTATCCTCTGTCATGACACCATGCAAATAGAATACGGCCAAGAAAAATAAAGAACTAAAAACAAAAAATCTGATCCGTCATTCTGCCCACAGCACCTGGCGCCTCGAAGCCCAGCGAGACAAGGCCCTTCTTCGCAGCATTGATCATCCCCGGTGGACCACACAGCAAGATCTTCGTGTCGGCTGCTGGCTTAGGCAGCCTGGACGCCATCACATCGGGCGTCACATACCCCGTGCCATAGCTCCAATCCTTGGGCGGATCATCCAGCATATAGTAGATCTGAAACTGCTTCGGGTACTTGCGCGCAAACGCCTCCAGTTCCGCGCGGAGCAGAATATCCCCCTCGCTGCGGTTGGCATATACCAAGCTGATCTCGGTGGTATCTCTGTCGTCTTCGCAGATTGCCCGGATGAGCTGATACATGGGCGTGATCCCCGTGCCGCCAGCGATCATGCCGATCTTCCTGCATAGGTTGCGCTGGTACTTCATTGCGCCTTTGGGACCGCGGAACTGCACTTTCTCGCCGAGCTGCAGGTTGGCGAGGTACTGGCCCGTCAGGAGACCGTCTGGGTAGCATTTGATGACCAGCTCCAAGCGGCCGCGGTCGAGGTTGTTGGAGGTTGGTGTGTAGGATCGCGAAACGGACTGTCCGTTGACGGTAGCTTTGATAGAAACGTGTTGGCCTATCGGGAGGCCGATGATATCCGTTGGGCCTGGCAGCTGGAAGACGAATCGGTAAACGTTGGGCGCCAGCAGTTCTTTTTCGACGAGAGGGAGCGTCTTGTAATCTTTCGGATTGAGGAAGCCAGGAATGTTGTGAGGCTCTGGTTTGGGTCTCGGCTGGCACTTGATGCGACTGGGATATCGAGTGAAGCCGGAGTCGATGTGCGTCAGTTTCGAAAGTTTGATGCCCACAACACCACCGATGAGAGTGGAGAGCAGGGCAGCGGCTGCAAATCCACTGACGAAGCCCCCGTGTGGCAGGCGCATGTCGGTCATGGCTGACGGCAACAGGCGGTGCAGACCAGGCAGATAGGCTGGTATGTCGCGAAGGGCCAGCGGCAGTTGCGAGGATCCACGCCGGGGGGAGACGTAGTATAAGAGGCTCAGGATCCCCGCCGCTGAGCTGGCGGCGGCAACTTTGCGAACCCGAGACGAAGGGTTGCTTTCTACTACTGGCTGAGAGGTCTGTTGGACGACACGCACGACTGACTTGCGAACAAACTGAGTCGCATCCTTCAACGTGCCCACCAGGTAGGTTTGCATGATTTCGTCCGCATCCTCCGAGTGACCAACATCCTCGTACGCAGCAGTCGCATCAGTACCGGCAACATCGAGCAGCACATCTGCGCCACCAGGATGATCCCGAATGTACTTGGTGAGATCGTAAACTAGGCAAGTTAGCTCTGCCGGACAGAGCAGATGAGAGCGAGCCTGGCTGTACCTTTGCCGTGAATGATCACCCAGAGGTCATCACGGGTTTTATGGCCTGCGACGTCTTCGACCGTGAATTCAGGCATCATGAAGCTCTGAAGCAGTGGTTGGAACAGAGACTGTCGTTTTAAGTCCTCAATTGGGTCCTAGACGGGTGGTTATATCGTTTTTGTCAGTTCTTGCCTCATTCCACTTCGGCAACGGATATTCGGCTGGAAATTACTTAAATCTCATTATCTCCTATGTTAATTCCCTCGAATTCATCCTATTGACCAGTGACCGAGAACATGACTGTCATTGTCACCGGAAATGAGACAAGCAGATCAGTGGATGCATACCGAGGCAATATAGCCAATCAAAATGTCAGTTCCAGACATGCATCCCCGGTATGCCGGCCGAGTATACTGCTTTCTCTACTAACTCTGACCAATCTTTATGTCTAGTGTCAAAATACTTGTATATAAGCTGTCATACGCCACCGTCTGCACCAAATCCTGTAGAGCGGAGCCACCAAGATGCCATCGCAACAGTTTTACCTTCTGGGAGAACCTATCTCTTCAGCGAGGACAATTCCATTGGACGGCATCCATGATCTCGAGGGCTTGCGGCACCTGACTGCATCGCATTTTGCCGTTGTGGAACCGAGTGGTGAGTCTAACTCCAACGCTTCAACCAACGGCACTGACTCTCCTAGGAATTGAATTTTCGAGACAAGACACATGCCTCACGGATATCAGCGAGATCATTTCATCCGCAGTTCCCGTCGCCATCGCGATTGACGGTCACGCCGTCCGGGACGCCCCCTCGCCTAAAGGCCTCCCCCTCGTCGGCAACTTCTTCCAGGTCTACCCGGACCACCTGGGCAACCACCAGCGTCTCTTCGAGCAATACGGACCCCTTATCAAGACCAACACTCTAGGCCGCACAGTGTACCAGACAAATGACCCCGTCCTCTCCGCCATCATCTTCAACGAATCCGACTTCTTCACCAAGAAAATCAACGAGGCGCACCCGCTGTACTCGCTCAAGACCCCTGCCGCTGGCGTGTTCTTAGGGGACACAGATACCCCCGAATGGCGGGTCGCACACAAGTTCCTCCCGCCTGCATTAGGTCCAAAAGCCGTCCGGCATTACGCGCCCACCATGCAGACGACTGTCGAAGATGCGTGTGCCGTGTTTGATCGGCTAGATGAGCAGGGCGAGGCCTGGAATGTGTATCAGTATATGCTGAAGCTAGGGTCCCAGGCAGTGGGCAAGTTAACCCTAGGCCTAGACTTTGAGCATTTCTCCTCAGCGGACGCGCCAATCCATGAAATGGTGCACCTGATCGCGGAGGTGCTCTCACTGAACAAAAAGGTGACATCGAAGGGGGATTGGTACACCGCTTTGCCGTTTGGGGATCCCAAGCGTCTAAAAGAGTGCAAGGCGCGCATCGAGCAGATGGTCGAGGAGTCGGTCCGGAATGCGCAGAGGGGAGGTGTCGAGGATCTACCGCTGCAGGATGCCGCGCTGCGAGCGTCGAACATGGTTGGTGGGTCTACCCAGCCCCCTGAGCTTCGAGTACTGCTAACAGCAATAGACTATGCCGTCCGGGCAACGGACAACAAAGGCGAGAAACTTCCCAAATCCAGTCTCGTCTGGGCCCTCGTCGTCGCCACCGGCGCCGGCTTCACGACGACCAGCTCCCTTCTCTCCTGGCTCATCTACGGCCTTGTCACCTACCCAGGCATGCAGGACCGTCTGCTCCAGGAACTCATCGACCACGGCTTCGACGACAGCACAGAGATCACAGCCGACTTCACTGATAAACTGACTTTCCTAGACAAGTATATCAAGGAAACGCAGCGCCGGCACAACCCTTCCTTCCAGCCCGGGCGCACCGCAAAGGTCGACTTGATCCTCCCGGGAGGGTATAGAATCCCTCAAGACGCGGTGGTCATCCCTGCCCTACATCACATCCATAATAACCCTGCCATCTGGGATAACCCGGCGCGCTTCAACCCGGACCGGTGGGAGACGGACGAGGTGAAGAAGCGGCATAAGGCGGCGTATATCCCCTTTGCGATGGGGCCGCGCATGTGTATCGGTTTCAATTTTGCTCTGCAAGAGATCAAGGTATTCCTACCCAAGTTGATCTACAGGTATAAGTTTACGCGGGAAGGAGATGGACCGATTGAGTACGATCCGATGTTTCAGTTGATTAGACCGAATAATCTGTATGTGAGGGCTGAGAGGAGGATCAAGTGGCCTCCCAAGTCGAATGCGTGAGCCACTGATAGCCGAGAGAGCGTGTGCTTGAGCTGCAGAATATGTAGACTATCTAGACTTCTATACCAATAGATAGCTGCTGCATTATTCTTGCAGAATCACATATTACTGAGCGACTCCCAAAAATTGAAAAATGAAGCTTCGTCCATCAGCCCGTCGAGAAAATCACTGCTGAGCAACGTCTCCATCGTGGGTTCGCCTGGGATAGACGGCGGCATCTCGACCGTAACTGGTCCAGGTTCGGTTGGCTTACTCGATGTGGATGAGATATGGCGGATCGCCTCGGAGAAGATACCCCGGTAATACGACGCGGCCGAGTGCACGTCCTGCATGACCTTGAGTATCAGCATGCAAAAGTCGAGTTTGTTGAGACTGAGCTGCCGCGTGAGAGGATCGTCGGACTTGCAGTTGAGCAGGTGGATGTGCATGGCGGGGACAAGGAGAGGTGGTCTGGATTCTAGTTAGAAACCGAATCGCATGGTGAAGAGGAAGCCTCACGTCATTGGACCGGCATAGTTGAGAAGTTTCTCGCGGGCCAGGGAATCGAGGATGTGGTTCGTCTGTAGTGCAGCAGCCTCTACTTTGCCACGTATTGCCGACTGATATGCGGTCTGATTGATAGAAGGCACGCCTTCCGGGAGCCGCTTCGTGAAAGGGCGATAGAATGTGATCAGAAACGCTCTTCTCATGTCAGTTACGAGTAAAGATTATGAGAGATCGACATACTGATAATGTAACTGCAAATGGTACACGGCAAACCTTGCCCACTGGCTCTGCTCAGAGCCACATTCGTGCGGAATCTCGAGAGCCAGAAGCTCGGACTCTATGGCCTCAATTTGCTCAGTAGTAGGGTTTGACCTTCTCGGCTGATAGCTGAGAGTCAGAGCGTCCCCCAGTATTTTCGACAACCGCAGTAGAAGAATCCAATACTCGGTCAATTGTGCCAGGTCATCCGGGATGAACAGACTTGCCACGGATGGCGACACTTCGGACAGATCACTCAGAACATCCGCTGTTGTCGGCATCGGAATATCACAATCGAGCAGGTTAATCCTCAACGGCCGTCCGAGGGTGAGACTCAGCCAGCGGTCTCGAAAGAAACAGGACCACCATAGACGCCGCCATAAAGCTCGTCGACGGCCGGTGATGGATGGATTGAATCTGATTGCGTCGGGGTCGCGATGGAGACCCATGATCTGACCGAGGTTGATTGCAATGCCCGTCCAGTACCAGGGCTGGGCGTGGTTGTTCATCTCCGAGTGCCAGAATCCGAGCAGGAGGGCAGATTGCATCTGCGTGATTTTGTCGTCAGCGCCGTTGTTATACATACACTGTCACGATCGTCAGTACTAGAAGACGAGAATGTCAGTGCGAAGGGCACCTTTGCACGGGAGTACATGGCTTCCTTCATCTCTTTCCTGGAAGAGTATCCTGCGGCCGTGCAAGTCTCAGCAGGAATAAACTGATCAGTCAGTAAGATGGGTGTGACCTCCAGTGATTAAGGTACTGACATTGACTGCGACGAAGAAGATGCTCCACAAAAGTAGCAGATTCCATTCGGCTGGTCGGTCATGCTGCTGCTCAAACTTCAATACCTGAGCAGCATCTACCACCGGTAGAATAGGATGCACGTGGTGGAAATAAGCACGAAGCAGCTCGCGGCATATGTCACTGGATGGCAATGTCAAGCATCCCTTAAGCTTCAGATACTCGACATCCTGAGCGGTAAGACTAGGATGCGACGATGGCCGGAATACATGTCTGGGGACAGCTTGTGTGGCGAAAACATCCAAGACGGCACAAAATCCCAAAGATTCCCCTATTACAGTTAGCTTTTTTTTTTTTCAAATGCATTCTGTCATGGAAGCAGACCAGTGTATATAGGCATATCATTTGCTTCGGCATCCCGAGGCTTCAGCGAAGCCGTAGCGAAGTCAGCCGCACTGCGCTCTTCATCTTCAATCCGGCTTTGCTCGGAATACGGAGTCGTCGTGCCCGCCGCAGCAGTTGGCTCCGAAACAGCTCGTCCGGACTGAGGCATGTTCCTGGGAAGAGTTGAAACGGTGCTGCTACCGACCATCTCGCCAGACTCGACTCGGGATGTTCTGGGGTTCTGCTTCGGGCTGGGCCTCGGATGAGGGAGCGCGCGGATCTCGCGCAGGGGCTGACTTCTTGTCTGCTGGCTATATCAGATCAGGATTAGTTCTTTTCTGTAGTGCTATATTGTCTCGTATCTATCCCGATCAGGATGTACCTACGTCCCTCGGCGTTGCGCCACTGTGCACTCAATTCCATCTTGGGAACAATTGATGCAGGGAATGCCGGTTACAGTGACGGTGCACCGGACTTTGCGTCGACGACATGCTTGGCATGCAACTGCAGAACGATTACGACGGCTGGACATGTTCGAGAGATAGATATGGGGCTCAGTGGCTTTGACTGCCGAGTGGATGTGCTGTTGTGATCGTGTGATCGTGTCAAGGCGGACACCGGTGTGCCGAGGTAGAGAACTGCTGCCTGAGGCACCAAGCAGACCCATGAAATGAGGCTATGGCTTGATATGTTACAGTAAACAGTACCCAGAAAATCGACGGAGTAATAAGATGAGATTGATAGTACCAGGTAACTAGCTGAAGATTTTATTCATGAGGTTTGAACGTAAGTATGTACTTGGCGAGCGACGTGACAGACTGCTCGCAGCAAGTGTTGGCAGAGATCATCGACTGAGAGGAAGAAGGAGTTGGTTTTTGCTAGCATTAAGACAGCTGTTTCTATATTGGGGATCCATTTGCCAGTATCCAGAGCTCTCAGAAATCTGAGAGGCCTTTCGGACGACTTAGCAGAGCGAGCAAATCATATTGGACAGAAAGACATAGACGTACCATGGAGGTACCTCTTTCTAGGCTGCAATGCAGATCTTTTCTCAAGGAACTACATAGCCGTTGTTTTCCACCTTTATAGTCGCGCCAATACCCGTACTCAAGCACACTCTATCTCGTCCCGGGTGGCCACACGGCGTCATCTGGGAGGCCAGGTGTTGATCAATAACACCTGAGTTCAAAATCGGTTATTGATCAGGCCGCCGAACACTTGGGTCTCTCGCAAACTCACGCTTGATATCAGTGATTGGATGGTCAAGAGACATGGCGCATGAGCAGGTTGAGTTTCCTGATACACCTTATAGCCGCCGCAATGTAGGCACTTCGGGACTGTAGAAGCTGGCTCCTGATGGCAGTATTGGTCGGACTCGACATAGTTGGGGCAAGTGGAAAATCGCCTAGATACAAGTGCAGTATTGCGAAAGCAATTGGCCCTCACAGTCGCCCTTCAGAACGGCTGCAACCATTCTTTAGCGTCTGGTCGGATAGGTGATCTGGCCATTGGATGCGTGAAGTTGACGGTCCTGGACGTCATCAGTATGCGTACTATAGCAAAGCCCCGGTCCAAATACCTTGAAGAAGCATGAATAGCAGCTCCGGTGATGGGACCTCTGATACGGTGATAGAAGGGTCCTCGACAGGCATGTCATCCCCATGCCGGTATCTGCATCTTTCCCCTCACTCTCCGCCAGCTGAGCGAGAAGCTAAAGGGCAGACTTAAGAATAGATCGTTATCCTGGGCCTATATGTCTGCAATCATGAAGCCCCAGCTGTATAACATCCTTTGCCTGCATAGTGTGGTAGTTTGAGCCGTCGGTGCCTGCTAGTAAACGATCATCGCTGTCTCGAGACCCTGTCCCTGGGTTATGTTCTTCGGCTAGTTCTGGTCTTGAAGATGGCCTCTTATCCTCATGGACATCCCTTTCATCAGATCTTGCACCGGGAGCGATCCTGTTCATGCATTAGGTTCCTCCAGCAACGGAATATTCTGCCTAGAGTCACACCTCTCGTTTATCGCTTGCAAATCCAGTATATTTTCCTCTGTCGCCAATATGCTGCATTTTCTATCTGTCAAAAAGCCAATTCCACATCTATCACAGGAATAGGACACACCTTGGTCGACGTCTGTTTTTAGACGCCCTCCCTGGGCGAAGTCGTCGGCACTCGACACCGGCGTCTGCGCAGTTCGCGCAAAGAGATTGTCTATCACATTTCACCTGTACCCGTCGTGAGGGATTGTGTTGATCTACATTAGATTGCCACGGACCTTTCTGGAATGACATAAATCGCACTGTTTTTCGCAAATTAACCCAGGTCTGGTGGACTCTGCGCGGGACTTTCGTTTGAGACTCACCGCAAGGAAGGACCTCCTTATCAGTCATGGACTTCTGTGACATATGGCTGGCGGTATATTTTTCTCCCTAGCAGGTTATTTCTAGCTGAACAAGACTGAAGCTGAGGTGACCAAAGCAAATATGCCAGGGTGTTGTGCTGCTAACTGCTCATGATCAACATGATCATCCATGTTAATAAATGAAGATCAAATGGAAACTATTTCTAGCCGAAACTATGCCAAAAGCCCTAAATAAGTAAATACATTATAATTTGGTTTCAGAGCGCTGCATTGGGTGCTAGGAGGCATTTCAAGAAACGCGAACAAGCAAGTAAGCTCTGCAAAAAGGTCATAAGATACATCCTTTCCACAGTGACATTCTCTATATGGTTCTTCTGAACTATCACGACTGTAACTCATGCGTCTGAGAATCTGTTGTCAACTCTGCTGGTTGGTGCGCGTGCATCGCCGAGGCACCGGCACCCGCATACTTTTCTGCATATGGAGGACGTTGGCCGTCGTTCATTGTACTCAATGTCGTGCCCCTCCAGCATGACGCATTCGCATCCTCCTTTCCCACATAGCCCAGATAATCGAGGCCAGTGCAATGACCCCCAGTGGCACCCCGACCCCAACACCGATAGCCACCTCATGCGATGACTGTGTTGACGGATTCGCACTTGCCGTACTGGAAGCTGTCGGGACAGAACTGTTCCCACCATCCAGGGAGGACACATTCGCCAAAGCTGCATACCCAGCGATGATTTCCCCATCCGTGACCTGAACGCTGTTCCCGTCGCGACACACAACATCACTCCCATTGCTGACTGGCGTGCCGCAGCAGTACGACACGGCGCCATTTGTGCCCTTTCCCAGGGTGACTAGCGACGAAGCGGAGCCGGTTGACACATTTCCTATCCATTGTTAGTGTGTCTCTGGGACATGATGCGGTCTGACCTACGACAAACAGGAGGACATCCTCCGGACTGCCAGTTTGGATCGGTGCAGCTGCCTCGGGAGAGTACGTATGGTTGCACCACGACATCAAGGCAGAGATTGTTGGACAGGCAGATGTTGTTTCTGTCGCAGCAGGAGGCATAGGGGGCCGAGAAGCAGGGGACGCTGGTCTTGGCAATGCTGCCGTCGGGCCAGTAGCAAGTTGCTGTTGCGGAGACTAGGGGATTATGAAGGTAACTAGTAATTTGTATGCCATTGCGAGAGCTTGTCACAAGTATTGGATCTTGAGATTTGATGGAGTGAGAAAAGTTCAAGTGTGGAAATGGGTCAGAGATATGGGATCGACATGTTTTGCGTGGGGGGAGGCTGTGAGGAGGCTGATGGGAACTAGATACACCGTCGCACATTAGTGTCCCAATGAACCCAATGAGATTGATATAGTGTGTGAATGAGATTATGATCTTCCATTAGCCCTATTTTAACTTCTCTGTTGTTGGCTGAGTACAGTCTGACCGCGAAACTGCTACTCAATTGCACAAATGAAAACAGCACATAACTTTGCATGACTCGGCTTCCTGAGGTTGACGCCCTTGGATGTTCTTGTAGGACCCTTTGAAACTAAGCTTCACAGTAGAGAATACCCCATATCTCTCTAGATTCTCACTAGATGATCGTCTTCAGCGGTCCACGACCAAGAGATTGCTCATTTCTTCGAGGAGACTTCAGCAACTCGCTCGGCCTGTGATACATATGCGAAGGATGTCATTCCGGTGGCCGTACCCCGTCTACGTTACAGAACTGGTGTAACTTCCCAGCGTTGAAAACTTGTGGTTGCTCGAGGTCATCTCTTTCGTTTGCCGAGTAAACACGCGGATTGCCATTATGCGGGTCGGCACAGTGTTTTTGGCAATAGATGAATCGTCGAATGGATTCTGCAAAAGGACTGTTTCGTGGTGAAGATTATTGTACGGACGGAGCCAGTTTCAGGAGTTCTCATCAAAGTCGTCAAATGGAAAGTGGTTCTGAATCCCAATTCTATCTTCATTGGTCTCAGCCGCTTTAAGCATTTTGGCTTTGATCTCACGCGCCAGTTCTTTCGCAGCTTCATATTCGTCACTCGGCACCCAGCCCAAGATGTCGACACCCAAAACATTCCGCATTTGGTCCATTGCAAGGTCAGCTTCTTTCTGTCGCGCATCCAAGGCAAGAGTATCACGGACAACTCTGTCTGAGTATGTGAGAGAAGGTGTATTGCAGGTTCCCCGTTCACGCCCGACAGAGTCCGCTGAAATCAGATTCGGCCAGCTTTGTAAGGCACGGATCATGTCAGCCCTTAGAGTAATTGAATCCCCTTCCCAGGGACTACCCGCACTCTTGAAAAGACGCTGATGCAGTATAGCAGACTGGTCAAAGATTGCATCATAATGCTCTTCATTCAGACGCCTCGTGAATGCGGCGTAAAGGAAATGGACCAGTCTTTTTCGGATAGTCTCTCGTATCGATAACTGGGCAGACTCAGGGAGAGAATCGTAGTTCGGTGGGAGATCAATTCGGGGCTCGATCAGCTTTTCTGAATCAGGGTCACCGTAGTTCTGGAAATCTTTCGGTATCCCAGCTGCAAGCCCAAGCGGAAGGATAGTGCAATGTTGCCAATCAACAAAGCCGACAACCTCATTCGCATCCGATATAAGAATATTGTTCGGTTGAAGATCAGGATGTCGGATGACCGGCCGATTCAGTGATGAGGCAGCTTTGAACCCGAGGCAAGGCGCTAACGTGAGATAGTCGGAGAGATTCTGAATGTGCCGGTCAGGCGAGATTTGGCAAAAACCGTATATCTCCCTATAGAGGCGCTCATAGGGAAGGCGAGGTTTCGCATAGGCTTTGGCCCAAGTCAACTCCCGTTCACTAACGGCCCGAAACAAATCGCTTGACGATGACCCTGTTGGCAATTAACGAGTGGCCCCAGATGTTTTCCTCATATTGGTAACTCACAGGGCCCTCTGTCAATGTCAAGTATGCTCCTTTCACCGTGCCACCAACTGTAATATGCGATTGGTCCTATGCAGAACTCACCATTATGGTTTGGTAGTGGAACCTTCCTTTGGGTTGGAAGATCCTTCTGATAGTATAAACTCCCACATGCAGGGAACTCCAATGACATCAATCGTGTCTCCCACTCAACAATCTGTTTCATGATCTTGTGTTGCTCTTTTGGTGTCATCGCGTACCATATATCACCGAGAGGGGTGCCGTCCAATTTCTCCATGAGAATGTACTCAGCGCCAACAGGGTTCGCTTTTGTTGAGCACCAAGCATAGACCCCAGGAGTAGGAATCCCATGTAACCGGAGATAGTCCAAAGTAGCAGCCTCGCTGGCAACTGTGTAGTGCTCGGGCGCTGTGGAAGGATACGGGAGTCGAGCAACGACATGCTTCCCATCTGTAAAGGTCGCTTGGAACAGACGGTTGAATCCACCTTCAGCCATCTTATAAAATGAAACAATGTCAGAGGTCGCATGGCCAGATGCGGCGGCGATAACGTTCATCAGGGCAGGTATATCGAACGGGAGGTAACGTTCGGCCAAACGTAAATGTTCATTATGGCTATAGTACGTTAGTCTCAAAAGCAGGACTCGATTTCATGAAGACATGCATCCATCTGCCAGATGTGTATTTGAAGAGTTCGTCTTTGGAGTTTTTGACCGACTGGTGAGCGGTTTCTGACATCTGCCTGACCTGCTTTGTTCCATATCCATGCAAGGGTAAAAGTCGAGAGCGGACAGAGCGAAAGATGTTTCGGACTCCCATATTATGGCTTCAAAGACTGCAATGACACAAAATCGGCATGCTCTGAAGATGGTTTATATCGAAGCCAACAAGCTTGGTGGGTGTGCGAGCATCTGGGGTCGTCGCCATAGCTAGGATGGATACCTCTTCTGGAATAAAGTATTTCCGTCTGACTCGAAATTGGAGAAGTCTGTGAACTGACAAGGTAGAGACGGCAGCCGACTTAAGGTAAGGAATGTGATATCACGTCTTGACTTGCAATGCGCCATGTGCTGCCAATCAATTTGATCGTAGTGAACGGCCGGTGATATAACCTGCAGCTTGCACCAGCGGCTAAACATACTCAATATCACATTTAGTCTGTTTACTTGGTGCTGATGATCTGAAGAAAGATAATGCATAGCAGCACCAGTAATTATCTAGTAATCTGGTGGGGAGTTAATGCTGACTCCTAATCAGAGGGAGTCATTGAATTTTGAACCAGTCTAGACCTCCAGCTAAATATAATAATGTTAGGCACGGGCACACTGACTAGTAAGATGGGACTTTAGATTTAGTGCCACAAGATTGATTTACTACGTGGCATTCCATCATGCATAGGCTCCTGTTAACCACCGCCTGTCTTATCATTTCACACGGATATTGATGCCAGCAGGCTTATATAGAAGACATAGGTGCACTCCATATGATCCAGAGACTTTAAATAAGTCAAGGACAAGATGAACATCCTTTTTACCACCATGGAATTCTTTAATGGCTTCTAGATGTTATTAGATTTGCACTTCTAGTAGCTAGTATTGAGTTTTGAACATGGACTTTTAGGACCAGACAGATAGTGTTTGTTGCTTTCTCCTGCGTCAGCTCACATCCTGGAGAATATGAATTAAGTATACACGCCGTAGATCCTGACAAACCATTTGGTTATGATGCGATATCATGAATTGAGGACTTCACTAATGTGAACTGAATAGCAGCGCTCGAAGAATCCAAGTTATCAAAGCCTGAGCTTGAAAAAAACGCGTGGCTGTGACCTTCGAAAAGTTGCCGAATTCTGATATCGAATACTTATCTACAGCTTGAAAATAAAGAAGACGCTGTTTCCCAGTACCTGTCCAAAGTTTGCCCGTGGACTGGCTGACGTGGTGTTAAGGCAAAAGGAAGGCTCCTCTCCTTACAACTTTGCTCAAGACGTGCACTGTTAATGTCGCGATAAAGATATATGAGTGCGGCGGCAGAATCAGAGAAGATGTCAAGTTCAGCCCTTGTCCTGACATTGGTACCCCCAGCGTGTCCTGGTCATGAAGAATTTCCTCCACATCACCATACCATTCCATCCAGCAACCTTGTATCACCGAGCTACCTAGTAAGCCGTCAGTTGAGGGAAATTTGTCCAGTCTGCGTAAGCCAACTTGTCCTCCACGGAAGTGAACTGCTTTAAGTAGGGGGGACCTTGGAGTGGGTAGGTGGAAGGCGTCCGACCCAGCATCGGCCAGTTTGTCTGGAAGGCTAATAATCAGAGCGCATCCAGAAACTGGCCTGGCATAAGAGATTTCCTGGACTCAGAAGACGATGGGATAGCGAGCTCCACATCCGATTCACTTAAACACAAGCATAGAGCCCTGGTATCAAGATGTCTATAAATCGCCAATCCAGACAGACCTACGCAGACTCTTTTTGAATCAATTGCTCAATCTTCTCGGTCAGCTCACACATCCTATACGGCTTATGGATCACATCGTCCATGCCGGACTGCAGCATTTCCTCCTGCTGCTCTGCCCTCACATTCGCCGTTACCCCTAGCACAGGGGTATACCCTGCCATTTCTTCCTTTTCCAGCTCGCGGATCGCCTTGGTCGCTGAATTTCCGTCCATGACAGGCATGGCTTGGTCCATGAGGATACAGTCAAAGTGGTCATTCTTCACGGCGTCGAGAGCCTCTCGGCCGTGACTGGCCTCGGTGACGCTGAAGCCGAGGCATTGCAGCTTCCGGGAGAGGATGCGCTGGTTGATGATGTTGTCTTCGACGAGGAGGATGTGGTGGCCGTCGCTTTTGCTATCATTTTCCTGATTCGGTCGTGTCTCGGTAGGGGAGTTCTCAGGGGTGTCTGCTGTCGGAGACACGCCAGTCTCCTCGGCTAATTTGGCCGTGTGGTCCTTTCTCCCATCGCTGCTGCAGGCCGGGTTGATCTCTTCGATATAAGTCACCTCGGGGTTCTGCGGAATGGGAGGAGAGGTCATCTGGTGATTGCCGTTGGTTATCTCCTCGCCCAGCGACTGGATATCTAGGCATTTCTGGTCAATCTGCACTCTGTGGCTAGTGGACGTCTCCCCCACCGAGTCGCTTTTCCGCACGGCAAAGAAGAAGCCAAACGTGCTGCCTTCGCCCTCTTTGGAGCTCACGCCGATCTCGCCCCCGTGCAGATGACACAGCCGCCGGCTGACGTTCAGCCCCAGCCCAGACCCTCCATAGATACTCTCCGTCCGCGGCGTCGCCTGGTTGAACCGTTCAAACAACCGCTTCTGCGCTTCATCGCTGATCCCGATCCCCGTATCCCGCACCGCGACCATGATGTACGCCGTCGGCCCCTCCCCCCACTCCGCCTGGCGCGTCCTATCCAACCCCAGCGCGGTCTCGTCCGAGCTGAAGAACACCACGTTCGGCGGATACGACGGGGGCCGCGTGGTAGACGCGCCCATCGACACGCGCACCTTCATCTCGCCCCCGGACTTGGCGGTGAATTTGATGGCGTTCGAGACCAGGTTGATGAGGACCTGGCTCATGCGGTCCAGATCGGCCATGACCCAGTCAATGCCCTGCTCCTCGTAGGAATGGTCGAGCTTATACTCGAACTCGATGTGCTCCTTGCGCAGCTCGGGCCGGAACATGGTCAGCGAGGTGGCCAGGTGGCGGCGCGGCTGCACCCGCCGCGGCGTGAGCGCGAGCATCCCCGCGTCGACTTTCGAGAAGGTGAGCACGTCGTCGACGATCTTCTTCTGGTGCGCGACGCAGAGGCTGATGGTCTCGGCGGCCTGCGCGATGATCGCGTGCGTCGTCTCGGCGTCGCCGGCCCTCTGCACCGCTTCGAGGATGTCCTCCGTGCAATGTAGGATGGCGGAGAGCGGGTTCCGCACCTCGTGGCTGATCATGTCGATGAACCGCTCCTGTTGCGTTTTGCGCTGCTGCGCCTCCTCGGCGATCTTCTTGTGGGACAGTTCGGCGGTCTTTTCCTGGCTGATGTCGGCGATTGTGCAGATGGAGCCGCCGTCGCTGCCGAGGCCGAACCGTGCGCGCTCGTCGGGGGCCATGGGGGTGAGCGTCAGCAGGCGCCAGGGACAGTCGTCGTCGCGGGTGCGGTACTCGATGCGGAGGGGCTGCTGGGCGCGGGAGGCGTCGTGGTAGGCGGTCGCGAGTCGGTCGTAGTCGTCGGGGTGGATCGATTGGGACCAGCAGTCGAAGGAGCGCGGGTTGCAGCTGGTCATGAGGGCGCGGAATCGGCGGTTGGTGAAGATGGCCTCGTCGCGGTGGTTGAGCATGGCGACGCCGGTGGGCAGCATGTCCGCCAGTTCCTGTGCGGAGACGCTGTGGGAGGGCATCTTGGAGGGTTCTCCATGTATCTGGTGTTTTCAAGTGCTTGATCTATCTTGAATCCATTGCGATTGATACATAAAGGACTGTCAGGAATGGAATGTGGAGATGAAGAATCTGACGGCTGGGATGGTGACGTCACCCATGGAACTCAAGCCACCGACGATGAAGGCGCTGATCGATTATAGTATTATGTTCAGGGGTATATATTTCAGAAGTCATTAGCTATTATGCTACATACATATCACAACTCGAGGCTGTGGTCCCATCATTCCTTCAAAAGGCCATCACGGCAAACGCTCCTACGACGACCGCCCCCAGGCTGATCGCCTTGCGGTCCCCTCCGCTCGAGAGAGTCGCCGAGGGCGACGGGGTGCTGGAGTGGCTGGCAGAGCCAGAGGCAACGGCCGAAGAGGCCGCTCCAGTGCTGTCAGGAACAGTCACAACAACAGTCGAGGTAGGGGCATCGGAGGTGCTGCTCTTGGTGACGAGGGTAGTCGAGGGCGTCTCCGAGGCGGTCGCGGTGGTGGAGGAGTCGGCACTGGCCGAAGCAGAAGTCGCAGTAGTTGTGCCCGTGGTCGACTGCGTAGAAGAAGTCTCCGTCACGGAAGAAGACTTGGTCGCGGTCGCGGCAGTGGCCGTCGAGGAGCCAGCAGCAGTCGAAGACGAGTTGGAAGTCGAGCCAGTGTAGTCAGGGTTGGAGATACCAAACTGCGTCGAGTACTGGTACTGGCCTGTGCTTTCGACCACCAGCATGATGCCGTAGTGGGTGGTGTCGGGCTCGAGGGAGGTGCTGGGGGTCCAGGAAAAGCTACCGGAGTTGGGGATGCTGTCGGCCAGCGTCTCGATGGGGACCACATTGGTGCTGGGACCGCGCAGGAGCACCAGCGAGACGGGGCCCTTGGTGGTGGGATCCCATTCGATTGTGTACGGCTTTCCAGCAGGGACCAGCTCGTTCAGACCGGGCTTGACGATGGCATTGCCCGAGGGGGACTGGGAGTAGTCGGCCTGGGTCGAGGCCATGGCGAGGGCCGCCAGGCATGAGACAATAGAAGCGATGAGACGCATTTTGAATTCGGTCGAGTGAAAGTGGAACGATCGCAAGGTAGGACTTGTGGGGTCGAGTGTGACACTATATGTATGGTCTGCAAAAGAATGGATGATCGATGGACGATCAGGGAAACGAGCGATGGACAAACAGACGGCCAGGAAAGAAGAAAAGGCAAAACCAACAGACAAGGCGCACTTGTCCTCTTATGAGGGGGCTATGCCCCTGTTCTTGACGAGGCTGAAGCGGACATGGCTGTTAGACTTCGTCCTAGTGTTGGGTTGTTGGATTGTCCTTGGTCGGATGGTGCGGCTCTTGTCAATGCTGCCTGTGGGAGTCACTGGGAGAGGCTCGCTTGATCTTTTGGCCCGAAACTAAGCAGACCCAAGTGTTTTAGCTGAGATTTCTGTCTCGTCTGAATGGCCGCAGGGGAAACGGTGGAGATTTGACTCTGACCATGCCACCAGATGGACTAATTATTAAACGAGATGAGCCTGAATCCAAGATCAGCGGGCGTACCGGAGTAGATATCTAGACTAGTACTCCGTATCTCAATCAGAGAATTCTAATTATCAGTTTCAGTGCTTGTCGCCGTGTGGAGGACTGGAGGTACAAGTATAGGCTAACGATCCTTCTCACAAGATTCAACAGAAACAAAAGCTACTTCAGTATTCAAAAGGAGAAAGATACTATTCTAGTCCGCAATAATAATAGCCTAGCGAGCAGAGACTGCTACACGACCCTTGATTTTTACCCGGCCAATGCGCCACCAGTCGGAAATGAGGTTACATCGCAAGCGCAGTCAATAAGCCAATGAGCCCTAACTTTCTGGCCGTGGAAGAATACGGAGACGCCGCACAAATCCAGTCTAAATCAAATAGTCCAGGGAATAAGTGGGCCTCGCCAGGAACGGGTGGATATCCGCGGAGTCTGGACGCCAGAAAAAGAAGCTATTGATCTGCTCCCGTTGGTCAACGCCCAGGACGAAGTCAAGAACGCATTCCTTGCTGCATTGGGATAGATAATGACAGGCAACGATCGGGCAAATGAGTCTGAGCCTATGGGTAGCCTACAGCAGATCAGACGCCTATCCTGCCCATCTATGAAACCGTAGCCAAACCTGATGACCCTAGCAAAACACTGGAACCTCCCGACTCGACCAGATAAAACTCTTCCTCTCCGACATCGCAAATCGCGCAAGAGGAAAGGCTCCGGCCCATTGTAGCGGCTTGGCATCGCTTCTGCCCCCATCAGCTTCTCAGAGAAAAAGTCCGTCAGATATCGGATGGCCTCGAGCAGGAGTTCGGTTCTAACTTGTAATAGCCTTTCTATGGACGATCTCTTCCTGATGCATTAGCGACAACATGAGACGGAAATGAAGCCGGCATGCCTGATTGCACGTGTGACTCATCGACTGCAGGGTTTGCTGGGCTTAATCGCCGGTCTTTTCCAGTGTGATACAGGGAGTCTTCTCTTACAGCCATTCCGTCAGGCTTATTGGCTCAAATCAGAAGGTCATGTCGGGTATATGGATTGGGGACGAGAACTATATCCTGGACTTGTCGGAGATGCCGTGGCATTATGCAACACTCTAAGGAGGTTTAGACATGACACCAACAAGCTTGATCACTTCAAGGAGCTATCGAACCACCTTCAGATTTAGTAATAAGATCATTCCCTCACCCATTCAGCATGATAATGTCTGAATGCATCCTGCAATTTGATTGGTGCTTGTCATCCCCCACCGTGTTTCCTCGGCAATGGGCGGTTATTTGGACGTCATTTTCCCTCTATGCTTGATATCGTTTATAATTGAGGAATAACGGAACGAAAGATCAAGATATGGAATATGCCAGCAGTCATCAGAGCATGCATCATCTGCCACAAGAGAAAGGTATGCTCCCAATAGCTACATATGCGTCTCCCTCTAAGCTCCATAGGTCAGATGCGATCTGGAGAAACAGCAGCCATGTAGCAACTGCATCAAAGCAAAGGCCGAGTGCCTGTAAGCCTCCCATCAATCAGACCGTCCTGTACTGACCACATCAGCCCATTTACCCGCAAACGCAAAAGAATCACCAACAGCATCTCCCCCTCCCGGGAGGACCCCCGCACCGCATACAGTCCAGCCGCTGCCATCGCCAATGAAAACAGCTACAGCGGCCGCAGCGAGTATCTCAGCGGGAGTGTCCCCTTCGACGAGACCTTGGTGCAGTCCGGCCAGGATGCCCTCGACACCGACAACCACGAGGACTTGCAGCTCTTCCAGCACCAGCGGGTTTTTGATCTCCCGCCCAAGCCCGTCCAGGCCCATCTCATCGACTGCTTTATGCGGTACTGTGCGCCGTGGACGCCGATTATCGAGCCTGAATGGTTGGCCGCGGAGGCTCCCTCGCCGCTGTTGTTGCAGGCCGTCCTGCTGGCGGGGAGTCGTGTGTCCGCGCCCTCGGAGGAGGTTTCGAGTAAGGACTTCTACCGCAAGGCCAAGTTGCTCTACTTCTTCGGGAGTGGCAACAACTCGCTGATCTCGATCGTGTCGGCCTGTTTGCTACACTGGTACAATCCCGTCGGACCAGAGAAGGTCTCCACTGATACGAGTGGGTTCTGGATCCGCACGGCCGGCGCCATGGCCTTTCAGATCGGCTTGCACAAAGAGCCTGCCGCGGATGCAAAGGACCGGGGGCTACGGAGGAGGCTATGGTGGGCTTTAGTGGTATGTCATATCAATCGGACGGGGTAGGAAGCACGCAGGCTGACCGCGCAGGTCCGCGACAATATCATCTCCGCCGGCACCGGACGACCCCGGACTATCAACCTCAGCGACAGCGACGTCCTCCCGCCGAGCCTGGACGACTTCGACGTCCAAGACGACAAGTCTCGGCTCTTCCTCGCCTACACGACCATCTGTCTGCTGCTAGGCGACACCGTCGAAGGCTGTCTCCGCAAGACCATGTCCCTGCACCGCCGCAACCAGCTCGAAAACGCCCTCTACCGCTGGATCAACCAGTCCCTCCCTTCCCTCCGCTCCGCAGCACCGCCCGACACGGTCTCCTCCACCCACGACTTCGAGGTCCACCAGCTGCTGGTCGTTTACCTAGCCATCCTGATCATCCTGCACCGCTCGCCCACCCCCAACAGCGTCCCGTCGGCTGCTTCCCTGGTCGCGTCATCCTGCATAGCCGGCATCTTCGAGGACTTCCACCGAAAGGACCAGCTGCAGTATCTCGGGCCGATCTTCGCGTTATACGGGCTCAGCGCCGGGCTGTCGCTGCTCTCGGCGTGTCGGTACGAGCCGCTCAAGGCAACGGCCGAGTATGAGCTGTCCACTATCAAGCTGTGTCTGCAGACGCTGTCGAAGCGCTGGCGCTCCGCTGTGGGACCGATTCGGGCGCTGGACAGGTTGACGGCGCAGGTGCGGCGGCAGCCCTTGTTCGAGGGGGCTGTGCCGAGTCTAAGGCTAGAGCTGGTGGATTTCTTCAATGGGATCGATCGGCGGTTCTGTCGGCAGTGGGGGGTTATTCAGGGGGAGAGGGCTGATGTTTCCCGGGGGATCGCGAGTCTGGAGACGGAAAAGCGCGATGTGATGCCGTTCGATGGGTACATGGATATCCTGGACCAGAACTGGGAGGGGTCGGGGTTTGACTGGAGCGGGTCGTGGCTGTTGGATATTTGATATGCTTTATACGACTGTAATATGATATATGATATGGAAGATATGCTACGCTACAGCTTGTTCTTCAGAGAACGATGGCCGGCCACCCGCCCCTCGGGCAATTCCACTCCCCAGACAATCCGGCAGTCCCAGCTGGCATGATCTTTCTCGTCCACGTCCCCGTACGGCCTCACAATCCCCCTGTGCACTGTGTCTCCTACTCCTCCTTCGCCCGCCAGAATCCACCGACGAGCAACCTCTGCCGCCACCGCATCACCATCCCGCTCGGCATCCAAGGCCAGCAACGCCCCCATCAGAATCCACGCAAGCGTAAACATGACTCTCCGTCCATCGGCCAGAACCGACGCGACATCCCCCGACACCTTGCCCTTGAAGGCCGTCCAGGCCTGGTCCAACGCCTGCGCCAAGCTCCCCGTCCGTATCATGCCCAGCACCCGCTCAGCCCACGCAGCAAACACGGCGAAATGGTCTCGAGCCAGCAGAAACCGCACCAGCTCGCTCGCCAGGACATTCGTCGTCCCCTCCCAGATACTATTCACCGCGGTATTCCGCAGCAACCGCGAGACATTGAACTCGGGCTCGTCCGGCTCATCCATATACCCCACGCCCCCCATCGCCTCCTGACACTCCTGGATCCCCAGAACCGCCATCTTGCTAATCACCGCCTTGGAAACCGCCGTCAACGCCCGGAAGACCACCGTCGCCTCCTTTCCCCGGGGCACATGCCCCGGGACTCCTCCGGCTTCGGCTTGCGTCTGGGGATTCTCAACCACACCCATAACCCCCACCGTCAAGAACCCCAACTGCATCGCCGCCCGATGCCGCACCTCCAGCTCCGCCAGTAAGCGCAGATGCATGGGAATCAGCCACAGCGGCTCGCCGACCGTGCGCCGCGCCCGCGCAAAGGACTTGGCGATGCTGAGCGCGCGGCGCCAGGCGCCCAGCGAGCCGATGAAGGTATGCGTGCGGGTGACGTTGAGCAGGGGCGCGATGGTGGCGACGCCCTTGTCGCGCTGTCCGACGAGGTGCGCGCGCATGCCGCGCAGCTCCAGCTCCGCGGTGGGGAGCTCCTTTGTCCCGAGCTTGTTCTTGAGGCGGTGGATGCGGACGCCGTTGGTGACTTCGCGGGTTCTTCCCTCGGTGAGGGTGAGGGTGCGCCGGAGCGGCGCGAGGAAGGTGCTGAGTTTCCCCGACGGTGAGGTTTTGGCGAGGAGGAGGGTGACGGTGGCGTCGGTGGCGGAGGAGAAGAATTTGAAGCCGCTGATGGAGTACTCGCCTTCGCCCAGGGTGCCGAGGGAGGCAGGGAGGGGGTCGTGGGTGGCCCATGTCTCGGTGTTCTGGACGTCGCTGCCGCCGGCGCGTTCGGTCATCCATTGGCCGGAGGTCCAGAAGTCTTCGTTTCGGGAGGTGAGTCGGTGGAAGACGACGCGAAAGGGATGGGCTGCTGGGAGGGATTGTTGCTGCAGTTGCTGGGAGAGGATCAGCGCCGCGCCGTCGGTCATGGCGACGGGACAGGAGGTCAACCCTGACGAAGGCGAGTAGAGATAATTGACGGTGTATTGGACGAGCCGGCGGAAGGCGCCGTAGGTGGGTTCGTAGCCTAATGCCACCACGCTGCTTTGGTTAGTTCTGGAAGTAGTGGAATGAGCCAGGGGAGATACCCATGTCGAGCCCCCCAGCGGCTCAGCTGCTTCCAGCCCTCGCTGGTGATCAGGCGGTCATAGTCATATCGCTGGCCCCAGACGTTATATCCCTTGACGTAGGGCTGGTGGCGCTCGGCGTCGGCGCTCCATTCGCGGATTTGAGGCGAGATGGCTTCTTCGCCGAGCTGGGCGAGGTTGGACTGAATGGATTGATAGGTTGATGATGGGAGGTACCCTTGGAACTTAGTGCTTGTATTCAGAATCGGTTGTAGGACTCACATGAAAGCTGCCGGTGGAGATTCGTATCGGTTGTATATGTATTCTGCAGCGGCTCGGGGATGGTGATGGAGCCCCGGTCAGCGGTGGCAGGCTGCGATGAAGTTGCTGCATCCATGTTGTTCATACCAATAGTTATTGTCATGATCTGGGGAAATTCTTTACAAAAGTATCGTCTGGGGAATGCGGGGAATACGAGGAATAAGTATCACAATGGACCGAGGCATCTGATATTCGTAACCGCACTTAACCGTGGCCCAATCACGACGTCGCTATATCATAGTTACATCGGAAGAATCAAGGTGTCTCCTTCAGTATAGGAATCTCGAATATCTCGAATCGAAGCTATATACTATTGTACTATACATCGTGGCAATCTCGGCTAATCCTTCAAAAAACCCAACAAATTGACCGCAGATCCCTTCTTCGACTTCTTCAACTCCCTCTCCAGCCCCATCAGCTGGTGCACCGCCATCTGCGCCCCTCGCACCATATAATCCATGGTGACCATCTCCTCGGGGATATCCACAAACTGCCCAATGAGGGCCATGTTGGTCATCCCCGGGGGAACCACCTGGGGCCGATCCCCGTCACTCCTCGGCAGCAAGGTGGCCGTCATTCGCGGCATCACACAGGGGACTGTGACGGTCTGAGGCAGGATCTCGTCGACTGAAAGGCCAAGATGATGCAGAACCTCTGTCAGCATCTCCTCGCCCGAACAGGCCAGCATCTGTTTCTTGACGAAATCCCCTTCGTTCTCTGGATTGAGCGCGTAGCCCCAGAATACCCGAACTCCGTCCGGTTGATCCGGGAACAGCGGCTGCCGCGGCAGACTCAGCGTAAGCAGCCAGCGGCTGTCTCTCAGCGTGACCAAAGAGCCCGTCTGAGGATCGTCGCCGATGATCTCGAACATCTTCTCGAAGACAGAGGGATTCTTGAGTGTGACGGTAAAGTATCCAACGCGGGACTCGTGCAGTCGCGTGCAAAAGTTGTATGCGTTGCCGAACTTGGGATGCTTGGTTGCGAGTTCCAGCCACAGCAGCCAGTTCCCGTCGAGATCTTTCTCGATCTCCATCATCTCTAGCGAGGGGGGCTCCGTGTTCGATCCCCGAGAGGCGCCGGACAAGATCGATCCCAGAGAGACAATGATTATATCATGCGGGCCAAGATCAATAATCGCCTCGCGCTCGCCTTGGTGCGCCGTGTGCAGGGCTGTCACCCGTGTGGGATCCTGGGCTGGCTCGACGACGATATCAGTGGTGGTCGTGTGAAAGCGAAAGTCCACTCCCTCGGCCTGCAGGAAGCGGATAATCGGGGCGACAACGGACTCATGGAAGTTGAAGCGGACACGGTCGAGGGGACGTGGATGATGGACGGTATGGATCTCATGAGGGAAATGCTGGATGAAGCGGCGGAACTCGGCCGCGCTGTGACACGGCAGGAAACCGAACCTAGGGGATAGGAACATTGTCAGTATCCCGACGCCGTTCTGAAGTCAATGGCAACATACAGCGTCGCCAGCATCAGCCAGTAGTTCGTCCTGAAGAACCCGACGGAGAAATGCTCTCGAATGTGGGACCGGCCCAGCGCACTCTCCGTCTTGGACGACAGCAGGAACAGATTCATCCTATCCTTGATTCCCAGATGGAATCTCCTCCCTTCAATCCGCTCCAATCCGGTCTTCCGCCGAGCCAGGAATCTCGTCCGCGACGCCTGCTTCGGTACGTTTTCTTCAAAGTACTCCTGGATATCGTCCCAGACGCTTTTCCCGGGCGTCTCCGACGGCACCAGGGCAAGTAATTCCTCCATCTGATTATCGCAGAACGGAAGGAGACATCCCGCGCGGTAGTGGTAGCCCGACTCTACATCGCCTTTACTGGTTGATCCCGCGCCTGCTTCGCTCTGTTCCTCGAGGATGTGGATTCTCGACGGAGGCACCTTGGCCTCTTTGATGAGATGTACGGCCGCTGTCAGAGAGGCAATTCCACTCCCCAGAATCCAGGCATCGAGAGAATTGGGGTCGCGGGAGACCGTACGAGAGGCTGGGGTCGATGTGCGCGACGTGAACAGGGAGGCGGCTCGTGAGGGCGGACGGGACATTTTATGGGTATCAGGTTAGAATGATCAGGTCAGGGCATGAATTGAACACGTATCGCCATTCGGCATAGCCATGTTGTGTTGTATGATTCGATATTATACTTATCGGTCCGACTGGTGTCGTCATCTGTGGCCGAATGCGGAAATCGAATGGCCACTGATGCAACCACTCATGATGCTGGAGATATATTAGGAGATTAGATCATGGCAGTAGTTTAGAGTTTTTGATAGTAAACATTGTTGGTGGTATGGGTGCTGAGTCCTTTACATAGCTATATCAATTAGGGTCTAGTGTCATAGGCAACGCCTCGAGGCAATTCAACCGCAGCCAAATTCCAAGTTTAAACAGAGTACAGAGTATGGCCTCCTGTATATTTTCTGTCATCTACCCGACTGTCTTAGGCCGATCTCTCATCCCCACTGTCTAGCTTGCACCTTAAATACGATGGACTGCGGATCACCATTGGTCCAACTTCAGCTTCGTGTCACTTTGGTATTGCAGGGTCTCGTATAGCTGCTTAGTGTCTGTTCAAGTGAATCTGTAGGGCCAATCAGTCGAGTCTTGACATTCAACAAGGCTGGAATTCTATCGGCTACAGCATGGCTGCAAATGTATCCTGAGGCTTCCCTGGCCCTGCCACAGAACTTCTCTTCTCCTCTGCAAAGGACGGACCCTTGCAGCTAGAATGAAGACATTGTCCATATTGCTGTTTGTTGCTGGGGCATTCGCCCTGAATCCCCTCCACCCCATCCGCCATCCCAACAACACCCTCGTCTCCGAACCCACGACAGACATCGTATCCGATCCCCTGGCCAAACGCTGGACCTGTCCATCGACCTGCTCGACCAACATCTGCTGCGACAATGGGCTGTGCGTCTGGTCTCTCAGCGACGTCTGCTGCGGAAGCTACTTCTGCAACTCGGGCGAGCATTGCTGCGGGACTGGGTGCATGCCCTCAGGCGCGGATTGCTGCGGCGTACAGGGGTACTGTCCTGCCGGGGAGCGATGCATGACGGTCAATGGGAAACTGGGCTGCTGTCCCAATGGGGACTGCTCGCAGGAGAATGCGGTGGATTATTACACGCAGCGGGAGACGTATACGCAAACGCAGAATTACTATACCACGGCGCATTACACGACGAGCTATACCGGGGTGGAGTGGACGTGGTATTCATGGACCGTTACCTGGTATGAAGTCATTCGTGGGTAGAAATATGGTGAGATGACTGATGAGGATAGGACGTACTGGGTGACGTTCTACACGTACTATGCCCCTGTGACGGCTTCGATTCGCACATCGACTGTCACTACTACTTCGACGATTGTTTCGGTCCATGCTACCGACGTGTCGGATGCTTCGTCCTCGTTTACGCGTCTCTCGGCCACGATGAGCTTCTATACGCCTGCCAGTGCGACGGATCCAGTGACGCCGACGGATGTTGCGACGGCCCGCTTCCCGACTTTGACTTCGTCAGGGAATGATGGCAGTAGCAGCAGCGGTGGGAATGTCGGGATCTCGATCAATGGAGTCACAGGGGGTGCCCCGAATGCTGCAAAAGCAAACGCCAGACTTGGATGGGAAACTGGGTTGACTCTGTCTGTCATGCTGGGAACGGGACTTCTGATGGTATACCTCTGAGAAAGGTTGCATTGACGAACGAATCATAACTACTACATCTAATACTATGGCTTAATAAATGGCGACTTGCCCGTCCTCTCCACCCTCAACCTCTCCTTGATCTCCTCCAGGGTCTTCCGTCCCTTGCCCTCGAAATATCTGGGCCCAACATCTGGCGTGTAGTATCCCTTGGGATAGTACTTGTCTCCCTCGTCCCCGGGCAATGGCAATCCCATCAGCCGCTGCACCCATGCAGACGGACCCCACCGGTTCCACAGAGTCGGCTGCACATAGTACGGCATCCCGTTCCATTCCCGCACATGGTGTCGACCATACTCATTCGGCATCTCCGTGAAGACATCATGGCGCATAAAATACGGCCGCGGGAGAGCAAGATACCGCAGGCAGAACCGACGGACAGCCACCACAGAGCTGAACATCGCCTTGATCACCCGTGGCGGCGGATCATACCTACCAGCATCAGCATCATCATCCGGCAACCATACAGAGCAGACACCAACATCATAGCCACCCTCAACCTCTCATCCATCATACAAGTCGCAACACTCACCCCAATCCCTCTCGCCCACCCAGGCATTCCATAAACCAACACGTCCATCGTCTTGTCCGCCACCGCCCGATTCGCCGGCGCGGCCTTCATCTGCTCTTCCTCGTACCGCCGACTCCACGCCCTAATCTCCTCCAGCCACTGCAGTCCATCGCGGAACCCATCCGGCCCAGACGGCAACGCCTCATAGCTGATCCCCAGCGCATCCCCCACACTCTTCCAGTAGGTTCCTATCGCGCATTCCTCCAGCGAGCTCATCGCCCGCCACTCGTACATCTCCACAAAACGGACGGGCTCGAGCGCAAACAGGCTGAGCGTGTACAGCATGTCAGACTCGAGGATCTTCCCGCTGGCCCGGTAGCCCGTGTGCAGGAACTTTGTGCGCGCGAGGGCGGTGATCGCCCTGTCGGAGGAGGGCTCGAAGGCCATGAACTCGCCGATCAGGGCGCCGGTGTCGGCGTAGCGTTTGAAGCTGGTTGCTGGGTCGGAGAACTGGGAGGTCTTGAGGAGGAGGGTGGAGATGCTTGGGATGCCGTATGTCTGGCTGTTGGTTAGTATTGAGTAAAACTGTATGAGGAGGTGGAGGGAGTACGCGGAAGAGGGCAAACTGCAGCGCTTTCAGGGCTGTGAAGGGAAACTCGAGCTGGAGCATGTGTTTCTGGATAGCCCAGGCGTCGTGATCGGTCATACTGGCGAAGGACTCACGGGTTGAGTACTTGCGGTACCTCGCTTTGATACTACGGAGGCGCTGGAAGCGGAGGGATAGGGTGAGGGCAAGGTAGGCTGCGAGACATGCTGCGGAGTAGAGCCAGGGGTGTTTGGTGTATTGTTTGAGGATACAGATACTTTGAAGCTGTACCGCTTGAATTATGGGCTGTAGGTTCTCCATGATAATTTGCGATGCTCAAGCTGATCTACTCTTGTTCATTCTACGAGCTGACTTTATACATGCTGTATCAGCACATGCAAATGTCGATTTCGATCTACTCTATTTCAACCGGATCTCTTTCGGATACGATTCAAAATAATCAGGTCACTTTGTGACTCTCAAAGTATCTCACCCCTGTCGAGTTCGACTGTGAAGTTTCTCTCTATCGGTAGGTATCTTCATATGGCGATGATCACTGCCAACGGCCTGGCGGACCGAGGATAGATGGCGGGGTAGTGTAGATCATCGTTCTTATGCTTGACCTGTGCATGCACTGCTAGTTTGATTGGAGTTATGTATTTAGGATCTGATTGAATAGTCACTAGTTCTGGTATCCGAATAATGAAGGATACCGAGGCTGGATCTCATCCGGATGCTGCAGAAGACAGACTTCAGACTCGGATCGAAGGCTACCGATGTCATACGACTTAACAAGTACACGGAAGACGGACGATCGACAGTAAATATCTCAGTTTGTTCATGTATTAGAGCGTTGGTTCATTTGGTTCATTCAGGTGTCAGATGAACCGGCATCACGGTAGTTTACTACCATAAGGCTTATGGTATGTGCGGGGTGTGACTACTCAAATATACAAATCTGGGAAATTGGTGATCAAGATATTCCCTTTCTCCAATGGCGATATACTGTCTGATTGATTGTAGAGACACTGAATATGGCATGGTCTGTCTCATAATGCAGGGTCCTGACCACGGTCACCATTCAACAACAGACAAGCAGTGTAACGTCAACTCCGATATCTCTGTTTTAAGTTGCAGACTGAGTTAGCCGTCGTCATAATAATACCTCCAGACCCAAAAGAATGATTCTTCTGATAAGTGTTGCTAAAGTACTGGGTCAATGAGTATAATATACTATTCTGGCCGTCGACAATCACTGTCAAGCCTGGGTTATATAATCAAATAAGGTGTTGTCCTAATATACCAAGGCAAGATGGCCGAGTTGGTCTAAGGCGTGAGGTTAAGGTCCACCTTAATATCAAGCTCCAGGAGTTTCCTCATCATCGTATGATGGCGTGGGTTCGAATCCCACTCTTGTCACTTCTCTTTTTTTTCCTATGTCCACCACAATGCTTACTATATATAGACCACCCCGACTAAATACATCCCTAGTCACATTCCTGTGTTTATCTGTCTCCAATCACGCTTCATTGAATGAATTAATCTTAAACTGTGATCATCGTTGCAGCCGACATAAAGACATATGAAGCAGGTGGGTAGGAAGGATCCGGATACAATCTATCTCTCTCCCAAGGCAATTATGCAATTATCGCCTCTGCTTTTATCCAGCAGTCTTTTGTGAGTTTATGTATTCGAACGCCACTGACACACGAAAAACAATGCTTGGCCATTCCCTTCCTCTAGCTCCAAGCCACCACAATCATCCCAAATGCCGCTGCCTTTGGAGAAATCAACCGCGACTTCATTCTTGGATCTGCCTGCAGAAGTCCGGTTGAATATATACCGCTTCCTGATCCCAAACAATCCTGAAGTTGCGCCAGATTGTCCAGCCAGGGCTCTACGTACAGACAGACAACCCTGTGCACCGACTCTCCTGCGAACAAACTCGACATGGCTGCATCTGTGCCTGACTCCGGACGTAGAGAGGATAGGTGGGCCCTCGCACAGCAACGATCCCGTTGATTATGGGTTCAGGGAGAGGGTAGAGGCGTTGGTTGAGGTCCTGGCTCGACCAAGGAGCGGGCTGCGGCGCCTCAAACTGACTCTGCTCTTTAATGTTCCTGTCTATGTCATGGTCAGGCATCATCCGGGGAGTCTACAAAAGATCCTCGCGTGGAGTCTCTCGCCGGCCCAGGAGATGCTGCGGTTGCCGTTTCCTTGGACCATGATACTGTGAGGTTTCCTAAGCGGTGGGATGTAGTGAGAGAACAGATGATGTCAGAAATGCTCTCCTCGACAGAACCCAGGAGTATCTTGTGAAGATGAGCCAGGGGTGGTGGATATTCCAGAGGGGGAGCGCTTGACTCGTATCCTGCCTCAGGGGATCGTCTCGGTTCATCTGGCGGATATGACTGGGAGGGCCCCCAGTCAAGCCGAGGCGCTGCGCGGCCTTGCCTTTGCGGTTGAGCGGGGTGAGTTTTCCAGACTGAAGGAGGTGAGATGTGATGCGAGCCGAAGTTTCGGAGGGACAAGGTTGCCATATTCGCGGACGTCGGAGTGGATTTTGGGTACGAACAGTGGCCTGTTGAGGAGCCGGAGTACCATGCGCATACGGGGTATCCGCGGCTTGACTCGGATGATGATGATCTTTAGCTTTGATATGTATCCATGACGTAGTATTAATGCTCTATCTATGTCTATAAGAACAGCTATCCACTTTTTTCGCCCTGTGGCTCCTTTTTCAGGAGACTCTTGACCAGGTAAATCACACTCACGGCCACTCCCAGCCCTCCCAGCCCGATCCCCATGTACAAGGCCCCGCGATATCCCAGCAACATGTCATGGAACGTCTTCCCGCCATGGTTGACATGTACCTCGACCGTCCCAGCAAACCCCAGTCCCAACGAGATACTGTAGTTCACCACCGTCGTGACCAGGGAAGCCGCAATGCCCTGGTGGCGGCGCTCCACCGCATTCGACAGCAGCACCGTGCTCGCGGGAAACGACATGTCCATGCCCCACGGCATCACCACCAGCGAAACAAAGATCAGCGCCCAGTACGTCTGATGCACCGGGGCTATCGCGACAAAGACATTCCCCAGCGTGAACGCCACCATGGCAAACAACATGATCCAGCCCGGCCGGATCCGACTCATCAGGTACCCCGTCGTGAACGAGGCCAGCAAGCCCGAGACCCCCGGCGGCACGAACTGCGCCGCCGCAAGCAACGGCGGCGCGTCGCGGACATGCTCGAGGAACAACCAGAGGTAGTACGTCCAGATGCCGAAGCTGGCCCAGCCGCAGGCGACGCAGCCCAGGACGAAGGAGACATCCGGCGTCAACGCATGGAACGGGATGAGCGGTTTCGCCGCGACGCGCAGCTCCCACCCGAAGAAGAGGCCCAGGAGCCCCGCCCCGACAATCAGCAGCACAAACACATACGGCGTCGGCCAGCCGGCGATGGGCGCCTGGTTCCACGCCACGTTGACGAGGATCAGGCCCCCGACGCCAAGACACGCGCCCACGACGTCCAGCTCCTGCATCCACTCGCGCAGGGTCATGCTGTGCTTCTCGCGCTCGTGCCGGATGCGCGGGATCACGGCCCACCCCAGCCCGGCCAGCACCAGGCAGACGATCGCATTCGCCCAGAACGTCCACGGCCACCAGGCCAGCTGGCTGAACAGCGCGGCGAAGACCGCGCCGATGATGGCGCCGTTGGGCGCCGTCGCGCCGAAGATCGCGAAGATCATGTCTTTCTTCGGGCCGGGGCGGTACGTCGCGCCCAGGATCGCCAGTCCGTTCGGGAGGAGCATCGCGGGGCCGAGGCCCTGCGCTGTGCGCGCAAAGATGAACAGCACGTAGTTGCTGTACACGCTGACGCCGGCGACCATGGACCAGACCCCGAACCAGACGAACCCGATCACGAACATGGTGTGGTAGCCGAAGCAGTCGCCACAGCGGCCGAAGAAGAGGATGAAGGTGCCCACCGTCAGGGAGTAGCCCGCAACGAACCAGCTGAGAATGCCATTGTCGGTTATGTTGAAGGCGTCCCCGATGATGGTCAGCGGGGCCAGCTGGCTACCCAGCCCGGCCTGTGTCATGAATTGGGCCATGCATATCACGAAGATGAAGACCGTTTCCCGCAGTGGGGAGAGGCTTTCGGCGATGGACCAGCCCGATCGCGTCTGTTGGAGATCTAGGCCGTCCTCGACCTCGGTGTCACTCATCTTGAGTTATTTCGGGCTGAGGAAACGATTCATTGAGGGTAGAATGGAGAATGGAGATGCAAGACTTCATCCGATCCGAGAAGAATTTGCTGCAGTCTCGGATTTAGCCATTGCACATATGGAAAAGATGAGATGATCGATGCCAGTGGAGATTTATATCCGTATTTCCGTGATGATGTACAGGTCTCCACAGCTTCGGGGAATCTCCGCGATTGCAGTCTTGCATACCCCTATCCGGCTTGTGTATATCATACTGGAGTTGTCTCTCATGACGCTGATACGCCATCCGGCTGAGACATTCTAACGGCCTTCACCTATGGATCCGACAGTGTCATGATTTAAGCTTATCTCAAAAGTCTAGAGCCAGTCATGCGCAAGCGCCAACTGGTACTGCTCTAAGTGAGGAGACTACTGCTCAATCATCTCCATCTTCTCCCTGGCCAGCCGAATCGCCCCCTTTGTCTCGCCATTGACCTGGATTTGTTCGCTCATCTCCCCAAACCGCCGCTTCCAAAACTGCCACCGCTCCAGGCACAACTGTCCCTGTCCGCTATACAGAGTCCCAGGCTTCATCATGCGTTCCTTCTCCTCGTCTTGCACCGTGTCCGCCAGCTGAGTGAACATGCTCTCTCCACCGTACACCATCCACATAGCTGCCGCAGCAACTTCCCCGTCGAGTTCGCAGTCCGATAGCTCCTCTTCCAATCCCGACCGCAGACTCCACACGGCAAAGAGAGAAAGAGATGGGTCGCATTTGCTCATCAGACGCGCGGTGAAGGCATGTAGGTTGATCCATTCGGTGATGGCTTGTCCGTTGGATTTGGTATATGTGGGTGCTTGGACGGTTAGCATGGTAGCACTATTATCGGAAAGAGGTACGCACGATTCCAGTCTTCTCTCAGGCTGGGTCCGAGGATGGGCAGGTCTTTCCACAGGCGGGTTTCGGACTGGATTGTCAGTAGATTTTGCTTCAGGAGGTGAAGACACTTACACCCCAGATTGACACTGTTGTTGGCGGTAATTCGGTCAGAGCATGGATCAGGTCTACTAGTCGGTCTTGCGAGGGATGATCGTGAGGAACTTGTTTGGCAATATCGATGACAGTTCCCCATATGGACCAGAGGAATGACTCCAGGTCAGAGTCCTCTTCTTGTGCCGAGGCCTTTGGAGTCAAGGCATCGAGAGCTTGCGCAGCCTCGCTGGGAGGGATTGTGCTAGAGGGCTGAAGATAGTCATTGAGGATGTCGAAGATACGCTGCTCAGTGGTATCGAGCTCATCTCGAGGTTCGAGAGAAAGAGAGGCCATGATGAGTACTGTACAAATTGGTCTGATTTCCTAGGAAGAAAGAGGCGTGAAGCAATATAAATACTGAGAGATCCACGATAGTGGCGGGGTAAATCAACAATCAACAGCAGAAAGAAATCCACCAAGCACAATGCGAGTTTCAGCCACGAGTGTCCATCTTTTCCTTCTTTTGTTACTGACCACCGGCAATCTCCGACGGGGATCCTGATTCTTTTCTGCATGCTCGGATCGTGTATTGTGTTATCATCTACTCCGTACTATCCTGATCGATAACATATGACGAAATTTCCCCGCACCAGCAACTTCCAGTCCCCGCACCAGCCTCTACTGTCCGCCATAGCAGAGATTACACCCACTCATTTTGAGCATCAATTGCCAAAGGTAGATATAACGCAATGTCCGAAGCTCCTGTGGTTACCCTCCTCAAAACCCTCATCCAGGTCCCCAGCACCAGCGAACACGAACAAGACATCGCCCTGTGGCTCGACAACCACCTCTCCACCCTCGGCTACACCGTCGAACGCATCCCCATCGCCCCAGGCTCGACCCGCGAAAATGTCTACGCCTACATAGGCTCCACACGCAGGGTGAGAGCCTGTCTCTCCGCGCACATGGACACCGTCCCGCCGCATATCCCGCTGCGTGTCGAAGGTTCGACCATCTACGGCCGCGGCGCGTGCGACGATAAAGGTCCCATGGCTGCGCAAATCTGTGCGCTTGAGGAGCTGCGCGCGGAGGGAGGGGTCAAGGAGGGCGATGTTGGTTTGTTGTTTGTCGTGGGCGAGGAGAAGGGGGGTCCGGGGATGATTGCAGCGAACGATCACGATTTGAAGTTCGAGGGGGTGGTTTTTGGGGAGCCGACCGAGGGGAAATTGGTCGTTGGACATAAGGGGCATTTGGTGTTTGAGTTGATCGGGGAGGGGAAGACTTGGTAGGTTCTGCTTACGTCTTTATATACTAGGACTGGAGGCTAATTCTTTTCAGTCACTCGGGATACCCTCATCACGGCATCAACGCCAATACCGCCCTGGTCGAAGTCCTGAATGAGTTCTTGAGTACTAAATTCCCCGAGTCGTCGTTACTGGGTCCGTCGACGTTCAACATCGGCAAGATTGAAGGAGGCGTGAGCTATAACATCGTCCCGGCTTCCAGCACGGCACTCTGCGCCGTCCGTGTAGCGACTGACATGGCCGAGTGCAGGAGGATCGTGTCAGAGGTTGTTGGGAAGCATCCACATGTCAGGCTGGAATTCAAGTTCGAGTATCCGGAGACGTTGCTTGATCATGACGTCGAAGGTTGTCAACCCATACCTTTCTCTGGATCCTGCTAACGGATTACCAGGTTTCGAAACAGCACCGGTGTCATATGGAACGGATGTCCCTCGATTCAAGGGAGATCATAAAAAGTACCTATACGGCCCTGGTTCAATCCTCGTAGCCCATGGAGAGAACGAGCAGATTACAATTGACGAGCTCCTGGAGGGTGTCAAGGCATATAAAAAGTTGACCACTCACTTATTGAAGGCTTGATCAGGTTGCATCCATTGCATCTGTGTGCATTTCTTAAAAACATTACTATCATTTTAAGCGCCTGCCCTGTCAGGCCAAAGCTGCGATGCATATCACCCTGCCAGGCTTAACCACTTCTATGCACTTGTTCTCAGATGCCATTGATGCATCGTGTTTCGGGTAACTTAACAATACTTCGGGGAGTGTTTACCTGATTCTTGCACCTGTCGCTTATTGCCTCATTGACGCCTTTATGCTGGAAAATTGGGTCTCTCTGCCGAGTACATTCCGCTCTAAAATATATAACTATTAGTTTTCGGTGATGCCAACCGGAAGACAACCATTGCAACGACATCCGGAAGTACTAATACAACAGAATTATCATACCATGATTACCTCGTCAATGAAGCACCATTCTCCCACCAAACAAAAATGCCTGGAACGTACTGGCCTGATCTCGAGTGTGCTTGACGAGGCATTAAGCTAAAACTGGATTCTATGGCACGTAAAGGAAGCAAAATCAAAAATCCGGTGCTGTGGTCTAGTGGTAGGACGTCACGTTGTGGCCGTGCCAGCCCCGGTTCGATTCCGGGCAGCGCCAATCGTCTCATCTTTTTTCTTTTTTTCCCCCCTCATTACTTGAGGGGAACAGCCATGATCTCGAAACGGATTGTCATGCTTATTGTGGACCTGCTCAGAGACGCAGTACATTGAAGCTATTCATACCTTGTCCAAGGGACATACTGATTGCTTGTATCTCCATTGCACGTGCGCGTGAGGACGGCTTCTCTCAGTCTGCGTCTTCTATTGAAACTTGATTGGTCAGTAAAGTGAGAGGTACGTTGGTAATCCCGTAAATCCGCTTACAAATAGTAGCCCAGTCGCAGAGGAACTATGGATGGGCATTTTAATTGGCCATTGATGACGGAAATGTGCCGATGGATTCAGTAAAGAGACAGTCTTTTATCGACCCCTGGATACGTCCTTGGAGTCTCCACAGGCAGATATCTAGAAGTCAGTAGAAAAATGGCGGGCGCGTGGATGGTGGGGGATATAAGTACCCATCTCCTGCACAGGGGAAGTAGAGATCATCATCGTCTATCATTGTCTATCACAGTCTTCACGTCAACCCCTAATCGACCCCCAGACAAAACATAAAACTTGCAGACAGAAAACAAAATGGGCTCGACTCAACCCGAATTCAAGAACCCCGCCACCACCACTCTGCTGGAGCTGGCGAAGGCCCGTCGCACTTACTACGGCCTCAAGGCCGAGAGCCCCATCTCGGACGAGGCCATTGAGCGCATCGTCCAGGATGCCGTCCTGCACGTCCCCAGCTCCTTCAACACTCAGACCTCCCGTGTAGTCCTCCTGCTCAAGGAGGAGCACCAGAAGGTCTGGGACATTGCCATCACCGTCATGGAGGGCCTCGTGGCTGCCGGCCATGTCCCCAAGGAGATGTTTGAGAACCACACCAAGCCCAAGCTGAACGCCTTCCGCGCGGCCTATGGAACTGTAGGTTGGCTTTCTGCTCTTGACGATGTCCGTACTGACGGTCTAGGTCCTCTTCTTCGTCGACTACGAGTCCCTCGCTCCTATCAAGGAGAAGTTTGCCATCTACGCTGACAAGTTCGATCCTTTTGCTCTCGAGTCCAATGCCATGTCGCAGTACCTCGGTAGGTTTCGTTCTTGACTCTCTAGCATCAAAGAGTTCGCATCTAACACTGAATAGTCTGGACCGCGCTTCACTCCGAAGGCTTCGGTGCCAACCTGCAGCACTACAGCCCTCTGATCGACGAGCAGGTGCAGAAGACCTGGAACCTCCCTGCCTCGTGGAAGCTGGATGCCCAGCTGGTCTTTGGTACCCCTACCAGCGAGCCTGGCGAGAAGACCTTCTTGCCCATTGAGGACCGCTTCAAGGTTTTTGGAAAATAGACCAGCTCGCATGTTGAATTAAATGCATATAGAGATATCCATAGCGTTGAATTCAGATTTTACTTTTCGAGTTCAATATGAGCCATCATCCAAGGCAAGGGCTTTAAGCACTTTTTGGCATATAGAATCAGCTCCAAACGATGCACACCTGGACAGTACTATTCGCTTGAATCAGATCGACCTATACCTCTCTATATCCCGTCAATGGGATATCAGCCGAATTATTCTCCATCTGCGCACACATCTGACTCGCTTTAGTCGCCCTCTGAGCGCTCAACACCAATCTCCCCGGATGCCAGACAATCAACACCCCCATCGAACAGGCCATCAACGCCGCATCAAAGACATAGATATACGCCTCCTCCGTATTCAAGGGAGACCCCTTCGCCGACCCAAACTGGATCGTCCTCACCAAGTTCCTGACCATCAACATCCCGCACGAGATATAAATCGCCCACATGTACCTCTTCCACCCCAGCCGGGGACACTCCCTCACCACAGCCCGCTCCGCATCAAGCCTCCGATGAAACCTCGCCGCCACCCAGACGAACAACCCAAACACCACCAGCGCGAGGACCAATCCCACCAGGACGACCTTCTTGCCGGTAGCCATGACATGCGCGTCGCCGGTAACTTGCACCCCCGCGCCCCCGATCTGCGTCAGGAAGCAGACGACATCGTTGAGGACGAAGATGGTCGTCAGCCATTTGGTGCGGATGCTGGAGTGGTGCTCGGCGTCGAAGGCGCGGATGATGCGGCCGAGGACCATGTAGATGGTTGCGGCGATGAAGGGGGGCGCGCAGAGGATGAGCATCTCCTGGAGGGCCCAGGAGCCGATTGCTGTTCTGTCTTGGTGGGACCATGCTCGGCCGTAGTAGCCGAAGGTTTCGCCTGGAGGGTTAGTTTTAGCATTGGCATGGAAGGGATGGGATGGGTGTGGACGGACATATGCCCCCTAGAACGAGGGGAATGAAGTAGGCTGCGTGATAAGGGAACATGAGGATGATGTGCACGACGGTTGCGATTCCGAAGATGGCCATAAAGGCGTATCCTGCTGTGGCGGATGGGGCGTAGGGGTAGAATTCGACCCAGGGCGACGAGCCATTTGTTCCGTTGTGGAATGTAAAGTCCATGGTGACTTGATTTTGAGGAATTGATGTTAATCGAGGAGAAAGGAGCCCGGGGACCCATGATGGTCTCATATATACCGGATTGATGCCTGCAATGTCTATGGATGTAGATCAAGATTACCCTTTTGGGAAATTCTTGAACGAATACGGGTGGATCTTTTGAGCTTGTCCTGAAACTTTTGACATAGGATGATAGGACTCGGACCCAATCAGCCACAGATCACCTAAATTTAGCGAGCCATTGCTTGTCATTGCAAGCATTTGACTGTCACCGGTTGGAAGATTGGATTGGCTATCTCTTCACGCAGCCTGGTCGATTGCAGTCTCTACGACTTTCTATTGCTATACATGCCTCACAAAGATCAGTCGACCGTCATTTTTGTAGGCTGCGAAGTGTATTATGTTCCGGTAACTTGAGGACGTCTTGTATCGTTTGTATGTAGCTTCAACATAATTGCTGAAGTCATTGCTAATTTTGTTAGGAATATAAAATTTTAATTGGTGCGATATTTCATACCAGCGTTAGTGGTGTAGCGGTTAGCATTATTGCCTTCCAAGCAATAGATCTGGGTTCGACTCCCAGCTAACGCATCATCTTTTCTTTTTTCCCTTCCATCCTTATTGACCAGTACAATTTTAAACTACAGAAATCTACTGTTGCCATTTTGCGAGTACTGGATGGTTTTTCATTAGAAACTACTCCGTTCTCCAGATTCTACCTTTATGATCGACGAGAGGTACTCCGTACTGCTGTTCTATGAGCAGAATTCCGGATTTGGTCCATCTCGGCTAATTTCTGCTGCCTAAAGGGGCCAAAGACAAAACGAATACGAAGTAATCCATCTCATCCTTCTCTGTCACCACCAGCATGATGGAAACCGACCAAGGTCTTCGGATTCGCTCGCGTAGAACACATCAGAAATCCCGGCTGGGCTGCAAGACTTGTAAAAAGCGACGAGTTAAAGTGAGGGCGACTTTTCTTTCTGTCAAGCTGCCGTTGTGGCTTTCCCTGCATGACCTCTCTCTTGTCATCTTTGGAATGAATGTACTCAACTCTTACAACTATGGCCAAAAAACTGACATGCAAGCAGTGCGACGAGAAAAAGCCAACCTGCACCAATTGTCGACAGCATGCCGTCATCTGTGATTATGCCACTGAATCAGCTGCACCATCTCGACCTTCGCGACGACAATATCGATTCAAACAGTCAAGATACGAGGTCGAGACCGGCTCATCCAATACCACAGACACCAGCATACAGCCATCTAGTCCAGTCGTCCTCAGCGGACCGGCTCCCCCTCCCCCTCTGGAGAGCATCTCCCTGGCAGACCTGCAGCTCTTCCACCACTTTGTCACCTCAACCGCCAGCACCGTGACAGACGGACACGACCCCAAACACCTCTGGGACATCCACGTCCCGCAATGGGGCTTCGCCTTCCCGTCCATCTTGCATCTCATCCTCGCGCTCTCCGCCCTCCATCTGGCGCACAAGCAGCCGGCCATGCGCGCTAACTACCTGAAACAGGCAGACGACCATTTCACCTTCGGCGTGCGCTCCGTGACCACCGTGCTGTCCAGCCTGAACCAGGAGAACTGCCAGTACATCTACATCTCGGCCATGCTGATCTGCCTCGTGTACTTTGGGCATGGGCCGCGCGCGGGCGAGTTCCTCGTTTTTAGCGAGACCGGGCAGGCGGAGTGGCTGGTTCTCATGCGCGGTGTGAGATCGATTGTGGAGTCGAGGCGTGCGGAGATCTTTTCCGGGCTGTTGGCGCCTGAAGCGCTGGAAGGGGAGGCGCGGTTGGACTCGGAGCTGGCGGACGAGCTGGAGCGGCATAAGGGCCGGATCCGGGGCGTCCAGGGGTTAATCCGTGCGGAGACGATCGACACCGGGGTCACGGAGATGTACGATTCTGCCTTGGATAGTCTGCAAGATACCTTTGACGAGGTATATCGGATGAGAGGCGCCGGGGAGCATGGGGTGAATTTGATGCCTATGGTTATTGGGTGGATATATCGGCTTTCGGAGCGATTCGTCGGGTTGCTGGAGGTGAAGGATGCGCTTGCGCTGGCCATCCTGGCCTACTGGGCTATTCTTTTCAAGTACATGCAATCCTCGTGGCTGATGACGGGGTGGGATGAGCATGTTCTGTCGGGAATCCACGCCTCTCTGCGAGAGGAGCACCTTGGTTGGATTCGGTGGCCGACAGAGTGTATATTCGGGGACACAGAGAAGATTGACATTCCGGCCAACTCTAGCAAGCGATTGCTCCAAGCCTAGGCCACTGGCGCCGTCATGAACCAGGAAACTAGACTGGCAACCTCGTTGCAACCTGTGATCGCATGAACCTGTGCATAGGTCATTGCTCATCCCTGGCTGCCATCACCAAGAGTGTTGTGTCTACTTCTGGATCGAACCGAGTTGGTCACTCAAATACCCTGTACCGCCCCTAATGATCTAGCAAAGACATAAATTCAACCGCCAGGCCAGCTCCATCCACGCGGAAATTGGGCCACACCGGCAGCCATTCATCCTCACCGCGACTTGACCACTTACAGATCAATCAACCTTGGGCGAGCGACGGTACATTAAGAAAGAGAAAGCATCTCATTGACTGTCCCGGATCTATTTTGGGTTACGCCTCGACTAGTCTCTGCTTGAACTTTGATGGTAAAGTCATCGTGTGTATAGCAAGCTCTAAGATTCCATGATACTCTCATTGCGTTCAATTCACAAAGATCTCCGACGCCACGGCATCAATTCAATCCCAGAAAGAATGGAAGAAAACTCGCCGAGCAGATCTGGATAGCCAAGAGCGCAATCGCCACATTCGCTGTCGAATAAGGCCCCGGAGTAATCGTCCACCCCCAAGGCGCCCCAACCGCAAAGTAGATCATCACTACCAAGTCAGCTTACTTGTTTGTGCATGTGCATTTACCAGATCATCAGCCTACCTCCCGCAAGAACCAGACAGATTGCCCACGTCCACTTGAACCGCCTCACCATCTTGTCCATCCCGATGTAGAATCCCGTCGGCCCCATCTCCTTGGCCGTGGACGCCCACTCGAGATTGATGCTGAAAGCATGGCACAGAATGGCCTTGGCGCAGTTCAGGCTGATCCCGCCGAAGTAGATGATCAGGAAGGGGAGCCACTTGACTGCGTCGAGGAGGGCACGCCAGAATGTCTCCTCCTTCAGCTGGTGGCGGACCATGCTAAAGGCGACAGAGGAAAACCCGTTGAAGACGACGACGAGAGAGCACCAGATGCCCCAGGAGGGGAGGTAGAGGTGGTCGATGTCCGAGTCGAAGAGGCCGAGGAGGATGTAGTTTACCGTGGCGAGGAGCATGCCCGAGCCGATGGCGTAGTCTGTGTCTGTTAGCCATGTGGAGAAAGGAAGGGCGGGAGGCCTACAGGTGAAGATATACGCGACGATGGTCACCTTGGACGTCACCGGCATATTGCTCTAGAGGAACCGCAAGAACAGCCGGGTCACAGGTCCTTTGTAGAACCATTGATAACTGCGTCGGTCAGTGCTGCACGTATCCAGCTTCTTGAGGTAATGGCTACTGACAAAGGATGGAACACCAGCTCGTTACAGCCATAGGCATACTTCTCCCACCGCGTCAACTCATCGTACAGTGTCAGCGACACCCCTTCCTTGAACTCCCCGTTGTGGTACGTCGCCAGCCGCACCACCATCCCCTGCATCTGCAGCCGGAGACTGATATCAAAGTCCTCCGAGACGTGCGCGTCAGACCACCACTTGGTCAGCCCGTCGGATGGATCGACGAACTCGATGCTTTGCAGTGCTTTCCACCGGAGAAATGCATTGTGGCCGACAAACGGAGACACGTCGCCGGACCCGACGCCGTATTTGATGGCCGTGTAGATGACGTTGGTAAAGTATGTAACTGATGGGTCAGAATCCCAGAATGGATTGTGGAGTGGCAAGGAGAGCCTGATACTCACTGCCATTTTCGAACAGATTATGGACCACCTGCATAACGCCAGATCCGTGCTGGAGAATGGCGACCTCGGGGCTCTCGTGCATCTCCAGGGCACCATAGAGCAGACAGTCCACCGGCACACGAGTATTACAGTCGATTCTGTACATGTCAGTGAGAATCCCCGCCCAAGGGTCCTTGACTTACAGCAAGATCAACTCCCCGATACGAATGTTCCCTTCGGCCCCTGCGAGTGATGTCAGTGGAATCCAACGCGTCTCTGCAGCGTTCTTACAGGTACGGCCCTCATCAGCAGCAAGTATAGCATCCAACGCCTGTTGATAGAGTCGCTCATCGTCTTCCACCGTCAGATCGTCAACCGCACATCCCCGCCGTTCGGCCTCCCCTTGCATCAGACGAGCCATTTCACCCTCAACACGAACCGAAAAAGCCAGTCCGTAGTTCATATTACTCGCCTTCTTAAACTTCCCCTTGCGCTCGAACCCGATCTTATTTGCCAGTGCCTGCGGCGTCGGAGGACCACCCTCTTCTTCCGCTTGGGAACTCTCCTCCCCGGCTGGCACGGGTTTGTCCTTCCAAAAGAGCCCAAAGGCCCCTCGGCTCTTCTTGACTGCTGTTTTCTTGTTGGGAGAACGGGCAGTATACCCGATCCCGTTTTCGCGGTAGTACTGTTTTCTCGCTTCTGCCAGCTCGGGCTGGATCACTTGCATGCCGTCGTCGTTGACGAAGACGGATGCGGTCCCGCCTTGTTCCTCGTAGTACTGGACTGCAGCGAGGACGCTCATCATAGTCGGAACGATGACACTGTCTCGTCAGTAATTGCTTGAATCCAGGGTGGTGGTTGACTTACCCTTTCAGGCCTTCCTTGTAGACAGGCATCTGGATGGTGATATGGGGCAGCTCGTAGTCCCGGTGAGCTTTTGGATTCGGCTTGATAGCTGGTGTGTATTAGGTGAGAGATATTTTCCAGTAGAAGTTTCATGGAGTACTGACCAGAGTGGTACTTGGAGTTCTTCAGACAGAATCCCGCGGGGAGGAATAGCTGGAAGACGCTGGTGACCAACACGATGAAGAAGAACTGGCTGTGTTAGCTCGATCCAGTGGTTTAGCTTCAGCACAGAGGCAGTGCGTCTCACCAGCGAGAACAGAGCGAGCGGTGGGATGGTAACAACCTATAGCATCGTCAGTCTACATCTCTCAACCATCTCCAATCGGTTCTACCAGCGCAAACCGTGTGTATCCTCCATCCCACTGGTACTCATTTAGCAGCTGCCCACCCAAGATTAGCCAGATACCTCATCCCAAAGATGGAAACGAACTCACCCGCGCCACCCCCAGGGACTGCGTCAAGATGACCAGCATAATCGCCAAGCTGATCTTGATCGCATGGGCCCGCAGCGCCGGCCTCGGGGCAGCATTCTGCTCCAGGTCCGGGGCGTCTTCCTCCTCCCCTTCCTCCAGCGCCACTGCCTTGCTGTAGATCGCCTGCTTCTCGTCCAGCGCACCACGCACGGGAGGGGAGAGCATGCCCGGTTTCTGCACCTCGTCTGACCGGAGGGATCCGAGCGGGGTGGAGCGGCCGGATACCCTCGGGGTCGTGAGATTCGATATCCTAGGGTTCTTCGCGAGGCAGGTCCGGTTAGCTCCTGCAGTCGTTGTAGTCGGTAGATGAACAACTCACCTGTCCGCCGAGCTGCATCTCCACATCATGCGCTACGTTCAGCAACCCCGTGACATCATGCGACCAGGAGAAAGATCACTAACATGTACCCCGATATATGATAGAACGCAATCGCCCCCAGACAATCCGTCTCCCTCGACGGACTCTGCGGCGCCTACAACGGAAGCGCCACCTGCGCCGGCAGCCTCTTCGGCGACTGCTGCAGCCAATTCGGCTACTGCGGCAGCGAACCCGTCTACTGCGGCGCAGGCTGCCAAACAGGCTACGGCGTCTGCGGCATCGACACGACCCTCCGCTGGCGAAGCCTCGGCTGCTACTCGGACGACACAACCCACCGGACCATCAACACCTCCATCCTCATCTCGGGCAACACGGTGCCGAAATGCCAGGCCGCCTGCGCCCAGGCCGGCTTCCTCTACGCCGGGATGGAGTTCGGAACGCAATGCTTCTGCGGCACGGCCATCATGAACAACGGCGCCGCGGTCTCCGCGTCGCAGTGTAACGTCGCATGTCCGGCGGATGGGTCTCAGGTCTGCGGTGGCTCCAACGCGCTCAGCCTGTACGTCGTCGTGCCCATCTGGCAGAGTCTGGGCTGCTATTCCGACTCGACCAAGGCGCGCACGCTGGCCGTCTCGTATAATATCGCGGGGAACACGGTGGAGAAGTGCCAGGCAGCCTGTGAGGCGGGTGGGTATCTGTATGCAGGCATGGAGTTTGGGACGCAGTGCTTCCGTGGGAACTCGATTGATAACGTAATCAACCACCGAGCGACGAATACCACCGAGCGACGAATTTCTCCCTACGCCACCCACTTCCTTTCTTCAACGCGTTGTTTTATCACCACTATTATTAAAAATGCCTTTATCTCAAGAAAATCGGATACAAATGGCAATTGCAGCCATTAAGAATAAAAAAATTAAATCAGTACTGAGCGCTGCAGAGACCTTTAGCGTGCCTGAGCCTACCCTTCGCGCTCGCCTTAATGGAAGAAAACCACGCTCAGAAACACGTGCTAATGGCCATAAATTAACAGCCCTGGAAGAAGAAGTTCTTACCAAGCGTCTGCTAGATGCAGATAAACGGGGCTTTTCAATTCGACCAGAGTTCCTGCGTGGAATGGCGCAGATCTTACTCCATGAGCGTACACGGGATCCTACCGCAACCATTGGTGTCAACTGGGCATATAAGTTTATTAAACGCCATCCAGCCCTTTGCACACGATATAACCGGAGGATTACATACCAACGTGCAAAGCAGGAGGATCCAAAGGTGATAAAACAGTGGTTTGCAATTGTGCATGAGGCGATTCAAGAATATGGCATCCATGAGGATGATATCTGGAACTTTGATGAGACTGGCTTTGCAATGGGACTCTGTACAACTTCTAAGGTTATCACTGCAGTGGATCGCAGTGAGAGACCCCGTACTGTCATTCAGGGGAACCGCGAATGGGTTACAATAATTGAATGTGTGAGCTCAAAGGGGGTTTCTATACCACCAGTGGTTATCTTAAAGGGGAAAGAGCAACAGGCTACCTGGTATCAAGAACCAGCAGTTCCTCAAAGCTGGTTAATTGCAAAGAGTGATAATGGCTGGACAACTGATATAATAGGCCTTCGCTGGCTTAAGGAGGTATTTGAGCCACACTCAAGGCGGCATTCAACTGGTGCAAAGAGATTACTTATTCTCGATGGCCATTCTAGCCATCAGACTGCAGAATTTGATGCTTTCTGCAAGGAGAATGCAATTATCTGCCTTTGCATGCCACCACATACTTCTCATCTTCTGCAACCACTGGATGTTGGCGTGTTTGGTCCACTAAAGCGCGCATATGGGAAGTTAGTTGAAGGAATGATGGTTGCTGGGAACAACCATATTGATAAGGAAGACTTCCTACACCTATATCCATCTGCACGTGAGAGGGTCTTTATCCAGA